CCACGAAGAAGAAGTCGTTGCGGCAGTGTGGGGAAAGGGAATGGATACCCGAAGGCCAACAAACTTCGCCACGTACAGGTCGTGACTGCGCCATGTGCTTCGCCACGGTGTCAGAGGTGAAGACAGCGTTTAAGCCTAGAGCCTCAACCTGTCTCCCTAAACCACAACCGGCCTGAACCCCCACGCACCGAAGACAAAGGCAAGGAGGAAGAAGTGACTGTGGGTAGGGGAATGGATACCCCCAAAGCCAACCCGGTCCGTCACGAAGAAGTCGCACAGCTTCGCCGCGAAGAGGTCGTACAGCAGTACGCGGGTAAGGGGATGAATACCCGGAAGCCAACAAAGTTCGCCACGAAGTGGTCGCACAGCTTCGCCGCGAAAAGGTGTACAGCAAGCACACGGGTAGGGGGGGATGGATACCCCGAAAGCCAACAAGGTTCGCCACGAAGAGGTCGTTACGAAAGCATGGGGAAAGGGGATGGATACCCGAAGGCCAACAAACTTCGCCACGTACAGGTCGTGACTGTGCCATGTGCTTCGTCACGGTGTCAGAGGTGAAGACAGCGTTTAGGCCTAGAGCCTCAACCTGCCTCACTAAACCACAACCGGCCTGAACCCCCCACGCACCGAAGACAAAGGCAAGGAAGAAGAAGTGACTGTGGGTAGGGGAATGGATACCCCCAAAGCCAACCAGGTTCGTCACGAAGTCGTACAGCTTCACCGCGACGAGGTCGTCCAGCAGCACGCGGGCAAGGGGATGAATACCCGGAAGCCAACAAAGTTCGCCACGAAGTGGTCGCACAGTTTCGTCGCGAAGAGGTCGTACTGCAGCACACGAGTAGGGGGGATGGATACCCCGAAAGCCAACAAGGTTCGCCACGAAGAGGTCGTTACGAGAGCGTGGGGAAAGGGGATGGATACCCGAAGGCCAACAACCTTCGCCACGCACAGGTCGTGACTGCGCCATGTGCTTCGCCACGGTGTCAGAGGTGAAGACAGCGTTTAAGCCTAGAGCCTCAACCTGTCTCACTAAACCACAACCGGCCTGAACCCCCACGCACCGAAGACAAAGGCAAGGAGGAAGAAGTGACTATGGGGGTAGGGGAATGGATACCCCCAAAGCCAACCAGGTTTGTCACGAAGTCGTACAGCTTCGCCGCGAAGAGGTCGTACAGCAGCACGCGGGCAAGGGGATGAATACCCGGAAGCCAACAAAGTTCGCCACGAAGTGGTCGCACAGCTTCGCCGCGAAGAGGTCGTACAGCAGCACACGGGTGGGGGGATGGATACCCCGAAAGCCAATAAGGTTCGCCACGAAGAGGTCGTTACGAAAACGTGGGGAAAGGGGGATGGATACCCGAAGGCCAACGAACTTCGCCACGTACAGGTCGTGACTGCGCCATGTGCTTCGCCACGGTGTCAGAGGTGAAGACAGCGTTTAAGCCTAGAGCCTCAACCTGCCTCCCTAAACCACAACCGGTCTGAACCCCACGCACCGAAGACAAAGGCAAGGAGGAAGAAGTGACTGTGGGTAGGGGAATGGATACCCCCAAAGCCAACCGGGACGAAGAAGTCGTACGGCTTCGCCGCGAAGAGGTCGTACAGCAGTACGCGGGTAAGGGGATGAATACCCGGAAGCCAGCAAAGTTCGCCACGAAGTGGTCGCACAGCTTCGTCGCGAAGAGGTCGTACAGCAGCACACGGGTAGGGGGGATGGATACCCCGAAAGCCAACAAGGTTCGCCACGAAGAGGTCGTTACAAAAGCGTGGGGAAAGGGGATGGATACCCGAAGGCCAACAAACTTCGCCACGTACAGGTCGTGACTGCGCCCCGTGCGTCGCCACGGTGTCAGAGGTGAAGACAGCGTTTAAGCCTAGAGCCTCAACCTGCCTCCCTAAACCACAACCGGCCTGAACCCCCACGCACCGAAGACAAAGGCAAGAAGGAAGAAGGGACTGTGGGTAGGGGAATGGATACCCCAAAGCCAACCAGGTTCGTTACGAAGAAGTCGTACAGCTTCGCCGCGAGGAGGTCGTCCAGCAGCACGCGGGCAAGGGGATGAATACCCGGAAGCCAACAAAGTTCGCCAGGAAGTGGTCGCACAGCTTCGCCGCGAAGAGGTCGTACAGCAGCACACGAGTAGGGGGATGGATACCCCGAAAGCCAGCTAGGTTCGCCACGAAGAGGTCGTTACGAAAGCGTGGGAAAGGGGATGGATATCCGAAGGCCAACAAACTTCGCCACGTACAGGTCGTGACTGCGCCATGTGCTTCGCCACGGTGTCAGAGGTGAAGACAGCGTGCAAGCCTAGAGCCTCAACCTGCCTCCCTAAACCACAACCGGCCTGAACCCCCACGCACCGAAGACAAAGGCAAGGCGGAAGAAGTGACTGTGGGTAGGGGAATGGATACCCCCAAAAGCCAACCAGGTTCGTCACGAAGAAGTCGTATAGCTTCGCCGCGAAGAGGTCGTACAGCAGCGCGCGGGTAAGGGGATGAATACCCGGAAGTCCACAAAGTTCGCCACCAAGTGGTCGCACAGCTTCGCCGCGAAGAGGTGTACAGCAGCACACGGGTAGGGGAGGATGGATACCCCGAAAGCCAACAAGGTTCGCCACGAAGAGGTCGTTACAAAAGCATGGGGAAAGGGGATGGATACCCGAAGGCCAACAAACTTCGCCACGTACAGGTCGTGACTGCACCATGTGCTTCGCCACGGTGTCAGAAGTGAAGACAGCGTTTAAGCCCAGAGCCTCAACCTGCCTCCTTAAACCACAACCGGCCTGAACCCCCACGCACCGAAGACAAAGGCAAGGAGGAAGAAGTGACTATGGGTAGGGGAATGGATACCCCCCAAGCCAACCAGGTTCGTCACGAAGAAGTCGTACAGCTTCGCCGCGAAGAGGTCGTGCAGCAGTAATTACGCGGGCAAGGGGATGAATACCCGCAAAGTTCGCCACGAAGTGGTCGCACAGCTTTGCCGCGAAGAGGTCGTACAGCAGCACACGGGTAGGGGGATGGATACCCCGAAAGCCAACAAGGTTCGCCACGAAGAGGTCGTTACGAATGCGTGGGAAAGGGGGATGGATACCCGAAGGCCAAAAACTTCGCCACGTACAGGTCGTGACTGCGCCATGTGCTTTGCCACGGTGTCAGAGGTGAAGACAGCGTTTAAGCCTAGAGCCTCAACCTGTCTCCCTAAACCACAACCAGCCTGAACCCCAAGCACCGAAGACAAAAGCAAGAAGGAGGAGGTGACTGCGGGTAGGGGAATGGATACCCCGAAAGCCAACGAAGTTTGCCACGAAGAGGTCGTACAGTGGATGCCCTCCATGCTCTGGTCAAAGTGTGTGAGCTGCTGGGTAGATCCACGGCTCCAAGTTCTGGTCGAACTTGTCCCCGAAGGTTCAACAGTTTAAAAGTTTAAAAAAAACCGCACCTACCCTATCGCAGTTTACAACAGGAAAACCAAAAAGGAAAACACCCTACCTTAAACGGGTGTACCAACGGAAAGCAAAACAACTACAACGGTCACGAAAAGGCCCTCTAGCGTCTACAGCACATTCCTTGGGTATGGTCGCTTGAAGCTGCTTTGGCTGCAATCGCGTGTTGGTAGGCATGAAGCCGATTTTGTGGGTGCCATAAGAGGCGGTAGGGCCGTGTGGCTTCACTGCTCTCCTCATTGAACTGATCTAAGCGCTGACACTGAATTTGGCGCCTCCGGACTTGGAGGATCTGAGTGCAGCACCGAGGCATACACCACCGTCCCGGAGGACTACACACTGAATGGCAAGTAAGGTTTCGGTATGCGAAGAACCAGAACCAGCACCCAGGTCTCAGGCGACCACATGCTGGATGACTTTTGACATGTGGCATCATGGACAATAACTGCAAAGAGGAAGAGCAGAAAGTTCGTGGCCTGAGACCTCTACCTGCCTGACTAAACCACAACGCCAGCCTGAACCCCAACGCACCGAAGGGCAACACAGAGAACGTGGGCCTGACTGACTGCGCAACCTGTGACTCGTCACCAAACGTCCAATAACTGTAAGCTCAAGCCTCAAGCACTGAATGTACCGCTCCAAATGTACGGTGGACGCAAGCATGGAAGAATGGCACCCAACGCACGCACTGAGGGTTCTCGGCTTAGCCCCGTGCCATGTCCAATGGGATCATGGGGTGCAAGGTCCCAGCTGCCATGCCTGCACCTTGCTGACTCCCTCCAGCTGCCACGCAGAGCCCAGGAGCGGAGTCCCCCATAGCAGGTACACTGAAATGGCCAGTTTCAGCTTCCCGCATACTCAGTTAGCTTCGTTGGATGAGATCACTGAGCATGCGTCTCATCCCCCTGCTGTAGTGATAGAAAACCAAGAGAAAGGCAAGGCAAAGCATGTCATGAGAGCGTGGCCTGAAGACCCTTGGACACAGGGTTGTCACACACACACACACACACAATGTACTGCGTGCTCTGCTTTTCTGCGACACCATGTCATCATTCTGCTTGACGGCATCGCATCAACCGACAGTCTCCTCGCCTCGCCCTTTACATTCGGGTCGGAAGCTGTCGTTGACACGGTCGGAACCAGAATCGCACCAAACCTTCTACCGTTCAGGTAGGGGGCACTTCTGCCAAGCAGAGGCTTCGCCGCCGGCCGCAGAGCCAGACACCTGCGATGTGTAATTTCCGACTTGCACAGCCTTGCACCTGCTTCACTCTGCAGGTCATGCTTGCGCAGTTCACTGCATCGCGTCTCGGCCACTGAACAGCTGCATGGTCAGCAAGAAGGAAGATAAAGTACCCGCCTCAGCCAATGCCTGCGACAGACTGCATCCCAAACCTACAATTGCCAGGATTACCCACCCTAGTACTGCCGCACTCAGCTGTTAATTACACTGCAATGGATTCTAAGGTTAGACAAGCACCTGAGACTGGCAGCCACTAGCATGGAACATCATGAAACGTCCTGAGCTTTGGGGTTGTGGAGTCGCTATGTTGACGCTCAAAGAACAGCCCTGGCCGTGATGGATCTAGCCTGCTCTATCTCCTCATGCAAAGCAGCGAGATCTTCTTGCCTCAGCTATCCAGCATCCAGAGCTGAAAGAGAACTTGCGATGAATCAAATCTTACTGCCCTGCCTCAACCCGCCCCCTGCAGGCCCCTTCCCCAGCCGCACCCCACAAGGGATTCCAACAGTGCTGCCTTGTCAACTGTTCTCCCCAACTTGGTCGAGCGGAGATACAGTCAGCGACGATAGCATCAGCCCTCACAATTGGAGGCCACCAGTGACCACATGTAAACCAAGTCTCAATCCAAAAAGATTTGGCAAGCGCCGCTCTGTGAAAGCCTCAGTTCCTGACTCAGCCGCCTTGTCAGCAACCACCCAAACCTCTTTCAAGGGACTTCGCGGAAAGCCTGCACAGGAAGTGCTGGAAGCACACCAACACGGATGTCGTACTAGGCAGTGCCTGGAGGCCACGGCAAAGTTGTCGCTGCAAACCGCTGGCGCCACTCGGACATCTTGTCCTAAATTCTGAAATCAGAAACACAAACTACTGACGCTCTGATTCTTTCACTCAAACCGCAAGAAACTACTGCAGCCTGCCCGCCAAACCCGAAGACGGACCAATCCGTCGGTGTGAGATGCTCATCTCTGAACATATCAAAGGGTGCCAACTCTTGCTCAAAACACGCTAGCAGTTCCCAGCGACGGCAAAGCGGTCCTCCCACTTGGAGCCGTCCTCGTCCCCAGTCTGGGCCTTACTTTCGATTTCTGTGCAGATACAAGTCGCGCAAGTGGCTCTAAGGCTGCTTATATGTGTTTCTTGCTGCTGGGTGCCACAACTATGCAAAGGCTAATCGCAGAATCTCACAATATGCCACTCAGACACAGGATTTGCATGTTTTTCTTCCGGCCCCTGAAATAAGTCAACTGGTGTGGTCGTGCTGTGCGTCTACACGGTTCAAAAGCACCTATGAACATGTACCACTTCTTGAATCCGTACTGACAAGCTTTCGTGCCTGAATGAAGGAAGAGAACAAAGCCACAGCTTATTCAACATTGGCAGGAGGAAAGCCGCACGATCTCTTCGGGTGTCGTTGGACACAGCGAACCGCCCTAAGCCCGCAACACACCCGATCAACGCTACCAGAACTGTTTCATCTGAGCTTTGGCCGCATATTCAGGCCAATCGTTTGCGCTCTCTTCTAGCTTTAAACATGGCTGCCTAATGCTTGGCTGGCGAGTCAATGAAGAGCTGTTCAACACTTGGATCATAGAGCAGTTGTTGATTGCCCAAGCAAGGCTCAAACTTCCAAACTGCCTGCTGAAGCAAGGATTTAGATTCCATCTGCCAGTACGTCCGAAGCTCCACCACTACCAATGCATCCGTCAAGGTCCTTCAGCACAGCGGCGACTGATAGCCTTCTCAACCTTTTGGCCAGCACTGCCTGCACATATGGACATTATCACGACAAGAGAGAACTTCTAAATCTGTTTCAATAGTTCAGCATAGACGAGGCAAACAAGGCAACAACCCCAGCACCTCAACCTTGTCCTTGATGTCTTGCACTGCTTGCTGCGCATTGGTCGTCTTTGCCCAGATCTTCACTGGAAACCTAAGTGCCCGCGAAAAAGTAGAAGGATTCACAGGGCTTGTTGATACTACCCCGCAGCCATGCCTGCAAACCCCATCCCTTTTGGACAAACACTCGAGATGAAAAGCAACAGAGCGCTGGGCCAATAGGCATCGTCATCGAACTCTTGCGGGCCGCAATACTCGTTCAAGTCCCAGTCCAACTGCTCCCTGCCCGGATGGGAAATGAAATCCGAGACGCGCTTGCGATCTTGTCTTGAGCACGCAGCAAGCGAGTTTGCGGTCATCTGGCTATGTCTGGGGTGCTCCACGTCTAGCTTTGAGTACAAAAGGAGCTCCGCCTCGCGTGGCTGAGCCAAGTCTTAAACTCTTCGAAGTATTCTCGAACGGCAGGGATGTAGGCAGTTGCAGTTGGCCTCAGCATGGCATGAAAGCGGCAAAGACTTCAGTTGTAGCTTAACTCCGCCGGTTCTGGGAGTGCGGCTCTCGGATATCGAGTTCATCTCGAAGGCCCAAGTCCTACACCGGCAAAGGCATACCAAGCATGTGAGCTTGACTCTTGACACGGGGGTCCACGAAACTCTAGATAGTCTCACTTGATGTTGCAAGCTGCCCCCACTTTCACAAGGCTTGTCGTGCTACTCACGAAAGACATTTCCTGCACGGCTCTGTCCACTTAGAGACCTGCTATTGCACTTTCGCTCTGAAGCCCTGCGGCTCCTTGCTCAACTTGTTGTAGACTTGGCACACAAAGCAGCACAATTGGTGAAGCAATGGGCATCCGGACCGTCACTGATCATTCACACTGATTCTGCAGGCCCAGACAGGCCCTCTTTCCATCCGAGAGCCGACCTTTTGTTTTCCTGAGGCCCGGCACCGTAGTTCTGGAAGAACGCTGAAAAGCCATCTTCCTTATGTGCATGGGACCGCAGAGCTGTTGGAAGATCTTCTAAAACAATGGGGAACCCTGCGATCTGCGCATCTTCCTGTTATGCTGTAGAATGTTGCAGCGTAAGTTGGAGAGTCTGTTGCGGAAGGCACACACAACTCCGGAAAGTCGATTGCAAGCAGCTGCTTTTGGCACTGTAGGTGATGTATAGATTCTGCACCCGTTTCCAGAACTCCCACGGAAAGCTAGTGCCACAGCGGCGAAATTGGACCATTCCTACGGATCATCCCACCTATCAGTAAGACATGCATCCCTTGACACCTGCAGGTCCCATGCTGCAAGTCTTCCTCTGCAGGTCAAGCTATACCGGCAGATTGACGACCTGGCCGGTCCCCGCTGAACCTGTTTGAGGGTCGGGCGCCAAAGTCGCCCTTCCCGAATCTTTCGGGGAAGCTTTCACTTTGCCTCATTGGAGAGTGTGTCAGAGAGCGCCCATAGCTCGGTCTGACCACTTAGTAACTTAGCCCTGGGCCGCTTCCAGTTCCTGCTGCTGTGCACTTGGGGATCCTGAGCCCAGCTGATAAGAAGCATCCAGGAACATCTCTGTCACCAGGACCTTTGAAAGAGATACGAGCATATTGAAGGCCACATGTGTGCTCTTTGTTCCGGTGAGAGGTGTAAGTTGGTGTCTCGCGATACTTCGACTGCCCAGCATCAGCCTGGGGTCTCTGCTAGAGCATTTGCTGCCTGGTTTTCGGTGGAACTTCGCAGTGAACCCGCCCAAACGAATCTGCAGATCTGAGTGGACGCAGCAATGGATGGATGCCACTTTTGCAACCTGGGGATCCGGCCGTCAGCCTGAAAACCAATTCGGAATTCCTTTCTTCGCAAACGCCTTGCAGGTCGACAACCTGGGAGCAGTCTGGTAAAAAGAGGCTTTCAACGGAGGTCAAACGAGCTTTGGTAAGTTTCTTTATCCTTCAACTGTCAACACCACAACAGCGGACAAGCTGTCAACGATCAACTGAGTCTTTCCACGGCCAGCCAAGCCCTCTCATTGCTATAACACTGAGAACAGAATCCGTGTCTTCTACTACATGCCCGACCATCTTCACCCCTCTGGGGCGCAGACCATCATCTTATGGCCACTCCTACGGTGCAAACACAAGTGGCGCTACAAGCTATGTGGAGACATGCAAATTTGTGAAAGCATTTCGGTGATTTGCTGATGACAGACATGTCAAGCGGTGTTATCGCGGCTGCTCAGGTCGGCTACGTCACTTTATTGCCACTCAGCATGTCCAGGTGAGCTCAAAGTCTTAACAGTGCTTGGACAAATGGCCTCTCGAATGTGAAGTGCGAGAAAGCCTGACACAGGCTGGCTCTCTGAAGTCAGGATGTCAGGTTGTGCTCACGGCAAGCTACTAGCTGACTCAGGATTTCTAACACCGCTACATTCCGTAACCCCTGTACCTGTGCAGCAACTGCAGTCGCAGCAGGGGCAGCAGGAAGCAGCAGTAGCAGGAAGCAGCAGTGGCAGAATTGGCAGTAAGTAGTCGTCGTCGTGGTCGGTGTCATCCGTGTCGTCCTCGTCGTCTGCGTCGTCCTGGTCGCCCTGCTCACCGTCGAAGCGAATATAAGCAATGGCAAAAGGCAGCAGCCATTGCAAACAGAAGCAGCAGCAGCACCAGTAGCAGGTATAGTAGTATGAGCAGTAACAATAGCAGTCGGGACCAGTGGGCGGCAGCCGGCAGTAGTCAATAGCAGCATAATGCAAGAACCCGATTGCCATCATCATCGCAGGACCATTTCACTACCATCACCGCGGCCAGTGGTACAATTACCCCCACGGCAAAATACAATAGCCACCCATACATACAAATAAAATCATAGCTGAATCATACCCATCATCAGAACCCCAACATTTTTCTGCCTGCAAGCATGCGAGTGCTTTCCTGGCTGCTGGAGATTCTCTAAGGTTGTCGCAGCTTGTGGTGAGGGCTGCGCAGCAGTGCTGATACCCTCCCGCCTGTGCCACGGCGCTGTGTTTGCTCAGGTCCTCGCTGACATATCCTCAAAAGCATTCAGGCTGTTGTGCTGCGGCTGATATACGTGCATTCTGAAACGTGCAAACTGCAGACCTTAGCCGACTTGCATAACCTCCTGAGAGTGCCGAGCCAAGGACCGTCATTGTTGTTGAACTTGACCCAAGTGCCTGCAAAAAAAGGCACCATGATTGAGAGTCGCACTGATGGTTGCAGAAGGCCAGGGATGCAGGGAGGGGAGGGCAGGAGAGGGGAAGGGAGGGGGAGGCACCTACCTGCATGTTCGCGTGCATGCATGCACTACATACACACATACACAAACACATAAACACACATAGACACAAACGCATGCATCAACCCACCTACAATCTACAAGTACCTACCCTGGCGGCCCTGGCAGTAGGCTTGCGACCCAGGTTCGCCAAGCCCTAGGCCGAGAGACTATAACGGCTGTTCATCGCGAGCTTTTCTCTTGGCTTCAAGGCGGAACTCGCACGCGACAAGTGATTGAAACCTGTCTCTGGCAGTTGCCACCGTGCTGCGTAGCACGAAGGCACGAAGGTCTCAAGAAACCACGACGTCGGCCTGAAAGGTACTTCTCGCCACAGAAGTGGAAAGGCCTGAGCAAGTCAAAGGCAATACAAGCTCGCCCTGTGAGCTGCCTGCCCCTCGCATCGGCTCACAGAACAATATGTGCATCCAGGGTTCTCGTCAACTTGGGGGTTCGCCAGGTGCTTGCTGTACACCCCAACCTCGCTGAACTTGAAATCGACCTGCGTTTTCAGAGAAAAAGATCCTCACCAGCTGATCTGAGGCTTCACTTTCGCAGCAATCGATGGTTCTGATTTGCGGCTGGGAGCGCTGGCCTTCGGTCGCAAGCCCCTTTGGTCCATCTCCTCCTGAAACCTTAGATTGCACAGGCCCACAGCGTACGTCACGAACGGGCCGAGCGCACAGAATCTAGTGAGTGCTGCAGAGTGTGCCGCACGCTTGCACTGACGCCGATCAGGGCAAGACAATCGAGCGTAGTAGGCTGCGACGGCAGACGACCTGAGCAGCCCGAGCTTGCTGGACATCTTTGGGCAGCATATATACTAAAGGACCATGTGTGTCTTCTTTTCGAAATGAAACTCCTCAATGCCCCACTGAGCCCTGTCAATCGAGCCTGAACCTACAAAGTAAGTCACCAATGGCGGGGTGAGTCAAAGCAGCGTCCCAACTTTCGATTCTGAGAAAACGGCTTGGCAAACACATGGTGCTCCTGGTCATGATTAGGGTCACTAAGTGTGTGGAGGGCAACGGGATCATAATCTGGCGAGACGAAAACAAAGAACAAACAACTCAGACCTTCATGCACTAGTCACTCGTCACTAGCCACTCCTGTCCTCGACATATTGTGACATCTTGGGCCTCTTCACTTTGAGTTTGTTCATGTTCGAGCCTCGACCTCGGAGGTCCCCACATGATCCCGGAAAAGTCGCTTCGCCACCTGCTTGGCGGTGGGGTCCTGCAAAGTGGCAACATCGAACACGGGTGGCTGGGCTGTCGCTGCAGAGAGCTCACGAGCCCAAGCTTTTCCAGATCAGTAGCGCATCTGCGGGGCCAGCATCGGATCTAAAGACCTTCGAGTCTCTCGAGTGACCTGTCGCTCGCTTGACGGCAGAGCTTCGCTGACTTCTCCTCTCCTCTTATGTCTCGAAAGGTCTCGAAGGCCTGTCGCATGTGTAGCATCTATGTAGCCGTCTCGTGGCCTTGGGCCGGGAAAGCGGCGGGAAGACCGTTTCAACCGCACTTTACACACGGACACGCACAGTTGGTGCAGTGCGAGTGCGGCGGATAACGAAGTGCTACAAAAAGCACCAAACGCCAGAGCCGTGAGCCGTGGCGGCTCAAAGAGCAGAGCACTACGACCCTTGGTCACTCGGTTCATCTAGGTCAGGTATGAAACAAACTCCGATTGGTTTGATCACTAAGTCACTAATCTGGTCCCTTTCTTGGAAGACCAGAGAAAGTCAGGAACAAAACCGCTTGATGAGCGAAAAGAACCCTCATAACGGCTGGTTGCCACCCTGGGCTCCGCCCGCATGGACACTTTGGTGACCCCCATAACTTCTTCTGAGGCGGCAAGCCTGAAAGTTGCAGCCCAACAGCTGTAGCAGGTAGACCGCAGACTTGGCAGAGCTTGGCTTCAGCCTCACCTCTGCTTTGACGATCAACTTTCGCAGCCTGGACCGCCAACCCAATGCATGCATGCCGTCTGCGGCTGACTGGTGAGTAGCAGCACTGTAACTGCGTAGACCAGGCAAAGGGCGGGAATGCCCAAAACCAACGTAGCCGCTGTCGGACTCGAGCTCCACTCCTCCTTCCTCCTTTGGGCATCCTCCTTCTGCTTCGGGATCAAGGGAAGTAAGAAAAGACTCATGAGCGACATTGCATAGGAGAGCACGTACGACCAAGCTACTGTCGAACGGAACTGCGGGGTGTCCGCCATGTAGTTTTCCAACTCGGACAAGTTAGGACGAAAGAGGCCGTAGATCTGATTGCTGACGACCGTGGCGAGGGGCAGGCTCGCGTTCTGCAGTGTCGCAATCAAGCCGTAGCACATACCCTCGCGTCCCCGTTCCGAGAGCTCAATAATCATTAAGTTCGCCACCAATGCAAGTGCTGCCTTTGGCACGTTACCAACGATAGCTTCGCCAAGGTAGAAGTACTGATTCCGAACCACACCGAAGATCGTCAGGAAGGATGCGACGGCATCCATGACTGACACTGTCACGATGGCAATGAGGATTGCTTTCCTCCAGCTTGTCTGGAGGAAGTATTCCTTGTACGTGTAGGTGGCGATCATCATCACGAACATGCCAGCTGACCCACAAAGCTGTTGCTGCAGAACTTTGACTCCTGCCCACTGGCTTTGGACCATAGGTGTCGCCGTGGTTACTGTGCCGACAAGGAACTGGACGACGAATGCGAACATCAAGATGCTGGACAGAGCGTTCTTCTTGACAAGTCTCCTCAACTAGGGCTTACAACCAGCATCTGGAGTTCCAGGGTTTCAGGTGATGCATCGCAGTAGGGCCGGGGGTCTGTTCAGCAGGGCGTCGGGTTTTGGAAATGTGGAGTTTGTTTGGCTGCGAACTGGGGGCAGCCGCGCACTGTGGCACAGACATTGGCGTCAGCAGCCTAGTGCAAGCAAGTTTCCAGGAGGACTTAGCATGGCCGCGGAGTGCTGGGTGCGTGGTCTTTTGGGGCTCATGCACGCAGAACCAGCTGACGGGGATGACGATGATGACCATCACCAAGCACACTGCCATTAGGCCACTGAAGGACAGTCCCCAATCGAAGGTGCCCAAGTATGCCTTTCCATTCAAGAGGAATCCAATGACGAGGGAGGAGGCCAGCCCTCCGGCCGTGCAAACCATCGTCATTTCTGCCTTGATGTGTCCGCGCCGCTCTACTGGCTCGCGTCGTGAGTACTGCAAGATTAGCCCCTCACCCGCCGTACTCCCAATCTGCAGACCTGCGATGAGCACGAACAAAGGAAAAATGTACCAGTTCTTGTGGGTATGGATGTCCGGATTGCACGGCGGGGAATACCAGTCATAGCTGCCATCCGGGTATTGACAGTAGTAGGGCGCTGGCAAATGACGCAGGCTCATCACCAAGAGTGCACCGGCACTGATTAACCAGCATGCCAACAAGTAAGGCTTCCTATTGTAGCCGAAGATGGGAAAGCAGTCGTTGATCATGCCCAAGGGGAACAAGAACACTTCTGGAAGTTTCATGAGTGCCGCAACCGACGCCATGACGTATGAATCCAATCCCATGTACCCCAGGAAAAACCCATAGACAACCCCAGACGCAATGGCATTCAGGAAAGCAAGAAGGAAGCCACTCACTGGCAGGCCAATGGTTTGCCATGTCCAGATGCTGATGACTTCGAGCTCGTCCTCTTCGAATGCGGGCTCCCCATCATCGGACTCGGCGGAAGACTCACCAGTTGAGGAACCCACACTTATGCTCTCATCATCCGTAGCAGCGGCGAGAGTGGTGCCCTGTGAAAGGTATGATGTTGACTTCCTCAGGCTGCTTCCTGTATGCTCCAGGTTCAAAGCCCGCTGGGAACGGCTAGTCGCCGGCTTCTCGCTGTCCGCCTGGATGGAAACACGCATGTCTTGGGCGCGGAATCGTCCTACGATTGGGATTACACTTGCCTGCCAGCCGAAATGCTCTATCGATACGTGGGAAGTGCACAGCACTGACAATGCAGAGCACACCGTTGCGAGCTAGTGCTGTGGGTGGGCGACACCTCGAACATCAACCTCATCAATCTCCAGGAGCTGCAAACAGTTGCACCACTTGCTCAACCCGCACCCTGTCCTGTTTCTCCGTCATACCGTAGACAACTCGCCTCAGAGAGGTACTAGCAGCTGCTGTCACCACTGTCTGCATCGCACCAAGTCCAACGTCAAGTGACATCCTGTAACCGATCGCTCTGAAGCCTGGGAGTCCGTCCTTGCATGTGAACCCGTAGATGGGGGGAGGTGGAGGTAATGCCATGGAGGAATCGTGCTTGACTGGCGAGCGTGTGGACCAAACATCCTCGAGTTGCATGTGCCAGAAAGGCGAACTCAAACCAAGTTCCGCAACCCAGGACCTGGAATGCAAAAGTGCCAAGCATGCATACACGCACATTGATATATATATATATATATATATATATATATATGTATGTATGTATGTATATGTATATATATATATATATGTGTGTGTATGTATGTATGTATATGTAAGTATGTGTGTGTGTGCGCGTGTGTGTATGTACATTATGTATGTATGTATGTATGTATGTATGTGTATATATATATATAATCTACATATAGATATATACACGCGCAGCAACAATTTCGCACCAAGGCCCTGGCATACCACCTGCCACAGCAAAGGTTTGCGAATTTCTTGCACGGTACAAATCGAAAGTCAGGGCGCGCACAGACCTGGTGACATCACCAAGGGGCTGCATGCATGGTTTACAACACTCACACAAACAACACACACACACACACACACACACACCACATGCGCTCGCTCTGTGCAAGCATCACGACAACCATGAGCACGTGCAGTCAAGAATACGAAAAGGGTCGCAGCATCGTCGTAGTAGCAGTGACAAACGTAACAACACGATGTAAAGAAGTGAAGCGGCAGCAGCATACCAGTAGTCGTCGTGATTAACAAAGAGTAGCCGCAGCAAGTAGGAGCAGCAGCTGGAGCAGCCTGCCACCCACCCCCGCCCAGCAGCAGCACAGCAGCAGCAGCTGTTTGCCTCCGCCATTGCAGAACGAGTCGACAGGATTTGTGATGATATGTCTCACCACTGAATCCCCACGCATCAGTCGTGATTTCCATGGCCTTTTCAAGTGTACGTAGCAAACAGCAGCATGATCATCAAGCTGCTGCCTTTTTTCTGCCACATGGCACGCCGATGACAGCTCCGCGGGGACGCTGGAGGCCACAACTCACGAGAGCATCCTAGTCCTTTGCAACACAAGAACAGAAGTCAGCAGTAGTAGTAGTAGTAGTAGTAGCAGCGGCAGCAGCAGCGGTAGTGGTAATAAGTTCGTAGCCACAGCTGACTTGCCACGACTGTGCCGGCGAAACAACAAACACGACGACGACGACGACGACGATGCTGACGAGGAAGTGGAAGGGACGACGACTGCCGCCACCACCACCAACTACTCGCGGCACCTCTGTTAAAGAAAACTGCTGAAAGTTTCGAGACAGCACGGCGACCGCCCCAGCTTATTGTTCAACCCGTCGCCAAGTGATGTCAAGTGGTGCTGCAAACTTGTTGACTTGCGCGCCTTTCATGAAGGGCATCTTTCTCAAGTAGAGATCGACTGAAGGTCGAAAGGCTTTCCTCTCGAACTGCCTGGACGAGCGCATGACATGGGCACGAGGATTGAGGACTCGAGCACTCGGATGCTTCTTGCGGCCCACAACTACCCAGCTTGCAAACCAAGCAGTAAAGACATAGAGCTGCCAAGGTCAGACGCTTGACTGAGGGCGTGGCACACCATCGAAGAAGTAAACAGCCTGCGTTGCTGAGATCCTGTCCCAGCAGCGAAGGTTGCCTGGGTCCTCCACAACATCTCTATTTCTCGCACATCTGGCAGGCTGAAGCTCTCATAATGCCAGCTTGATGGCTTTCCGGCGGGGCTTAGCATAGGGACTTCAAGCCTTCACCACCCAGTCCTTGTAGATCTCTGCAGGGCGAGGGTCTTCAAAATTGATTTTGTCGATGTAGTTCCTGGTATTTCTTTCGTTCTATGTGCACAAGTTGCAGGGGTGGCGGAATGGGACTCAAGGTTTTTACAGTTTCGGAATAATTACATTTGTTTTGAATTCGTCATGTTCCATTATGAGGCTATTTGCACGGAAATGTCAAAAGCCATGAAGGCAGAAAGCACTTGCACCCTATCGCTGGGGCTGTGGCTGTGGAGCATCTTCCTCGCGGAGGCTGCCGGTTGCTTTTGACACCGATCAAACTGTGATGACACATTTAGGGCACATGCCTTCCTGCCTCCACCCTTCTTCGATACTTGGTGGAGCTATATGTCGATGAAATCCTCTAAATTTCTTAAATACAGAAATCCCCGGACCTGGATTTGCTCCAGCGTGCCCGTGGCCTTTGTGGACCACAATGTTTCTGGCTTTGGGTCACTGGGGTGTGACAGCTACAGGAACTGGCAGTATTTGGCACACAGCAGATTCTCTAAAGCACCCTGTGGGTTGCCTGACGCCTGTGCAAGGAATCATGCTTCGTAGTTTCAGTACTGGTCATTTCCCGTCTCGGGTTCGCGTGCAGGCCACAGTTTCAGGCGCCGGCTCGACAGCTTGTTTTCCTGACATCAACAACTCACGACAGGTCAGAAAAAAAGCCGTCTACTGATGCACACCTCGGACGACAGCTTAGGCGAAGCTCGTGTTCAGCTTGCCCGCAGTCCAGACAGAGAAAAGATGCTTTTCACATGGACAGCAGCTACCAGCAACTGCTGCAAGGTACGTCTGAAAGGAACTCAGGGCTAGGCTTCTTCCAGTCCCTGGGCGGCTTGAAGTTTAAACGGTGAGTGACCAGCCGTGAGAACAAAGGGGGATGACTGCAAAGGTTCAGTGCTGCTCTGAAAGTGGTGTTGCAGGGCACATCCCCGTTTCTGTCGCGAGCAAAACAAAGGGCAGATTCCAAAACCCCACAAAAGTTGTTTGTGGGATGCACGGGGTCTCCAACGCGGCCGGCGATTTTTCTGAGCATCCCAAGTGCGAGCCGCAGGGGCAGAGGAGTTGCCCCTCCACTCCGGAGAAGAAGATGCGGACAATCTGTACGAGGCTCGTGACACAGTTCTCGCAAGCTTAGCGGTCCTGAGACCTCGCGTACCACGATCGCAAAGCCTGCTGTAAGCCAGATCGACCATGCCACAGGCATGAAGATCCGGCTCCAAAAAAATTGCCTAAGCCGCCTACCATGGGAACCTACCGAACTTCTGGCAACTCCGCGGAGCCAAAGGTGGAAACAGCGTGTCATCCCCCCTTCAACTCCACCGAGTGCCCGAATTAGACGCTTTCCAGCCTGGCCCTCACTGACCATTTGCCAAAGACATGCAAACTCGACACAGATCAAACCTCCATAGGCAGCGCTATCGCGCTATCCTCCGGTTCTGTTTGGCTGTACATGGCTGCTGCTATGCAGCGGAAGATCTTCTCAGAAAGCCCGCAGTCACACTTTGCAGACCCTCCATTCTCATACGCAGACTTCCTTGTATTCCTGCGGAACGGGCAGATCACTCAAGCTGTTTTGCAAAATCTTCTTGCTCCCATCAAGCGGAGCACAAGCTGCTTCCAGGCTTGAAACGATCAGCGCCAGGAGGTCTGCCGCCTGCAAGCTTTTGTTCCTTTTAGAAAAAATCTACAGGCCTACCCTACTCCATCAGCCATCGGGCTGAGACGTTGTTCGGCCAAGCCACCTTCTCATCACATAACAAGGGGTCAACGTAGCAGAGGGTAAGGAACATGTTCTCCTCCAGAGTCATGACGTTTAACCACACGAAGGGTCCCCAAGCAGCCTGATGCGATACGAAGTGCGATTGTACAACCTTGAAGTCACCAGAGTCTAACTCGGGCAGGATGCCAGCATTGCTGACAAGAAAAGCATTCGTCCGGCCCTGATCTGGGCCGTCCAGGTCCAGGGCACCCTGCAGCCATGCGACATCCTTCTTTCCCATAGCAGCAGTTAGGAAACGCATGTACCAAGCGATGTTGTGGGCTTCCAACTTCTTCCCTGCATCCTCGACAGCATTCTTGGCGCATGCAGCCAAATCCCAAAAATTTGTGTCTGTGCCGACGTCCAATGTCCCCCATCCGCTTCGAAATCGAGCCCCCAATGAGTAAGAGCCGAACAAATCCTGGCCATCAGGAACGTGCATCCGTGCATCAATGGCAAGGATGGGGCGCATGCCCACCTTCCCGTCCCCGCTCATCTGCTTGCGCAGGGATATGGCCAAGCTGGCCAACAAGGCGGTGTTGACCGTCAGCTTTCGCTCCCTGCAAATCGCCCGCAGCTTCCCGGCAATAGGGACCGAGGCAACCTGGGAGCGTGTCTTTCGACATTGCCACGGCGCCAAGCCATCTGGCTTTGGCCACTCCTTGCCTTCCCTGGGCTTAAGCTTTCGTCGAGGAGACCCCAGTGGCACCAGATCTGCCAAGCGCCCTACGGCCTTGCCAGGAAGTCGGCCGCCTTGCCGTTGCTCCATGAGTCTAGTGAACCGTGAAGACGGTTGATCAAGAAGCTCCGACAGTCGGAGATCCAAGGCAATCTTCGGAGATGAGCGCTGGCGGCCAGACAAAATAGAGACAAGCTCGCGCATCAGCATCCAGATGCTCCGCTCATCCACGATGGCGTGGTGGAAGGTCAGCAGAAGCCAGCCCTCGCGCAAGACCCTTGCTCGCCACAGCAGCCGGCCCTCGCACTCCTGAGTCAAACAGGCGGTTTGCACATGAACTCCATATGAACAAGTCAGTGGTGCAGAAAATCAGAGCAAAAACAACACGCGACCTGCCAAGTCGGAGCAATGCCATTCGAAGCCTCCTCGGCACCCAGCATTGCCAGGGATTGAGGCGACACATCTGCCTCCTGGAAGTGCGACCCGCAGAATGCGATGTAAAACAAAGGGTTCTGGGGTAGGACTTCATCATCGACCACACTTCCAGGCTTAGCTGGCAGTGCTTGTGTGGCAACACAGGCTAATCGAAAAATCAGACATGCCTGACTGCACCTTTTGCTCTATGGTGTCGAGGCAGCGCAAAATCTGTGATTCTATTCGGAATCTTGCGACATCTATCGCAAATTCGTTGAGTTCTTCGATTCTTACAGAATCCGGTTGAATCTGGGAGGACGGACCGATTTCTTGAAGGAGGGGTCCGCTGCGCAGACAGGAAGCTTTAAGTTTCTTTGCTCTGCGCAAAAACATCGACCTTTTCAAATCTTGAGCCCAATACAATTTATATCAAGGCATGTCAAAAGATCGAAGTTCAACATGATCCGATCCTACCACTTATCAGCGTCGAATAATGGGAACCCCATCGTTGTCACGGAGAACACTATTGCAGATACACGCCAGCGAACGAAAAGTAGAAGCATTAGCATGCTGCAAGTTGGGCGGGTGGGGCATGTGTGACCAGGAGGTAGGATCTGGTTGTCGCCAAGTGCGAGGTAAAGTTCCCGCTTGATGCCCCGAGATGAGCATAACAGTGACAAATGCGATTTAGTTCCTCAGAGAAACCTGGTAAGACGAGTGGGTGGGGGGCTGAAGCAATGGAGCAGCACTCTGTGCTCTAATAGCCGGAATCCTCGTCGATCACAATCTCCGGCTTGAGGTCGGGCCGCAGGAAGAAGCGCTTGTTTTGGATGATGGCCTCGTATTTGGGATTGGGCTTCTTGCATGGGAAATGATAGGATAGAATGTTCGGTTATAACTTATAACTACGAAAACAAACAAACGTCTGCGAAGCTGATCCCCGAGCTTCCTGAAGCGCTGCGAAGTGATCATGGACCTGTCGCAGGCAGCAGTGCTCTAGCTTCTGCCAAACTCGCATACACTCTCCCAGGCTGCTGCACATCCTGGGTCTACGAGCGACCAAGGTGCCAGGTTCAGGGCTTCAGCCAGATCTTGTGCTGTCGCCGGGCCCTGGACCTGGAACCAGTGCGCGATGGTCGCCTGTTTCGAGTTTCGAGAGTCTGAGAGGGAAGATTTCCAGATAAGGATGTTTCAGGCTGCTGAAATCTTGGCGCTGCTGGGGTCTCTTGCAAATCAGGCAAGCAGCGTAAGGAGTTGCTTTCCAGCTTAAGCGCTCGAATGCTGAGAGGTTTCTCCCAACCAATCGACCACTCTTGCTTCTGGAATGTGGGCTTGAGTAGCCTCGTCTGAAGTAGAATTCAGACCAACACATTCAAAATGTGGGCCTGGTTCTCAAGGCTCTTGCAAAACCAAGAAACTACTTTGGCCAGATTGACAAGCCCCCATCACGCAGCCAGCGCGGTCTGCGGCCGAAGAGCAGCTCTTGCCAACACAGACACCGATGGGCCTAAATCTTGTCCTAGATGCCAGGTGACTGCGCAACATGTGCTAAGGCTCTCCGCCAGTCCATGCTGTGCCGACTTGAGATCTAGAATGCCAGTCTTTACTATGCAAGGCCTGTTGCTGCTACCCTTATACCTCAGGCTGCAAGCAGCACGCAACATCAGGACTCGCATCCATCTGGATTGCTGGGCTGTCAGACACAGGTGCCCTAACACTGCAAACTTGCAACATCCCCCGTACGACTTGGATTTATGCGAAACTCATTTCACGAGTGCCGTCCTGTCTGTGCGAGGCTCGAGACCTGCGAAAGCCTGAAATCCGAGTGCTGCACTCCATGCTTTTCTGCTCGCTCTCGCGGCTAATGCCTCAGAAACGAGAAGGAATTTGGGAAAGAAGCTTTCCCACAACCTGTGAACTCCATTGATGCACTGGGTCGCACCGATCCTGTTGCTGCAAATTACGGTTCGACTGGGGATGATACTGACGGTTGAAGCTTCGAACCTTTCTGAGGCTTCAGCTGATGCTCGATGAGATGGCCTCGGCACGGATCTTGTGCTTAAGCGGTGCCCGCCACCGTCGCTTCCAAGGCCGCCACGGAAAACGCGTTCCTGATAGACGTCGTCCTCAGATGTAGGGTGTCTTGCGACGCGGGTCTTCGCCGCAGAAGCTTTAGGCTCGGACGAAACGCCGCAGTTGTTGAACGCACCGCCGCCTGCCCGAAGCCGTCGTCAAGCAGCTGGGTCAGCCACTCATAATGACATGAAGGCACAAGGACTCCACTGAGCAAGACACTGATGTTTGCCATCTGCTGAAGGTGCTCGAACTTCTCGCCCTGTCATGTGTTTTCGTCTGTGGACACATGCTCTCTCCCAGCCTCTCGCTGCTTGCTACACGCAAACTTTGTGACACGCAAGAAGCTCCGAACCCCCCTCCCAGGAGTCAAGTTGTTGCCGACCGGCATCGCGGCTATCGGAAGACAGGTAAGATGCACTGGACTCGGGGCATGCTGCAGGTATACAGCATAGTTGAGCTATGAATGTGAGTATACTCAGTTGGTTCCCTGCACACCTACAACAAGCCGCGCAGTGAAAAGGCGAAAGTTCGCACAAGACCGTGCCCAAGAAAGGGTCGTGGTCAACTAACAAGCCATCTTGCCACAGGATTTGGGATGCTGTTTGAAGGACATGTTTACAGCTCAACAAACCTCCCGCTGACGAGCTACCCTGAACCAACTGGCGGTGGGCAACGCCATCATGAAATTCAGAAGGCCTTCCCACAGCCCGCCGTGTAGAACTTCATGCCAAGACCTCGCAGTCCAAAGTCGGAACAGCGCTGTTCTCAAACAAGCTTCGGACACAGCGCAAGAACAACAATAGGCTTGCGTGGTCTGGATTCGTGAGGTTGCCGAAAGCACGATCACGAGCACATGCGTTGCTGGGGCATTTCTGCCCTGGCCGTGATATATTGATGATGCCGCGACGGACAGCCCTCTGGGATGTTTGGGGAAGGTTACGAAGAGATTTGCGCTGCATAGTCTGCAGCTTAGGATTCCTTCCGTGATGCCGCGCATATACAAACAAGTTACAGACAAGGCAGAAGTTAATCGAGAACATGTCGTGGAAGCTGCAAACGGTGGAGCTGATGAAGTTTCGTGCATTTGGCTAGGGTGGACACTTCAAACGTGGCTATCTTTGAGTTGATGGATCGGCACAAGCGTTCGAACCACAACTTCACTTCTAGGGGGGGCAATGACTCCACTCCATCAATCGATCTGTTCTTCACCAAGAGAAGGGAGCCTTGAGTTTGAGCCAAGCATTCAATATCAGAACTACCCCGGCCATCTAACTGGTTGCATCAAGTTCGAGAAATCTTAGAATTAACCGCTCTCCTGGGTTTGCCTAAGAGCCCCTTGGACGCAAGCTGTCGAACTTGTTCTTTATCTTGTTGAGGACCTGCAATCGGGCTCTCAACATTCCATACTCTATTTCACAGCACATCACCGAGTGCCTGCATAAAAGCACCATCATCTGTCGGCTCTCCGTCCGAAAAGAAAATGACCTGCAGTGAGGCGAGAACGAGATCGGAGAAGATGCATTCTTTTTGTTGGCTGATACTTCGGCACACCAGGGAGCAAACTCATGAGTGCTGCCAAGAAGCCAGGGCAGGCTTGCCACTGCTCTCTTGCTTGATGGCACGCCGCACACCCTCCAGGCCTGCACATAACCAGTACCCAGTCGACCCCTGACCACGGACCACTGTGCATCCAGCCAGCGGTGTCCAGTTGAAGCGAAACATGTGCCCTGTCTCAACAAATGATCGCGGAACCAATGACTCTCACGAGCACCTTGAGAATAGAGAGTCTGCTTCTCCGCCTCCGGGGCGTTGCAGCTGGGCGTGTGACTTCTTTCGGGTTCTCAACAGCGCAGAACATCTAATTACGATGTTCTGCTAGGATTGGGAGAACATCTGAATGCAGTCTCGCATCGGCAAAAAAATTGAGCGGCAATGTGCCCTCCCTGCCTTGGGCTTGCTGTTTCTCAAGCGAACTTGGGCCTCCTGCATAGGCAGGCCTGTCCAGGCTACACTCTGCAAAAGAAAAATTATCTAGTCTCATCCGCCTGTGAAGTGCATCTCGTACTCTTCATTGAAAGTGAGGAATGAGTACACGTCGTCGCCTCGGGTTGGATCCGGTAGCATCTGCAAGCCGGAACAGCAGCTCATCACCATGCGCCATGTACTTGATGATCAGCAGGTCAGACGTCTAAGAACCAAAGGCTTGGCTGACGGAGACCGAATGCTTCATCCCAGCAGCTGTTGAGGCTGGACTCCTTCATGAAGCTTCTGCACCTCATGTTCGCATTTGCATCCAGATCCGATCCTCTCCACATCCCTGTTTCTGGTACTGCATCAGTGACTCAAGACAGATTCTGAACCAGCGGTGCAAGTCGATCCCGTCATCCATTCTGTTGCCTTGATTGAGCCTTCCTGCCACCTGCGCAAGGGCTCATAGCCGCCAAGCATCTGCTCCATGACGGCGTCTAGCCGCGTCACGGTCTCTCCTGCATACTGGCAGAAAGGCAATACTGCATTTTGGCATCAACCTTCTGCAGGAATTTTAGGCAAAGGAACTGGGGATAGGACCCGTCGCCGAGGAGCAGTCATCCAGCATCATGGATCCAGACCTTATTCAACGCGCAGTGGTCTTTCAACTGACCCAAGGGCCCACGGGCACCAAATTCTGCCCTTCGTTCCGACAGTCCCCCCCTCAATTCCATCCTCAACCCCCCGCCAACCACATGCGTCTCTCACCGCCTGGGCTACTGAGGCTATAAGCACAGTCGCATGCAAAACTGCTGGATACATACGATTGATCTTCTTGACGAAGTGCAGCGACAACAAGCCCACCCCCGCACCGCCTCCCCTTTCTGGTGATGGTGCCATTGATGAAGCACGCGCGGATGCAATACTAAGGCGTGGGTGTGTTTGAATGATAGCAAAACCGAAGTATTGTAGACAGCGCACTGCCATCCGTCTTCTGCCTTCAATTCGTCATCACCCAGCACAACAAGACTTGAGAAATTGAGAACCCTTGGGAGAATTGCAATGCGACAGATCAAGCTGCAAATGCTCAGCAAACATACCTCGGCCGAAAACCGAACATCTCTCAGTACCAGACGCATCGACACAAATGATGTAGTGGGTTGGTCTCGGCTTCTTTCGTCGCTTATCACCTCTTCCCTGTGCCGAACGGGGCCAGAAATTGCATTCAAACAGAGCGATACATCCCTCGATGCTGTGGTCGTCCATGCTAATGTCGAATACGGATTGGCCTCGTCCCCATCCTGGCCAGCAACCAGCGACTGTAAAAACGCGTTGGACGGCGCGTCGGCACCATCATACACCACGGCAGCAGGGACATGCGGGGAGCAACCCATGCAGTTGAAACAGGCACAGGCCTCGTATTCCTGGATCCTCTTCTCCTGTCCAGTGACATGTGGAGTGACAGCTGCAGCACGGAACACTGGAGGCTTGAGACGCAAAGGAAAACAAATCACCGAAGAGCGTCTCTGCACAGCCAGCCTGTCGCGACTTGCGCAACCAATCCTGCAGAGCAGGCGGTCGCCCAGCAGCCAGCAGTTGAAGTGACCCTGGGGCGGCCTGGCTTCGGACGAAGGCGACCTCGTTGCTCGACCGAGCCTGAAGGCCAATCCCCCAAGATCCCCCAAGCACCGTCGGTGTCGCACAGCTCATAAAGGCGCTCAGCCGCGAGCCTTCACCGTTGAGTCCGGAATCTTCGGGCTCTGCTTCGCAGTCTTCCGGATCGTCTCAGAGGCTCTGGCTCTCGCAGTGTTACTTGGAATCGGCCCTGATTGCTGGTTAAGCATTAGCTGTGAAGAGTGGGTGCTGATCCATGCTCAGTCCGGTGGAAGCTCTGTACCTGCCGAGCCAAGTGACTTCTTGGACGAGCTTGTCCGCCATCCCGTTCTTGGTAGTGATGTCTTTCTCGTCTTCCTGGTCGAGAGCCATAGGGCTTTCTAACACACCTACAAGTCGTGGCCAGGACGTGCTAGTACAATCAGATGGTTAGCCGTGTGCGGGTGAAGCAAAACAAGATGACACAAGTCCTGGCCCCTGCATCGCTTCCGGGCTCCCAGCCGAGGAAGAGCTGTCCTCCTCGATCTTTTTCTTGTCCGCGACGGGTCCCTGGTTCCATGGGTTCCATGGATTTCACTCCCCCAAACCCGAACCGCTCGACCGCTCGTGCCTTGCTGGGCCAGGGCTTGGACTGCTGCCTCTGCCTGTACCTCTCTTCGTCGTCAATCCTTAGAAGAGCCGGGACGCGAAGCACTCGTCACTAGTGTGTCGAGTCTAGTATTTCTGAGCTGGCCCTGTCAGCTCCCGGCAGGGCTCGTAGCCTTTGCTCGGCTTCCCACCTCGGTCGTCTAGTTTCTGAGTGTGCGGAGATACCAAGACTCCAAAGCACACAGATCTGTAAACCTAAGAACAGTGCCTATTTCCGGCACACTCCCACTTCTTCATGACATTCCTGCTGCCAAAGCCGCACACATGACTGGCGACTGGAGACTAGTGTAACGTACTGTAGATACCGGGCATAGGTTGCACGAAACTTTCATTCGAGATCAAAGCAGCGGCGATGTCGAGCGAGGCTGCAAAGAGAGCTAAAACGAAACATCATCATGCGACATCCCGCTCTGATGAAGACCGATGTTGCTCAACCATGGTGTGACAAGAGTGCCAGACTGCTTTGGAAATCGTCAGATATGTCAGATTTACCACGATTAGACTGGTGACTCGCTGGACATTCCAAAGAACCCTCTGTCGTTTTCGTGATGGGTATGCCTCTGCCCTATTTCATTCAGCTTGTTGAGGCGGTCCACCACGTCCTGACACGACTTTGAGCATGAACAAAAATTCGCTTGAGGCTGGGTGAGGCCAGCCGTGATCGCATTGCGCATTGACAGGCTGTGCAGGTGGGCATGCTCCGGCCTCATCAAGCCGGAACTTGTGGCAGAAGTCGTCAGTCAGTTTCTGAACTTTCCTCCTGGGAGCAGGCACGCTTGCAATGGACAACAGTCAACCGATTTGCTGTCGGAAAATGAAACTGTCGTCGTCGACGTAGACATCAATCAAGAGTGTAGGCGTCGACAGCCGACACACGCGCATGCACACAATAAACAAACACAACCACCACACTCCAACCATGACTCGCCAGACAGAAGGCCAGCTGAGGGCCATGCTGCATGTGCTTTTTAACTTCGCCTGCCATCTCTTGAGCCGCTGGGGCGTGCCGAGCGTGGATCTGAGGACTTCCACACAACAGAAGCCTATCTTCAAATCTCCAAGTCTAGACGATTCTTAAGAAGCCTGCTTCTACTTGTAGCACCTGACAGCCACTGGACTGGGTCTCGTTGTCGGGGCAGCCCTCTCTCGAAGTAGTCTCCTGCACGAAAGCATGGCTTTGCAGACACGCTGCGCCGCTGCGCCAAGGCTCCGTGCTAAGCACCTGAATCGTGCAAACTCTGGGCCTTCTTCATCGACAACATAATCCACTTCCTGCAGCACCGCAACGAGCTGACACATCTACTTCGTACGGGCAGTGTCAGATCGCATCACCCATGAGGCTCCAAAGCAGAGGGGTACGGCCACTGGCCACTTCAGACGAGGCGCCTCGGCGCTTCGGTCATGGAAGTAGTCCATGACCTCACAGGAAAGGACTCGAACAACTCAAACTCCAAGACCTTAGTCATACCTCGCAACCAGATGTACATGATCTAGGAATCTAGGATCTACTGAGAGAAGAGTGGACAATGTGCCGACAAGACAACTCCGCTTCGGCCGACTGCTCCACTGAGAAGGGCCTGCCGCTTGCTGGTTGGGTCGATGCTCAGTTTCGCCACCTCGGTCGTGACTACTGTGCGCAGCTGGGGCAGTGTCCGTGCGATTCGAGAGACCGTCTTTTTGTGAATCGAAAGTATGCACAACAAAGGCACTCAGCTGAGGCGTGCTCCCACCTGTCTGCCTTCAGCTGCACGCACCGTGGCAACTCATGTCTCCTGGGGCAAGAGACAGTCAAGCTGCGAACCCACCACATCAAACATCCCAAGCCAAGGCTGTATGATGCCAGTGGGCTTCGAAAAGGCGCTGAGACAAGAGCTTTGCGTCGATGAGCTCAGCCTTCACGATTTCTGCTATCTTTGCAGGGGTCTGGCCTGCCATGCAGCAGTTGCTCATATCTCGGCCGAGCTCTCGATGTGCTAACCTGCGGAAGCCTCCCTATACGTACCAAGACGAGGCAGTGAGGCTGCAAACTTTGCCCAGAAGGGCTCACTGCCAGAGCAAGGGTTGTGGCCCCGACATGCACTGGGACTCGAGCCGTCGAGAGCACGGGCCTCCAACTTGCTTACCTAAGCCATCCAAGTCTCAAAGCTTTTCGGATAGGAGCTCCGCTGAATCACATGCCCTGACCCGAGGCCATCACAGCTCGAGCGGCACACTCGGCCTTGCACTTCGTAAAGAGCTCCCGGAGATCTTTGGGGAGCTCGTAACCTGAAATCGGTCGTTTATATCCGTCCATAGCTTAGCTGCTAATAGACTTGAAACTGCCGATGCTTAAAAGGAACGAACCTACGGAAGTAGAGACTGGACCGTCAGCCTAAAAACACCGTGCGTGTTGCAAGTCCAGGCATACGCCTCAGCGACTCAGAGCCACTTAAACTAGGCACCTGCGGACCCCTTATAGAGCATGTCCGGGGTGCCAGGGAGGGCGGATTGCGTTGACATGCTGGGAACTCTCCGAGCCATCCACGGTTCACAAACTCGTTGACCCGCGCGCGCAGGTCTACCCTCCCGGAATCTGGCCTCGGTATGCACTGCCTGCGATTGATCTCTCAAGATTGAACCCGTGAACAGCATGAAAGCTCCAGCAAGGAGGCTGGACAATAACATGACACGCCCGCTCCGTGATACAGGATGTCACAAACCTGACACATGAGACTAAGCTCTTTTCTTTGACTCCCCTCTCTGATCCGTCTCTTCGACGTATGATCTACTAATAAGAACACTCATGTTCGAGCTTCCCCTCCTTCCCATTCCCAGGATTTGACTCAGCTTGTCGTCTTCTGCAACTTATGTGCCCCTCTGACTGTTGAGGCACAAGCCCACAGCCTGCCGAGAGGGCCTCCCGATTTGCAGCACAACCCCTGTCTGTGCACTTTGGCCGACTTGCAGGAATACCCGGCCTGCTTTCCAACGTCCTCTCTCGACCTCGGGGGATGTTGGCACAAGGCTAGGAGATTCTGTGAGAGGAAACACAGATTCCGCAAGATGCTAAAGGTACCCTATGATCCTGGCTCTAAACATGACGCTAGATGAGAACATGCCATCCCTGCCCCGGCTTAGTAGTTCGAGAATGATGTTCGGCGAGTGTTGACATGATATGTCTCATGTGCCGCCCTGACAGACCTCTCATCAAGAGCCAGCCCGCCCGTTCCTTTCACATCGTCATCGTCCCAGTTCGTGAATTAAACGAGCATGGGGCTAGTAACTGTCAGTCCTTCAGGATGTACATATTGGCCGCTACAAAGGCGCACCACTTTTCGAAGCTTGGTGCATGGGACTGGGAGGCCGCACCTATAAGGGACGATAAGACAGGGCTTGCCATCCAGTACGATCGTGATCTGGCGCACATAGACCTGAAGACAAACGACGGAAATGGGCGAGGCACTGAGTAAAGCAGCACCAACCCGCCAAGCAAGGGAGCTTGAACACATGTCGCGCTTGGAGATACATCTGCCAACGGACCAACGGCACCGAAACTTCCAGTTGAACGAGGTGTGTTCCAGCTTAAGCGCAGGAGACACAATATGCTGGGACCCCATGCAGCTGCATCGGGAGTGTTGAACGTCACGAATGCAAAGCCTTTGGGGAAAGCGTTGGCCTCGGAACCACCACATGTTGGCTGCAGGTCTCTGGCGTCTTGACACTGACATGTGCAACTGCAAGGACGCATGTTGTTGTTCCCAGAAACTGCAACCGAGGGCGTCGCATCCATGGCCAGCTTTGCTTCTTGGATAGTAAACTGCTGAGGGATGGCATCATTAAATGCCTCGCGCACTGATGCAGTCAGTCCAGCAAGGCAGAATGCGGCGAAAACGGCGCGACCGAGACTTTACCGCTGCTTCTGCGAAACCCGGCTACTAACGGTTCGCAACACACCTCAAGATCCCGGTCCTGTCTGATCTGCTCCTCCGTTGTTCGCCTCAGCTCCAGAAGTGCATGAGATCAGAGTCGAGGAGTTTCCACGTACCACGCCGTTGTGGCATCTGAGCCATGTACAGCGTGAGGTTTTTCACCTGAGCTCTTTGTGCGCTGATCAGCACAAGCTATCGGCTATCGTGCCCGAAACTGCAAACGGCAGCCCCGAACCCGAATTAGTGTCAATGCACTGCTGGTAGTACTGCTACTACAGCTACTACTACAACCACAACTACGACTATCAATCCACCAACGCGGCGTCAACAGCTTTTGCCTTGCATTCCCAGGCCTGCTCTGAGCGCTTCAGATCGCCACGACTACAAGTCTTTCGCTGAGGGCCTGGCGCGCACTTTCCGGTCGTCCACAGGCCCTTCGCAGCGGTCCTCTGGAACCTTGGCTCTTGGTTCTCGTGCTGTGCCACGTTACAACGAGCTTTGCGCAAGCTAAGGCTGAGTTTGGCTCCGGCCGGCGTGGCGGACGCCTGAATCCGAACATCTTTCACGTGTTAGGACACAGATCTTGCACGATCTGTGGGCCTTGGGCAACTCGTTGGAGCTTGCCTCTGAACATCCTGTCCTGTGCAGGCATCAGCGTCGGGCTAGTTTCGACTTGAATGCTGTGTGTTCAGCACTTGCCGAAGGCTCCCGTCTCTTCAACGGCGAAGCTGCACAAACTCGAGGTAACAACAGGTCTGTGCCCGGACTTCGGAAAGACTTTAATCCTCAAAAGAAAGCGCATTGCCTTCCGGGCGGTGCCGCCCCGACCGAATTTGAAGTGGCCTGTGTACGAAGTGTGGGGAGGGCGTCCCCCATGATCCTGACCTTCCCGACATCGCTGTCGGGGATTGGCCTTTCAAAGTAGAGCCGCTTCCCTCACCGACCAAGTGCTAGCTGAGCCCGCATCCGTCCATCAGACATCGTCCCATGCATCTCTCCCCACAAAGCATACTGTAGGATGTGCTCCCAGTCTCTATACAGTCGGCTGTCTGCCTGACTGCCTCACGAGGTGCCAGGCGTCGCCCCGCTTAGCGCCTGGCATTGCCAGCACTCGCCCTGAAGGTGTCTTGCCTCTCACGATTTGGACAGAGTATGACAGCGCAAACGCGGCATGCTCCCTAGCCAGATGCCGCCTGAAGGCCGAGCGCAGGTTCCAGCTGAAATGGTCGGGTCTCCATTTACACTTGGAAGCCACGGCTTCATAGCGACACGTTCATCTCAGGGAAAACACACAAACCAAAGGGCAGTGAGAGTTGCTGCGCTCGTTCAAACAAATTGAAAGACCGCCGTGTCACATCCCTAAGCCATCTGGCGATGGGTTTGGCTGGGGGCGCTACAGTAGCCACAGGAAATGTTAGTTTAGGTGTCGTGAAAGCACCTGAACCTCCTGTCTAGCGAGTCAAACCACGCGGAGCTACTTGGGCTGGCCATCACGATCGTGTCCGTAACAGGAAAGAGTTCACGACAGACCTCAGACATCTGTTAGTTTGCTGTCAGCTACGATGTAGGAGAATGCGTGGAAGGAAAAAGCAGGTCTTCTACCTTTAACACTCACACTCGGACCTTTGACGGTCCCAGGCATCAGAACGCAGCTTCAACTCCAAGACATAACTGGATAAAAGAACCCTTCCACACCGCCTCGCAGGCCGCTGTGGCACTTCTGGGTGCTGCCTGCATGCAGCAAGGATCTGTGACGTGCAGGCCCTCTGGCTACACCTGTTCGTGCCCTCGGCACGTGCTTCATTTCGGCAGAAGGAGCTACGCTGTGAAAAACAGTTGTCGGTTTCAGAAGCACCCAACAACTCTCCTCAAGCACCTCAGTACACCGACATGGCAGTTCTTGCGAAATCGATACACAGCCCAGAAGTGTCGGAGCTGTTAAAGCCTCGCCGCCGCGAACTGCGGGTTTTGCTGAAAGGGCACCTCACCAGCACACAGGTCGCTCCAGGCCGGGCTCTTCATGTGGCCGTTGGAAACTATTCGTTTTATCTCTTTCCAGAAACATTTTGATGAAACTTGCTGCGACATAAAGTAGCACAGCAGCTACTGCTGCCGATGATGGCACGTACACTGTGCGACTGTGTACGAAGCGAAAGGGACTCGTGCACAGACATGTGTGTGTATATATATATGTATATATATATATATATGTGTGTGTGTGTGTGTGTGTGTCTGTGTGTGTGTGCGTGTGTGTGTGTGTGTTATATATACATATAGATTATGTGTGTGTTGTAAGGTTGCTTATATGTGAGTGCAGAAGATTTAAAACCTGCATGTTCCTTTGCGACACCAGTCACTGGAAATGCGCTCCTGCCCCAAGACATCACAGCATGCCGTATCGAAATGCACCAGCCTCATACCTTTGCGAGTCTGGGGCCCAGGCTGCCGATGCATTGAAACCGCTCCATGGAGTCGTGCGCAAGAATGGCTCTGGCTGTTCTATGTGCACACGTCCTTGGATCACTCGAATATTTTCGGATTCAAGAGGCTGCATAGTCATGACACACAAGTCAGAACGAAGCCGCGGAGACTCTGCTATGGCACGTCAGACAGGAAGACTCCAACAAGTGCAAAAACGGTCGGTGTCCAGACGCATCCCAAAGCCTTCTAGTCTCAGCTGGGTGGCCAAGACTGTCGTTGAATGAGCTGCTAAAGAAGGATTCCGACTGACCAAAGTCTTCGTTAGGCCTTCTTCGGTTTTTCCGGCTGCTGCTCACCTGGCCAGGTCGAGCAGAAAACACAAGCTGCAGAGCATGCAGCCGCTCAAAGAGGCAAGGAGTCCGCCTGCTGCCAGTCCTCGGCTTCTTCGGCGCCTGCCGTATATCCTGAAACTGGGACGGCTTGGCTTAGCATTGACGAGAGTGTGAAGCATAAAACGCACGAGGGCAGGGATGGTGGACGTATGTGAATATTGATATTGACGAACATGGCCAATCCTGTGAGTTGGCATCACTTTGCTGAGCTCCCTTGGCCTTGAGCCCCCGACACAGTGACTTTCAATGAACCTCACCACATGAAACCCTGCTTGTGCATACAGGCGGCCGCCGAACATCGCACCGGCGCTTCGCGGGGCCGAGGTGCAGGAACGAGAGGACGACAGCACTTTCAGCTGTACAGAGCTTGATCTCCAGGCGGCTCACGGTCAGTGGAAATCTCCTTCACTAGTGCACTAGACATCACGGAAACACAGCCGTTGTCTGGAAGCAGCTTCCGAGGAAGGTCACAAGTTTTACAAATGCAGCCAATCTGGCGTTCCAGTACGTAGGCATGAAGTAGTGCGGCCACTGGCATATGTTTCCCGTGAAAACGGACTGAAAGAGGACAAACCAATCCAACAACTTCGACCGTAATCTGGTTAGCCATGATCTCGGGATGCTGCACTGTCAGGAAACATCTAAACGCCCAGGCAAGTTTCGCATGACTACGGGCAAAAAGAAAGTGAAATTTCAAACAAATTGAACATGGGACATTTGGCCCCAGTTATCTGCCTTCGGAACGGATTCCCAGAAGCGTTTGACTGCTTTTCCTGACACTTCGGATTCTTGTCGGCGCCAGCCTCCGGGAGCTTACCGCCCCTTGCGGCCCTTGCGCTGGCTCTGCGATCCGTTCCACAAGAGTGCCGGTCGTCGCGGCTTCTACCATGGATGGCCACGTTGCTCCATCTGTCTTCGCAATGAACACTTGTAAACATCCTAGCCAGAAACCTCGAGACTTCAGGTGTCTCACTGCACTGTGCACGCCGCCTCGCAGCCGCAGTGTCCAGCCTTCTCAGTAGCGAAGCTTTTCCTGGGCAGCACAAGGTTTTAGTCTGATCCTGATTGCTTGCCCCAGCTGGCCATGGACAGAGGATGAATCTACCCCGTCAGTTGCCGGATGAATTGGTTCTGAACTTGCGCCATACCATGTCAGCTCTGCTACCAGTCCCGACTGGTGAATCAGCAAAGTCTTGAATTCGATACAAACCAACTCTTCAAGTATCGGATGCAAGCTGCAAGGTGCCACAACCGGCTGCACTCCATCTCCATCCACGGTAAGGGTTAAAAAGGCAGCCCATCACATCAACTGATGATACAACAGAAAACCTGCATCGTGAAGCTTCATGAGGCCAGCGACGCTTCTTCGAAGGTGATCTTGCCATCTCCGTCCTTGTCCACACTGGAGTGCAGGTCCTTTGCTGCCTGAATGTGGGTGCTGCGACGTCATGTTCTAATCAACACACCATGAACTCTGATATAACAGGCTTTGTCAAGCTTGCTATAGTTGGCAACTACCAAGAGGTCCTCCACTGAAAACAAATGCACCCGCTGCCTTCAAGGCCTTTTCGTGGGATGCCCGGAGCTGTTCTTTCAAGTAAGCTTTCCTTGCATCGACCAGGTAAAGCTGTCCATCTCATGCAGCCACTGAACAAGCACTTATACTCACATGGGTGGATTCAACCCCGCATTGGCCTGGAACTTAGAAGGAATGGAAGCGTCTACCCGCGGCAAGCCTTGCCTCCGTGATGGTCGGCCGACAACAAACGACAAGAGCCACCGCGCTGGGTCAGTCGTCTGAGATTGCAAGCATATGTCCGTACGCATTAGCCAGTCTTTCTGTGCGTTCGTCCATCCGTTGATTGAAGACTTTGTTCAATGAGAAGCAGACCGGAGCAAGCTTTCGATGCCGAAGCTTCTTGTGGCGACTAAATGCCAACGCCTTTTCGTTAAGTGACCCAGACGCAGTGTTTACAGGCGCATGTTCACGAAGCCCACAGAGGAGGCAGATCAGGCGGTGCATCGTGCTGTCCGTCCAATGACGATTTGCAAACCGACCTTTTTATTTTGTGGCGCGCGACCTGCATATACAACAACGAGACCAACGAAGTCGCGTGCGGCATAGCACCTTGCAGAATGGTCGGCGTAGAGACACGTCACACATGGGACCCAGAACAGGAGGAGAAGGAAGCCGACTTCCACGTGAAACAGCTGTGTACATCGACTGATCTCTCGGGTTAGCCATTTCGGGCATTTTCATTTCACTGCTTCGGCGGCCTGGCCTCTTGGAATCGGCTTCCGCTCGGGATGACACGTAGCGACCGAGAGGACATGTTCGGCTTGCACGAACGGCAGGAGTCGGCAAGAAGCATTTTGCCAATTATGCCACCAACACCAAGGGACCGCAGGATGCGAAATGTCCTGCAGACAGGTCCTTCATGCCAAGCCAAGTCGAGGCGGAGCTGAGTGTCGGAGACCCCTATCACTACACTCAACACCAACTAAAACGAATGGCATGCTCAACCTATGTACGGCTACGGGCTGGCATTTCCACACCAGCCGGGCGACATCTCCTCTGCACTGACCACACCATCGCCGTCGGCGTCCGCGTCCTCACGCCACCAGAAATGCAATTCTGTCTTGGCAACATGTTCAGCTGTTCTTTTTGCAAAGTCCTGCCATCTGTCCGTAGGGACTGTTGATATGTTCACATCCTTTATACACCTTGGGAGCTATTTTCCTGATATTTTCGGAGCACCCCCGCCTTGTGGATCTCGGCAGCCTTGTCCTTCGCTGCCTCACCGCAACTGATGCCACAAGCGAGGCTGACGCATGCCAGGGTTTTAAACTATGCCTTGCGGCATGCAAGCCGTCACATCCAATGTCATCCAATGCTTGTACTAGTTATTAGCAGCTCCTGTGCTCTTCAGATCTGAATTCAGCTTTCCCTGTGCTTGTGCTATGCCGCCTGGTGGAGCTCTCCGGCTTTGGCCTTCACTGCAACCTGAGCACGGGACCGTCTCAGTCCTCGCTTCCGACCCTCTAAATCTACTTTGTTTTCCTCCGAAGTCGGAAGGTATAAACCTGGTGGCTGCGTGAATCCACTCACAGGCCATATGCCATATGGCCTGGACTGCAGACGAGCAGCTGCAGCTGCGAAAGCCTTCTCTCGAACTTTGTACTCTTCGTCAAATCGTCCGGCCGCCAGCATCACTTCCTTCCCAGCCGGTCAAAGTCTGCGGAAGGAGCTTCGACAGTGGAGGTTTCCATGGTGATAGCGCAGCCCGAAACTGAACAACAACAACAACAACAACAACAACAACAACAACAACAACAACAACAACAACAACAACAACAAGATGTGGAGAAGCAGAGCAGGATCTGGAAGCATAAAAACCTGTGAATTATGGTGAGCTCTCTGCAGTCCGCCGACCCTGCCCTCCAGGGGTCAAGGGTCCTTTGCACCGGCCGTGACCTTCCCGCTGATGTTGTACTTCGCATCGATCTCTCCAGCCTAGTCAGACACTGCGATGAACGTACAAAGTGAGAGGCACAGCCCGTCTTACTGCCATGCACTTGCGCACTCGATGCCTAGTCCTATCTCACGCTTCTTCGACTAGTCCTGGCGTTGGCCATGAAACTGCTTATGAAGTGCATCTCCTAGTCCTAGACAAACGTTACCAGGAGCGGGTCGTAGGCATATGTCTCTTACATATCCTAGCAAAGCAGACCCTCAAGCCTCCGCACTAAGCCCCTTTAAACCCTACAGCCTTCTTCTGGTGATACCCGAACATCTAAACACTGGGCCAGACTCCGACCCGAACCACTACACATGGTAGCTTCCGACAAGATGGTATCTGCTTCTCTATGTGACACGGCTGGACGACTTGAAGAGGATACGCTGAATTTCAAGGCCTTGGGGTGTCGAGTTCGGGCCAGTTAGGGCTTGGGACGAGCTGATAATCAGGGTTTATTTTGGGCCTGGGAGCCATTGCGAGTCTTCCATTCTATTCTTGCGGGCGCCTTGGCTCTGGCCATAACAGCCGCTTTGTCGGCGATCTCCTTGCCTCATGCAGAGTCCAACTTCGAGCAGCCCTGATATACGTAACTATACTACCTCAGCCTCTTCGGCAAGTGGGCCCGGCCCACAAAGCTGCGCAAAACAAACTCGGCAAAAAGATGCCTGCCTTTCAGGATGCCATCGTGGAGTGTCGCACCCGCCGCAGCCAGGTTGGTAACCTATGGAAAATCACAAGGCCGAAGACATGTAATGAAACGGAGGGTTCCACGTGCCACTTCTCGGAAACCACAAGTATGTCGAGTTGTACGTCCAAGCGACCCAACCGGGCACAGGGCCAGTGCCAAGCTGCTCAACGAATTCCTTGCTGAAGAGGCAGCAATTGCGTCGCAAGAGATCGTACTCGAAGCCGGGCCAATCTTCCTTGAAAGGGGCAGCGATCGGGACTGGCCAGATTCGTGGCCAGTCGACGAGCACAGACTCCATTGGTTTTTCAAACGGGAATTGCAAATATGTTTTTGCGAGGTTGCACGCGCCGAATGCCCATACCTAGACAAACAGCAGTTGCAGCCCCAGCCCTAAGACTCCTGGCCATCCAGGAAGCAACAGACATCACTAGACTCATGACGGACATCTTCGGCGAAGTTCAATAATCCCCTATCGGCCGCGCCGCCCACAGCGTCAGGAACTCTCGCTATGTACGACATTAAAGGGTTTCTTTCGCGCTGCTATTTCATGTCTCTCACTGCAGACTCCCTTGTCTCTGGACATCAACCAGTTGGGATTCTTGTGTATGGAGTCTTGTCCGAAAAAGCATGCCTACACCAAAATCGAGAAGCACCGTAGCCGCGAGTCGAGCTTGGCTCTGAGGCTCAAACACATCCCGACATCTTTGCACAATGTTACAAGAGCTACCTCTAGGCAGAGAATTTTGCCACCTTACTGTGAAGATTTATTGATGATCCCTTGGTTCCTTCAGCTGCTCGAGGATCTCATCAATCTCCTTTTCGGTCTTGGATGTTTCACCCATGTCCAAGGAATCCTTGTACACGTGAGCCTTGCATCCTTTCGGCGGGTTCGAAAACACACCCGTTCGGTCAGGCGCATAGCCGTAGCTCCATTCCACACCATTCACCTCCACTCCTGCGTGGAAGGCCCCTGTGCCAATGGCCTCCAGGTACTCATTCACAGTGCCCACCGTGGAATTGGTGGAAACATGGTAGATGTGAAGAGTCACAGGAGTCGGCATGGCGCGAACTAGCTGCACAGCTGATGGCGCAATCTCGAGCTGGAGCGAGGCAGCCACATGTACTCCAGCATACCCCCGCGCAATAACAGCAGCAGGTTCGGTTCCGACAAAGGTGCTGGCGGCCGGACTTTGTATTTTCAACAAATACGGCAACAGCTTTAAAACTCCTGTCGCGTAGGGCAGGCCCAGGGGGTAGCAGTGCAGAAGCTAGTCAGTTTGTATTCTTTTGCATTTGGGCAGTGTTTGGGCTTGCCCGCATCGTTCTGTGACTGGCCGAAGAAGGCGAGCGAACCAGGAAACACATCTGAATTAAGGGCTCTGACAAGAGCTGTCTCACAGAGGCTTCACGACAACTAGAAGCACTACAGCAGCGAATGTTTGTTCAACCTGACTGGCCGCGACCCTTGAATTCTTGCATCCTGGATCTCAGCTCGCATCTTATGGAAGGACGTCGGCCACAGCCCAAAGCCACGGCTCAGAATTCTGAAGTGCAGAAACGCATCATCCTCGTTGCAGTTTGGCATGTTCGCAAAGGACTAGGGCATGCAGACAGATCAGTCTCAGTTTAGATCCTCTGCAAGCATTAAGCACCTGACGTGCCCATTTTTCAAGCACCTTGTCCGCCTGCTCCCGCAGTGCCTGGGCTGGGCACACCAACACCCTGCAATGCGGAGGCTCAAGCTTTCGTAGCTCCACGCCTGTTCCCGAGCATCGCGCTCATCGCACGGACCATCCTTACCGAAATCAGCACTGCCGAGCAAACAGTACGAATCGCTTTTCACAGGAACCACAGCAACCTCTAAAAGGGTTTTTAGTCTAAGACTTCGTGGGTAGCACGCCACAAGGAGTCAGCTCATCGAGACACGTCGATATCTCGTTAAGCATCGCGCATGTTCGCTGGAGACGTGCTTTGCGTCTACTTCCACCTCCGGATCATGCACTTCACCCTCTCTGCGTCCACTCAATTCCCCGACCACTGCCGCAAACAGTATTTGCTGAACTTCCTCCACACAAAGCTCTGCATGTCTGTGTCAGAGCCTTGAGATCCGGAGCTGCTGCCCAGCCGCCTTCGCCTGCGACCTTTCCATTCATCTTAACACCGTCCTCATGCGGTCTCAGATTCTCAAACAAATGCACCTGCCAGCCCCTTGCCAGATGAGGCGATCGAGCGGACATCCCATCGCCGACATCCTGCAATTTTTTTCCGGGACGGGCACGACGAAAAACCTCCGGCTAACACTTCGCCCGCAGTCCTCGGCGATGAGGCCAGATGCTCCGCCCACCTTTTCCTCCTGATCACCCATCATCCAGACGTGCCCCTGCCATTGGGGATATGCACATACTTGAACACAAACGACAACCGACTTGCAACACTCATGACCACCGACTTGCTGCAATAGCAGATTCCAGCCTTCCAAAGCCAACCCCGCCTGCGGTAGGAAAACACGCCAAAGCAATTCCAAGCATAGCACTAGAATGTACCGGCTGAGAAGAAAACCCATCACTTTGACGCCACACAGGCGGCCCTTTCGCTGTGCCTTTCGGCCTCCGACAGGCAAGGCAGCTGCAAAAGTATCATCATTCACAAGCAGGTGTTTCAACTCAGCTCAATTTGCAGGAACAAGCACAACATGCGCTGAGATTAAACTCATGGCACAATCCCCAACGGCCGGGTCAAGGGCGCCTATCAACGACCTTGTACAGACCCGCCAGGCCCTTGTGCCTGTCAGGTCCAAAAATCGGCTCCCCTACAGCAAACTACATCAGCCATCAGTAAGCGGTTCCAGCCTGGATGGAATGTGCACCTTGAGATCTGGAGGAGAACTTGTACATTTTGGACAGCAGGTCCTGCTTGGACCAACTAGAAGTGCGGCTCGTTTTGAGCTCTTGCTTGTGATTGGAATTGCTTGCATGGGGTCTTGTAGCCGGATGCTGCTGAACGGCCGCAACCACTTGCGCAGGCAGGGGCGGGCGGAAGCCTCGGGGGGAGCCGCATGCATTCTCTCGCGAACATCTGCAGTGTACAGACTGTCGTACAGTTCAGTAGACAGCCCAAACGTGTCTCGCTCTTCGACCCGCTCGCTGGGCACAAGGAGGGGTGGAGAATTTTTTTTTGCCCTTTTTTTTTTTTTTTTTTGGCCCTTTTTTTTTTTTCCCCTGCCCTGGGCTCCTGGGTTCTCTGTATTTGCACAGGAAAAACAGCTCTTCTCTCGGGATTTTCTGTATTTCCACAGGAATCTCCAAGGGAAAACACTGCTTTCCTATGGATTTCTTTCGTTTCCTAAGGATTTGCTTGGTTTTTTCTGGGGAAAACACGATTTTCCTACGGATTCCGTTGTATTTCTCTAAGTTTTCTTTGGTTTTTCCTAGGAAAAAAGCTTATTTTCCTATTACCTACGGCGTTCGTGGCATTTCTTCAGGTTTTCCGAAGGAAAACATACGTTACCTAGCTTATTCCTCGGGAAAATCAAATTTTTCCTACAATTTCGCATTTAGGACGGATTTCGTGGTGTAGTTGTTGCTAGTAGTGTTGTTGTTGTTGGCGTTGTGGTTGTAGGTGTAGTATGTTGTAGTTTTAGTTCTAGTTGTAGGGATAAAAAAACCCGAGGGTCAAACAAAAATCAAAGAAGGATCAAAAAATGAAAATACGGCAATTGCAGCCATTCAGCGTGATTGTTCTGTCTTTCTTACTGTGTTGTTCTTATTCCCTTGTGTTTTTTTGGGTTTGCGTTCTGTATTTCGTTCGATCATTCCTTGTCTGTCTTTCTGTGGTTGGTTCTTTCCGTTTATCTTTCTATTTTTCGATTTGTTCGTGATTTATTTCTTCCTGTCTTCCTTCCCTTGGCTAGTAGTGTTGTTGTTGGTGGCGTTGTAGTTGTAGGTGTTCTGTCTTTCTCTCCTTCTTTTTTCCTTTCTGGGTTTCTTTGTTTATGTATCTATATAGCTCTTTTTTTTGCATCTTCTTTTTTATCTGCATATCTTTGTTTCTGCCTTGCTTTCTTCCTTTGTTTGTTCCTGTCCCTGTCTCTTTCTAGCTCTTTCTCTCTCTTTTTTTTAACTCTCTCTCTCTCTCTCTCTCTCTCTCTCTCTCTCCTTCGTGTCTTAAGTCCAAACCAAAAGCCGCGCATCGGACTTTTCGCCAGTCGCCGAGGCACTGAGCTGCTACCCTACACGTCCCTAGACCGTCTACGAACAGCCCTGCAGCTTACGTTGTACCTCTCGAAACAGGAACGTAACGAACACGAGTACTTGTAGATTGTAGTTTGCAAGTATGGCCGCATGTTACGTTTCTGCGTCTGCATGCGGGAGGAAGCGCTCCAAACAGCAACATGCTGTAGTTTCTACGTTTTCGTTTGTGTACTCGTGTTCTTTCTGTTCTTCCTTCGCTGTTTCTTCCGGGGCGACGTTAGTTCTCGCTGAAACTGCGTCAAGCCGATTTAAGCGTCGCACCCCTAGGACCCAGGGCAAAAAAAGCACAATGAAGCGATAGTCTTACGTATCGTTCTTCTTTATTTTCCGCGTCTTTCTTGTTCCTTTAACTATTTCTGATTGTCTTTATTAATTTATGGCCTTCCGTATTTCTTTATCTCTCTGTTTTTGTTCTTTGGTTATTTCTTCATTGTTTGTTTTGTTTTTGTTTCTAACTCTCTTTGGTTCTTTCCCTTGTGTTTTCTTTGTTCTTACCTTATAGCTTTCTTTATTTACTTAGTTCTCTATTCTTGTTTTCTTTTTTACTTGTAGCATCCTTTATTTGTTTATTTCTCTAGTTCTTGCATGGCTCTCTTTCTTTCTTTCTTTATTGATTTCTTTCTTTCGTTCCTTCCTTCTTATTTACTATATATACCATATTGATTATATATACTATATATACTATATATACTATATATACTATATATAGTATATATACTATATATACTATATATATATATATTATATATACTATATATACTATATATACTTTTTATAGTATATTTGCTATATATACTATATACATACTTTATATACTATATATACTATATATATTATATATACTACTTATACTATATATATATATATATACTATATATACACACTATATACATTATATATACATATTATATATAGACTATATATATATATAATATATAAAAATACCGTATATGCTATATATACGATATATATACCAGACATATACATATATATATATATATATATACTATATACATATATACTTTATATACTATATATATATACTATATATATACTATATATATACTATATATATACTATGTATTTATATATATGTACTATATCTACTACATCTACCATACATACTGTATACACCGTTTATACTACACATACTGTATATACTATATATAAATATATATATATACACACTCCGTCCTTCCTTCCTTCCTTCCTTCCTTCCTTCCCGCGGCAGGGCCCCTCTCTCCCTGCCTGCCTGCCTCCTTTACTTCCTTCCTTCCTTTCTTCCCTCCTTCCCTCCTTCTTCCTTCCCTCCTTCCTTCCTTCCTTCCTTCCTTCCCGCGGCGGGGCCCAAAAAAAAAAAAAGGGCCAAAAAAAAAAAAAAAAAAGGGCTAAAAAAAATAGGGTCCCCCACAAGGAGTCCCTGCTGCCAAAGCACAGGCTGGGGTGGAAGCGCTCATGGAAGTGCTGCGGATTGCGGCCTGAGAGTGATGCGAAAATTGAGGCCAGTCACCAGGCCAAGTCTGCATGCATTGCTTCAGTGCACTCTGGTGGTTCGGAAGCAAGTAAGCAATCATGCCGGGAGCCATTTCCGTCAACTCCGAACAACAACAGACACATCATTCGCCCAATCTCAGGTGCAGGCGATAGCATGCCGCCCCATGCTCGCATTCCTAGGATTTGTGTGGACTGTACACGCGCGTCGAAGTTCACAAACCTGTTGCAGGCGCACTTCTTTCACTAGGTGGTAGGTAGCGACAAAGACAGCTGGTGGCAGTCGTAATTACGTCACTACGTCCTCGGTTCGCAAATCAATCGTTCATGGGATTTGTTCATCTAGCTTCAGCTTGTTCTTGTGGGCATGCCGCCGGAGATTTAATGGTGCATCGCTGTTACCTTAGGAGATTCAGGCTTAAATTAACCCCGAGCATGAGGTGCCGCATGCAAATTAAAGCGTCTAGCCAGCAGCTGTGAGGAAGAACCAGCATCAGAAAGTCCTGATAAATTTATGACCGAATTCCATCTCTCTCTCCCATGAAAGCATGACTATAGCCGTTGGAATCGCAAATGAACAAACCAGTGCCAGAATACTCCGAGGCAGATTGTATTGCACAAACTGTGGTTCAGATACATGGTTACATGATTACCAGACGAGCTTCTGCCACCAAAACCGAAAACTCATCCGATGAGATGGTAAGGCAAGCCAAGAAGCCAGAAACCGAATGGATGCTTCCTTCTTCCGAGCTCAAGAGGAATAGAGTAAAACTTGATAAGAGGCAACGGTATTGAACTCAACAGGAACTGGTAGAAAAATTCTAGCAATGCATTGCACCAATAGGAGTTGAACAGCCCGGGGAGAGTTGACGAAAGCAACACCTTCAGAAACCCGAAGAAGAATTGCGATGCTTGCGCTTGTGCGATGCAGCACTGATGCAGCCACGCATAGCCAAGCAGCTTTCATTCTGCGTGGGCCTGCCGCTATCTCGTGTCTCAAAGCCGGGGTTGCTACTACAAGCTATAGAAAATCAAGTCGAACTTGGCAGTCGATGGCCGCCTTGCAAAACTGCCCAGCAGTTGGAACTCGGGAAGCATCGTCTACATGACACTTCTTGCCGCATCTGTTCATCTACAGCCGCAGGGAGTTTCTTTTCATCCTCTTGTTACACGTGCCCCGGCAGACTGGCTGCAAAGGTTATAGCACTTGTCTTACGTGTTACATCTCCATGCAAGCGACTCGGAGTCATAACGCAAGTTATTATTTTGCGGCAGGAAGCCGAGAACAAGTAAAGACCCCAAGCCAGGTGAGGAGGCCGAGAAATCCCAAAGCCCTTCCACGGTTCCGACGCCCTGCCCAGCCTTTTGGAGGGGCCAGAGTGAGCTTCGGCTGTTCATGAAGTCCCGCAATCTTTAAGCCTCACACTGAGCTGCTGGGTAGAATCCCATCGGCCACTTCGTTCACCCGGATGCATTACCTCTAAGATCCTGGAGGACTATACAAGCTGGCCACGGCAACATCCCGGAAAGCTCCTCATCACCTGAATCAGCAACACGGCGACCCAGCAGTAGCCGCGGGGCCCTTGAGAAGTCGCTCGCTGGCTCGGCAGGTGGCCCGCAGGCAAAGGAAACCTCGAAGCAACAAGCAAGAGCAGCAAGAGCCACGAGCAAAAGCTGCCACTCGTCATCCCAACGCCAAACCTGCCACTCAGGCGTGGCACACAAGCTTTTGCCATCTGCCAGGCGCTTCCAGGCCCCATCACCTGCCGTGGACTCCTCGCTCGCCAGGAGCACCCAGCTGCGGGTGTAGGGCCTTACAAGGACAAAGCCTGAAACGGCACTGCATCACCGCACTCCAGCGGCTAAGAGCGGATCTGTCGGCACTGCGGGCATCGCATCCTGATCGTGATCGTGGGCTGTCGGCATATGGCCGCGCTTCCAAGCATGCCCGGTAGACTGAATGGAACAGCAAGTGAGCGACAGCAAGCTCTCTCCTGGTGCCGCTGTCTTTGTCAGTGACGATTTGGGAGTTCATTGGACACGGCAACGTCACGGGGCAAACCTGCCGAGGCTGCCAGACAGCAAAGAAGACCTCTCACTGACCATCCGAATTCCGAATGCGGCGAGTCGCCATGATATGCCCGCCGAAGATTTCAGCAAAAGCATCCTCGCAAGCACTATGCAAAAACCACGCTACGAGGAGCCGTGAACATGAGGAACTGCTGACGAATCGTGCAAATACTAAACCCAGTCGCGCCACGCTGCCAAACTGCCAGACAATGCCGTGCAGCCGAAATTGTGCAATCGAGCTGCCCATGGCATCCAGAATCGTCCATCCTAACCCGATAGCGGCGGTTGGAAAAAGCTCTAAGACCAGCTCAACACGAAAGTAAGCCACCAACATCTGCATCCACTACCTTCAAGTCCGCTGCTATCCTTAGCTCAGTCTCTACGGCACGGGCTGACGAGAGTGCATTCCTGCCAGGATCTGCCGGGGCTCTGGGGATGCTTCTCCCACTCCGCACTCTTGTCAGACCAGGCCCGATTCCATTCGCCACCGCTGCCCCACGGGTTGCGCACCTGACCCCGAACTCTGCTGCCCTCGAATTTCCAGGTACCATCAAAACCCTTCATGTAGCCCTGCAGCATGGAACTTGGCGCAGGTCAGAGGCATTTGTTTCACGAACTCGGGAGAGGAACACGTTTTGAGGAGGGCCCCAACATTACCAACTCTCTGGCCACAGGATATGGAATTCCGAATTTGCCTGGTGCGAAGTCGTTGGCAACATGCTGATCTCGTGAAGTACGCGACCAAATTGGAACCATCCCGACCTCTCGTCACAAGATAAACGCAGGACATTGTGGCAATGGCTAGCGACTGAACCTAGAAGCCCTGATGCCCGAGTAGGCCCAGTGCTCTCGCAAGTTCGGCGATATGAAAAACCTCTTTGCTCTCACTTCAGCAAAGCGGTGTAGGCGAGATCTCAGGGCCGCGGTCTTGCTCGACAGAAGCCAGCCATTCTTGAAACGGCAGCAACGCGATTTCGTGCTTTTCACAGTTCATGGCCAGTGGCCTGTTGTCAATCGTTGTTGCACGGTTCGCATAGCGCAAAGTGCTCAGCGACTCCTCCCAGTAACACGACTCCGGAGAAATGTGGGCCAGGAACACCGTCTTGGTCGGCCCACCCAGCGAATCCTCCAGCAGGCGAGTGAGCTTGGAGTCCCTATAAGGAATGAAACGGTAACGTCTGTCAGCGAGCGAGCTGATTACATTGCCCAGCGCAGACAATGACATTCCGATTTGCACCCCCTCCCGAAGTCGCATGCCTTCAGCTGCGACCTTGCTTTGTCTTTCTGAGCCTTTGCATTTGGCGAAAGTCAATATTCGCGATACGACGCATCCGAGAGAGTCTACAGTCTGGACTCTGAACCTGAAGATAAGCTCTGTTCTGTTTGAAGGTTCGATATAGCTCCGAGCAAGCGCCAAGGTGTACAGAGACTTGAACTCAGCCTCGGTCGTCACCTCCACCTCGGCACAACCTTTGATGTCCGCCTTCCCCTGCACATCTTGCACGCTGCACTCGCGCAGCTGCGGCGACAACAAGTCCAAGATTTGCTCGTTGCGAATCTGCACATAAGAGCAAGCGATCTGCCAGCGCATTCCCCGGACCCGGCTTTGGGCTGCCTGTATCAGCGTCTTTGCGGCACGAGGCACTAATCCTAATTTGTCATCCTCGGAAGACGTAGCATCTGTCTCTGGCTTAGGTCCGAAGAGCGAATGTCTCTTGCCTGAGCCGGTCTGTCCGTAGGCCATCACGGTCGCACTGAAGCCTTCAAGAACGTGCTGAACCATCTGGGTCCCGACGTCATCGTACATCTGCTGCTGTGAGGCAGTGCCATCGAAGACAGCTGTGAACTCGAAGGATTTGGGGCCGATGCCATCACCTGGCCGTTGGATGGAGCAGCGGGCCCCCTGCAAGCTGATGCATGTTTCAGCCCCCAACCCCATGCATGGGCGGCACCTCACTACGCCCCGGATCGGGTTGGCCACATCGCCTTCCATGGGCAGGGTAACGAGTGTCACGTTGATCTTGCCCCCGCCGCCACTTTCTGCAATGTTCATCCGGTCTCCTAACTCTCCGGTTTCCATCAGCAGCTTTTGTCGCAGCACGTCGGGGCCGCCCGCCATCCAAATCTGCTGCTTAAGCTCCCAGTAAGTGATGCTAGCAGGAACTTCCAGCGCTATCGTACCCCCACCCAGTGTGCAGACTTCGACCGGCAGCAATGCTGTGAGACGGCCCGCGTTTTCCGATCCGATGGCAGCGCTTGGTGCCTCTGTGACCAAGTCTGCAGCTAGTAATATCTCCTCCTCGCCGATGCTCTCGGCCTCCTCCGCCATACAGCCCGCCATGCCGAAGCCTGAAAACGTAATTATCTCCTGGAACACATGTATCAGATTGGGTCGCAGCACGAGCAAGGCTTCTGTTCAGACCGCCTTCGGGACCTGTTCGTGGTTTGCTTTTCGGATTGTTCCTCTTCCGCGCTGTGCGAGCCGGAAAGCTCGTCTGCAACCTGCGGCTTTGGACGTAGCCAGCCTCTCGAATCCCGCCTGCAAAACACTGTAAACCTAAACTGACGATCTTTTTGTTGCAACTCTGACCTATCCCGGGGTCCGACTCATGGCACAACGACACAACTTCCGCTTGGAGCACAACAAGGCCTGCACGAGCCGCTGGCCGTGAGCGCAAAGGACCTGAGACCGGGAGCTACGTCTGCAACAGCGACTGCCGCGTTTCTGACGTTCTGAAACTGAAACTGGCGGGATAACCTCAAGCTCACTTGCAACTACAAGATACATACGAGATGCGGATGCCACTCGTATGCTGATTCTACTCCTGCCCTGATAACCAGTTGAACCCAAACTTCGAAAACATTGAGCGGTAATTGAAATGCTTTCTTGTTTGATCCTTGGTTCCTTTGAATGCTTTAATCTTGTCCCTCACAATCCGTCACCTCTTGTGGCAGTCCAGGCCTGGAGGACAGAGTAAGCATGCTTGGCGAGCAGGCCGTCAGGACGCCGCTCCTCTGGACGGGTGAGAATTTCTTGACCCTGCCCTTTCGGGAACAGAGACGAAGTTCGGAAGTTCCAAGGCTTTGCCAGTATAGTGCAAGAGTCAAAGAATGGCCCTAGCAGCGCTGATGCGCACAGCCTCGGCGCGATCCCCTTGGCCAATGGAGCAGCTGATGGCCTGAGGAAGGCCCGAAACAACTCAGGTCAAAAACTCCCAGTTCTCAAGACTTTAGACTTGAGGGCACTTTCGGATCGCAAGCTTAGCCACAGCGTCTCGTACATGAAGGCAATAGGAGAATGGAACAGTCCGGGCATCTGGCGAAGCAGGCCTGGGTGTAGGAAGCCAGGGCCTCCGTCCAGCAATTGGCAGTCGACCAATTGGAAGGGAACGGAACTTGGCTCAGCTGTGGGGTACCTTATTTTGGGGACCTTAGAATAAGGATCCTACTATTGAAACTCCCCCATTGTGCGCAGCGCAGGCATGGGCAGGAGGCCCACCTGGAACATTTGATCATCTTCTGACGTCTCGACAGGTCCTTTCCAGCGCCCACCGCGCATGCCGTCGGAACCTGAGTCCAACCGTCCAACCCCGATCTGCATCGCTTGTTGGGAAGCTGCCCATACTTCAGAATTTTGCGAGCACGTGAGAAAAAGAAACACACCTCCATTCCAGACCACGAAGGCACAGCAGCTTCCGACTCCTGGCAAGCTGTTTCCTGAGGGTGCTGCGCCACTTCGCTGCAGCGGCGAGGTTCTCTTCGGCTTTGCCGAAACACTTCTGCGCCAAGGCTAAACGCTGGCAACCCGGCAACAGCTGCACCAACATTGTAACATGGCCGCACTGATATGCTCTGGCATGTGTACGCAGGAGCTAGGCACCAAAGCCTGTGCGACTGGGCTTTGAGAAGCTGCTTGACAGTGATGTAGAACCGCAATTTGCCCGATACTCTTGTGCCCAACACCAACAGACAAGTCGGCTGTTTTCAATTCAAACCACCCGAACTGCACGATGTTTTTTCTACGGCTCCTGGATGTCGCACATCTCCCAGCCTTTGCTGGCAGCACACACCGAGCAGTGTCATGCCACACCTTCACACCAGAGGTCAAAGCAGGCAAGGGGCGTGTCCACTTTTGACCCGGGTCCCGTGACCATCGCGCCATCCAGGGCTGCCCCGTGAGCACCTGACAATGCAAAGAGACACCCTTCCTAACTCCCAGCTCGATTCGATGATCCGGCTTCCCAGGTGGCTTACGAAAACGAAAGAAAACCGTCTTCACAACTTGGAAAAGGACCGAAGATCCCGCCTGCCAAGCCCACCCCGTGCTCCCTCCAACGAGCTTCTCGTAGGTACCAACGAACCTTGTGATCCGGAAACCAGAGAAGGGGCAAGGCAGAGAGAAAGACGGAGAGCCAGAGCAAGAATGGGAGAGTGCCAGAGCAAGAATGAGAGCGAGCCAAAGCAACAATAAGAGAGAGAGAGAGAGAGAGAGAGCCGGGAAAGCACGCGGGATTAAGTGCGCCGGCTGTTGGGCTGCTTCAGACTCGCGCTCCCCATTGCCCCTCACCCCCTCATCCCCCATCCCGACCCAATTTTCCTGAGGATGCATGCATGTTTTTGATGTTGTTTTCTGGGCGACTGTTTCGCTATCGTGCTTTGTGTGCATTAACTTATGTTGAGACTGGGAGGCAGCTTTTTCCAGCCACAGGTTGCCACAGCCACTCCCAGCCGCTGAAAGCTCAACACCGTCGCCAACGCGCTTGGGGTGTGCACGCCACTCTTCTTCTTCTTCTTCATCTTCTTCGTGGCTCTCTGGCATTTGCCCGTCTTCGGGAATGAAGCCCGTCACCTGCATCTGCGTTTCAGTGCTGTTGCTGCCGTGTCACTTTGCGAAGGCCTTTTCAAGTAGCAGCGCCTGAGCAAGGCTGATGCAGGAATGGCCGAGCAATCATGTTGAAATGCACCCTGGTGTATCAGCAAACCTGAGAAGAGCACCCACATGCTGCCGCCTCAGCAGATCACATCGCACGAGCATATGGGGTTTGGTGTTCAGATTAAGGCCAACTTTGTACTGCAAGCAGAGTTTAAAATCTCAGCAACGAGCTCTCCCCCGCCAATTGAGCGAACAATGGCTTGCAGTACTTGTCGCAAGGGATCAGGTCATCGACTTCCACATCCTGTACAGGGCTTGTTGGCTGACTAGCCGCGGCTACTCAAACCGCATAAGCATTTTTGAAACAAAGGTGCAGCATCCTTAGCACAAGTTTGCGACGTAAATTGTCACTCAAACTGTCCTGTCTGAACAACTTGCACAGGTCCCCATCACCGAATCACGGAATCAAGCGTGACTTCGCTAGCGCGCACGCATCTGCGATTCGCTTTTCATAGAGGTTGAGCTCCCCTGATACAACTCGGTCCTGCCACTCGCCTTTGCCTTTGATGTCCCATAGCCTGATGACGTATCCTCGGCCCATCTTCCAGGCAGGACATGGGCACTCGTAGATTCGCAGTGCAGTGGCCGAGGTGCGACCACTCTCTTTGAGATTAATGTCATCCTGAGCAACTAGAATCAGCTAGAAAGCGCGGCATCTGAACTCGGCGGAATAGTTTTTTGCCCAACAGCTCTCTGCGTCCAGGCCACAAACAGGCTCATGATGTGGCCCGGAAAGTCTGCGAAAACCTAAAAGAACTACACAGAGATGTTGTGTTCTCCAGGATTGCAGCACAGGCTGAGCATCGCGCAGCCATCGCCGCTAAAAGCCAGCAATCGCCCAACTCCCCCTGTACAATGTTGTCTGCCTGGCGGGCAACGGCGAAAACTCTGTTGATGCATGCCACACTTGGTATGAAGGCAGCATGTACCGCCTGCCTGAATGACGGAGAAAAGCTTGGCATCCCTTGAATTGAGTGGGTCAGCATGTTCATGCTTTGTACAACAGTTCGCGCCTGTGTCAATCTAGACTATTAACTCAAACTTTTCAGGACCAAACTTCAATTCAAAGGCTCCTGGGCTACTGCACATGCTGCCACATCTTCAGAAAGCTACACGAAAGACCAGGAACATACTGTAGGCGCAGCCTTCCCCATGCAGCTCAGCGTCTTGTGCAGCTCTTTCGCCCGAACCCATTTGAAAGGCTTGCGCCAGTCCTGCAGCACGGAAGCGAGGATCACAAAAGCTCACCCGCAAGAATGCACTTGCACCCAAAAAAGGCTTCTCCCAGGAACACTTCCCGAAGTCAATTTTCCAGTACAGAAGCGAGACTGTATGGGAACCGTTTCCGCTGTGGTCAACGGGTTCCTGTGCAGTCGTGGGGCTTTTGGTTTCTACATCAGCGGTCTGTTAACTTCTTCGTCCCCACCAAAATCAGCCCCTCATGATAGCATGAGCTCACCAAAATCAGAAGACCTGGCCAGTCGGGAAAGGACCGCTATTTTCTTGTCCACGGCGCCTGCACGTGGACGTTCCCCAGAGCCGACTCGCCCTGGAAAGTCTCGTCTGGCGCGAATCCTTCGCCTCAGTCTCAGTTTCGGAATTAATCTGCTTCATGCGCTTTTGACAGGTTCAGCAACTCCCAAACTGATGATGGACACCACAAACAGACAAACTTCCCCGATAAATCCAGAGCTTTGTTTGACATATTTGGCCCTGTGGTGCAGAAGGCGGTCTTTCCTGGCACCGCCAACTCCCCTCATTCCACACCAGATTGCTAACAAGCAACGCTCAGATCCTGCGATGTTTCGAAGGGCTTAGGAAATTGCTGTCAGCCTGTGCGGCATGCGTTCACGTGTGGAGCCGGTGTTGCTCTTTTTGTATGGACCCGGCACGCTCGGCGCTCCCCTGCGCTTGCATCAAGAACGGAGAGGAGCAATCGTGGGCAGATGCTCTGGCATTGCGGCTCACCGACCCTCTCAAAAGGCAGCTTCTATCCCATGTCTCTCTTTCCGCTCGCTGGCAGGCTCTGTGGCCCATAGGCACACCCCGCATTGATCCCTTCCGACACTGTTGTGGCAACAAATGGAACAATCGCTGAGCGCGAGACTCATGCCCACTCCACCACGACACCCCAGCCAGTCAGGGATTATCGGGTAGTGGTGGATCAAGATTTTCAGCTCTGCTGCTTCGCAGCATTGGGCCAAAAAGCTGCGGTTCATTCGGTTCCGAAAAATCCCCGCATGCACACCGGCAAAGAACGGACGGTGCTATGCATACGAAGTCCCTGTGGTCTCTACCAGTAGCAGGAGAAGAATGACAGCTGTCTGGTGGATTTTCTGGCAACACAACGAAAGCTCTGAAGGAAAAAGGGCCACTTTGTCCCTCTTTCTGAGACCCTGTCCTCACACATCCTTCACCTTTGCACGCCACAAGCAAACATTCTAAAAGGCGGCCATGATTCCAGGATAATGCTGTCTGTCAACTTGGCTTGCGGCGCTTCAGCACAGCAAGCCACCAGGCAAGACAGTACGGTCGCCTGGGACTTCCTACTCTGATCATGACTCTTGCGAATGGAAGACATCTATATATGTATCCGAGCTGCAAATATGCAGAACCAGCCTGTGCATGCACACAGACACAGGTGACAGCTGAACGTGCTTTCAGCAATACAGTATGCACAAATCTCGCGGCCGCGCCTATGACACACGGCAGAAAAAAGAGTATCCGAGCGAGCACAGGTGTCCAGACAAGCGCGGAGGTGGACCAGTACACCCCGGTGGTGAAGGGCAGAATTGAAACCTCAAGCAGGCTGAGAGATCCTCGTCACTACTCCGCGTTCTTGGAAGATTCTCAGATGGGACGTGTTCCCAGCCAAGTCACACATAGCAGACCAATCCTCGGGCAGAAAGTATGGGCAAGCGACTGCCTTGTGAACGCAACCTGAAGTAATGTTGGGATAGCAACACACTGTTGGACTCGTCATGTCCCTTGTGTGGCAATGGCGTGGAAGGTGCCAGACAAAATGAATGGTGGTTCTGCTCTGGGAAAGACGAAGACTCTGCAATTCGCCCGTCGAGACACCTCACTACCCATTCTGCGCCGGGTTCGCCGGATGCCTTGTGCTTCTGACTGGGGCCGATGATTATCTGATTGGCCACCTCAGATTCGGTCCAGTTCAATTGAGTACTGAGGCCTGGCACCCGAACAGCAGTTGACGTGTACTAAGTATTACTGACCCCGGGCGTAGCAGACCCTATAGCCGGAAAGCGACCGATCGACACACCGGAAAGACAGGTTCGCAAACGGTCCATTGACGCAAGGCTTAAGGGATTCAGGGTTAGCTCGAGGGTCTGTAAGTCTGTAAGTACACGGGGAAGCTTGACGAAGCTGGATAGGGATGGCTGGAGCGAAGGACGTCGTTGACCCTACCAGAACAAAACTGAGTATACCCGAAACTGAACCCTCACAGGAGGGTAGGCAGCCAAAAGTATGAAGACTTGTTGACTGCGACCATGCTAGAGCCTAGAAGTGGACGGAGGGTGGAAAGGACAACAACAGCACAGGAGAGCCCCAAGCCTTAAGCCCAAAAATTAGATTGAGATGGTGGGTACGGAAACCATGGGCACTTAGATGTGGGGCTGCCTGCACGGGTTGGTGGTGAAATCGCGGACTGGTGCTTGAACTGCTGAATCAGGTTTGTTGCTAAAATCGGCAGTGCTTCTGACAGTTCTCAATCCTATGGCGTGCTAGTAACTAGTACAGCTACCAGTAGCTAGTGCTAGTGACTTTGTGACTCCTTGATGAAGCCGTTGCGAGACGGACAACGCTGCATTCCATCCTAGCCTTATAACCCTGATTCCGTGGTAATCGTTGGCTTGGGAACATTATTTATTTTGGGATTTAATCTGTCATTTATTTGTGTTTTCAATCTGTCACAGATCTGTGATCAGCCATGTCGGTGGTTTTTGAATGTGTGATTTATTTGTGATTTTTTTGTGATTTATCTGTGATTCATCTGGTTGGGGCTGGATTCCAATCTGTGTTTTTTTTTGTGATTTATTTGTGATTTATTTGTGTTTTGCTTGTCCGTGTTTTCAGGGGTGCCTGCGGGGTCACATCGTACCTCTTAGCAGTGGGGCACCACTTCGAGGCCACAGTGACGGCAACAAATCCTACTTCTTAGCACTGGCCACAGCGGTGCCACGACTTCGAGGCCACTGCAACGCTTTTTTTTACTTAGTCGTACTTCTGTGCACTGGGGCACCACCTCGAGGGCCAGAGCAAGGGCAACAAATCGTGCTTCTTAGCGACACCACTTCCAGTTCCAGCGACTCCCACGACAGCGCTTCCAGAAAGGGCCTGCCCGGACAGCCTGTGTGAGGCCCCGCAGAGTCGGACGGGGCGGGCGAGCGGGGCGGGCAGGGCTGGGCGGGGTGGGCGGGGCCCGGACATATTTTTGACACATTTTTTGACACATTTTTGACAGATTTTTGACAAATTTTTGACAGATTCCACGGCTGTCCCGACAAGCCCGCCGGCCTGGGCCGCGGCCCCGCGTCCCTCCGGCGCGGGCCCCCGGCGGGGCGCGCACGCAGGGGCGACGCGGGGCGCGGCTTCGGGCGAGGGCGGGCGTTGGGGCGCGCGCGCGGGCCGCTGGACGCGCGGCGGCCTGGGGACAGCTCGTGGAATCTGTTAGAAATCTGTCAAAAATCTGTCAAAAATGTGTCAAAAATTTGTCAAAAATGTGTCAAAAAATGTGTCAAAAATCTGTCCCAGGGCCCCGCCCACCCCGCCCACCCCTGCCCGCCCCGCTCGCCCACCCCGCCCGACTCTGCGGGGCCTCACACAGGCTGTCCGGGCAGGCCCTTTCTGGAAGCGCTGTCGTGGGAGTCGCTGGAACTGGAAGTGGTGTCGCTAAGAAGCACGATTTGTTGCCGTTGCTCTGGCCTCGAAGTGGTGCCCCGGTGCTCAGAAGTACCATTTGTTGGCACTGCTGTGGCCAGTGCTAAGAAGTACGATTTGTTGCCGTCATTGTGGCCTCGAAGTGGTGCCCCACTGCTAAGAGGTACGATGTGTTGCCGTTGCTCTTTACGCAGGAACCTCTGATGGCTCTGACACGACCACGTGTAAGCGAGCAGTTCAGATGAGACAGATTTGGGACAGATTTTTGACAGATTTTTCGTAAATCTGCCAGAAACTGTTGACAGATTATTCACGGATTTTTCACAGATGCCAAACCCTACCAGCCGGCAAGTGACAGATTTCTGACACATGGGGAAGACAAACTAAAGACAGATATTTGACAGAATTAATTCCGGAACCTGCTCCCAGAGATTACAAGTAATCAAGGTTGTAATCCTAGCCACTCAGTAGATTCGACAAGCATGTGTACTCAACCTAGCTACAGGTCTCACCACCTTGGGTGTACCACTCTGGTGTCTGTCCAGTGACTGAAGACAGCAGCGTGCACAAGAAGGCAGCCTGAGCGCAGGGGACGATTGCAAGCCAGCTGCCAGGCAGTGCAGCATCGAAACCAAGCCTACAGAAGCCAAGCCATTCCTTCTTCAACTCTCGACATCGACATGGAAAGAGAAAAACATGCAGCCATCAGCCTGCTGAAGAGAAGGCGTGTGCACCTTCCCTGCCCTTTTTTACCGGTATGTTGCTGCAGCGCAGCAGAGTTGGCCAAACGGAAGGGATGCTCTGGCTGGCAGTGCTGCGGATGGAAGAGGCAGAGCTGGCAACGAAGCCCCTCCTGCTCCTCAGATGCGAACGAGCGAGGCCGCTAACAGCAGGCCCTAAGATCTGAACTCGCAGGCATCCTCAAAGTCTGTGATACCAAGTTGCATACCAGCCGAGGAGATAAAGAACGATGCAAGCCTGGACTTGGCCCATTTTGCGGGGGACAGACTCTTAGACTGCCTGAAAACTGAGCACCTTCATATGACTCTTTCCAACAATGCATGATGCTTTCTCAAAGGTCAACTTCACACCATCGTCGACCAAGGGCTTAGCCCTGAAAACCTAACTACACATATGAGATGCGGGCACCTGCTGTGGAACATCCATAACCACCAGCTTCACGAGGATTATGGCTTGAAAGCCACAGCTACAGCAGCCGGAGGTGTCGCCAGGTGGAGCCTTGCGAAGGTGTCATCCGATGCGGCGCGGGCATCCCCGACAGAATGCACACAGGGACGAAGGACCCGGCCTTGCTCAGTTCAACGTCGAGATCCGGATCCGCTGGCGGCTCGTGCCGAGGAGCGCCTTTCAGTGCTCGCCAATAGACAGCCTCTGCGGTGCACCGGGGGAGAAACTTTGACATTGACTTTTCACGAGCCTGTTGCTCCTATGCTGCCAGATGGGTCCAAAGATGCGTGCTGTTGCTCACATGGATGGAGCCAAACTTGCTGCCAAGCTGCCAGCGTCGTCAACATGCCGAATGGAAGGAGATATCCCAGCAGCGTCCTGCACCAAACGAGGGCATGGTGATGATGCCCTTGATGCTGCTTGTTGAAAGCCTTCCACGCTTTCGTCAACGAGCATTGGGAATTGGCGTAAATCGCATCGAGATGTGGCGCTTGAAAGTCTTCGACAAAAACCACGAAGCGAGTCTGCTTCCCAGACAAGTCGGAGCTTTGCACCATCACCTGCCATAAGTTGACATTGGGTGAAACTTGGTGCAAAAGTAGCAGCAGCACCTGCCTCCCAGCGGACGTAGCCCTTCTGATGCACCGAGGAGACGGCTTCCACAGACTGGTCCTCGATGGTGATCACCTTCTCGCCGGAGCCAAACCGCTGATAGTCGGCCGCCGCTTGTGTCGGCTCCTGCCGTGGAAGAGAGCAAGCTCAAACGCCCCGCAGCATGCGACCTAATCCTGCCAAGCATCCAAGCGTCGTACTTGCAAGGACCATGGCCACAGATCACTGCCTTCCACGTCATCCGATGGCACGATAGTTGGCGGCATCTCCCCTGCACGATGTGACCGTGCGACGGGATTCAGCGACAGCAGGAAAACCGGAGGCGAGGAGCGTGTTTCGAATTGGAAGATGTACGTCGAGTTGAAGGCGCGACCGGTAACCGAGTGGTTAAGGCCCGTGGGCGTCAAGCCCTGCAGAACCATCAGCTCAGCACGCCTCTCACGCAGCTGCTTCAAGCGGTTGGCTGTCTCCTGCTCCAGCTGGACAATCTCTGCATCAATGGCAGGGATCGAGTCAACCAATCGAGCATGTGTCCGCAGGTGGACTGAGGGCAATTCCGCATGCCATAACCTTGAAGGCTTGCCGTGCAAAACGAACTCATGCCAGGCTGAGACGTTCCAGATTGGACCGTGACAAACACCATGCTGGGAGACATCTTGCGCGCAGTGCACAGTTAAAGTCTCACCAAACAAATCCAAGTTCGTTCTCACCTCTTGCCAGAACTGCCACTGCAGCACGAGTGAAAGCAGTTGAAATGCCAGCCACGTCAGCACGGTCAGTTGGCTCACCTCCTGCAGGCGAAGGCCGGTATTGAAAAAGCCATCGTCCGCCTGGCGCATTGTCCATGTTCTGATTGTCCCCACTCCCACGCGGAGGCCGACGAAACTACTCAGAAACTTGCCAAAAACACGCTGGCCTCCACAGCGTCAACCGGTGCACGAAGCCGTGTGCGTTGCGTGACTCGCCGCGAGCGCGTCAAGGTTGCCTTCTGCCGTGAGCGGCCCAGATGTCCACTGCCGTATTGTGCCTTTGCATGCAGGGATCACGAAGAATCCAACAACAAGCTGAGCCTCCAGCCTTTTTAAAGATATGTTGGCGGACAGAAGTGGCCCTCCCCGGAGCATAAGACTCTATGAACCCACTGGCTTCTCCTCATGGCACGTTGCATGCTGGAGGCTCGTCATCCAAGCGATGAGGTTCTTTGGCACATGCCGACCAGAGCTGCCATGGAGTTCCTGACGTTTCTTCCTTGCGAATGCCAGGCGGTCTCTGAAGGCAAAACCATGGCAGTGCTGCCGACGCGCGGCTTCCAGGTTTTCAGGAAAGCGTACGAAAGGGGATCTCTGTCCCTGCTCGGCCAGTAGCTTCAGATTCGAGAAGCTCCTGTTGCCTCGTCTCTGTGCGTACTAGGACGATCCTCCCTGCTTCCGCGCCTTCTTTACACGATGTGCACAGATTCAACATGATTAAACTACGATGTCGGCAGGCCAGCGATAAGAGAAGAGGCGCTTGAAACTACAACATGTCGGATGCCTCCTGAGCGTCTTGCGACAAGGCAGGTTAAACATGCAGATTGCGGAGATCACAGTCTCTGATGCAAACATGCTCGTGCCTGCTCACATGGGCACATCCTGTGTTGCTTAGACTTTTGGACAGCCACGGGCGAGCAAGCCTGAGTTAGACACGTGAACTGGAGCCAGCTGGCATCGCCTCCGCAATGAACGGATTCAGATACCAAGCTTCCTGTTCCAGTATCGGCTCAGAGACCTGATAATTGGAGTCTTTGTCGGTCAACATGGAGAAACCCTTTTGGGTTCCATGTTCTGTGTACACATGCCAAGAGCATTGCTGAATTTTGCTTCTTGCTTTGAACGTGAACGTTTGGCTGCGGCACACATGTGGGTCGGATTGTGTGGGTGTTGCTGGAAGCAAAATCAAGCTTTGCGAGCTAAGAGGTTTAAAAAAGGTCCAGGCTTCACAATGCACATTCATCCGCAACTCCGCCACTGATTGATGGCGGCAGATTCGCACGATCAGAAAGCGGCAAACGTTGATTGAAAGCTTTCAGTCATCACCTAAGAAGCGGTGCCCTGCTCTGGCATGCACCGATTCTCTCGTGAAACAGAGCAGGCACGAGCACCACGTTGGGGCTTCACATCCGGCCGCGCTTCCATGGCCGGGCAATTGCAGCGGTCAGCAAAGCCGGGAAAGCGCGCCAAACACGCGGATCTTGCCTCCATGGAAAGCTCCGAGGCAAGGCAGAGACAACCCCCCAATTCGAAATGCAAAACTGCCATATTGCAAACTTCGCCCTTGGCACCCGGCCGAGCACAAGTGGGGTCGTCAGTGTCCAAACAGCAATGCCGAGCCTTCGACAAACTCTCTCTGCGGCTATGACGCAACATATGGGCGCGGGTGTGCGAACTGTGGCACTTAGCGAGGAGGTAGCATTCGTTTTCAGCATCAATACATTTCTGATCCCTTGACAGCCATGTGGCCCGAAGGAAGTGCTGAAGTGGCGAAGAGTTTCCACAGGCTTTGCCTCCAAGATGCGGCAAGTATGCGAGGATGACACGGAACGTCACTCTCCCGGCCTGGATGTTTTTGAGAATCTCGCTGCACCTTGAGAAGCTACCCATCGATCTCACAAGTCTTGTCCCTTGTCCGTCCTCTCTCTAATTTAGGAAATCAGCCTGCAGAACGCCTCAACGCACTGACCCTTCGCTCCCAAGAAATCGAGTAACGGGGCGAGGTCTTCGCCCGTGATGCTCCGGTAGGCCTAGCCGCGCCACAGAAAACTCAACATAACTCAACATCATGCTACAAGTACAAATACGCGCATGCGTGATTCGCACACTGTCCAGTTTCCCAGTTCCGAGAGTGACATTAGGGACAGGCGGCACTTTGCCCCAGCATGATGAAGCAGGGCATCATGGCCAAATCCGCGGGCAGGGAGAGCTCGTTGATGATCACAGCCACGCTCGCCATCCTGAGCACGACCATGCGAAAATTCGTGGTTCGGAGAGGTACGGGAGAGAAGGTCGAGGCCTGGTTACCATATCTTCTCTCTCCTTTTCGTTTCAAGAGCCTACTGCCGACTTTGCACACTGCATGCAAATCAGCCGGCTTGTGTCCAGGGCTAAGATAGTATCGTTCGCACGCATATCCTGCATATCCTTTATCTTCCTGTGCCGGTGATAGAAGGGTTGCAGACCAAACCGATCTCCAAGCAAAACTCCCAGCCATAGATGCTTCACGGGCGGCGGCAAGCTGAACCGTTGCATCTTCGGAACTCCAGCAGAGTACCTCATTGGCCAAGCATGAAAAGAAATCATGAGCGCTCATTTCAGTGATATGGCACTGGCTTCCAAAACTGGTGTCTCTGGACCGGTCAAGCCCAGGTTCATCGTGATGCAGAACAGCGTTGCCGGCATAGTACACGGTGGAACCTCGTCTGATCCTTCCTCCGCCCTACGCGAACCTGCAGGAAGCAGCTTGCATCCGCGGAGCCGGGAACAGTCCTCCCCAGAAGCCCACGCCAGCCTAGGGGTCACGTTGACGGCACAGGATTTGCTTCACTGCACGACCCTCCACAAGGCAGATTGGGGACGCGGCCGAAACAATGACCTGTTGGCGAGTCATCTCCCGGGCAGGTTGGATCAAGTGGATGTCCTCATCTTCTGCGCAAGTGTTGCTTCTGTGCACATCAGAGCGCCGTCAATTCCGTCGATTGCTGCTGCTTCCAAGCAAAGGCGCTACGTGTCTCTGGCACCAGGCTCGGACTCCTCAGCTTCCACAAAGCATCCACCGTTTGGAAGCTGACAGGCATCAAAAGCATCTCAAATCCCCGCTTGCCTTCTTGTCGCAAGCTCTGCATCTGGCGCCGGAAGCATTTCAGCGACATCTGAACTCCAGATGCTGGCTAGACTGCCAGAGCAAAGATGCGGCTGTTTTCTGAGTTGTTGTTCTGCCCCGGAGGTTGTTCTGCTCGACTACTTAAACTGCTTCTCTAGGCCCGTTGCGCTGAACTTTCTGTTCGTCTTTACAACCAGGTGGGCCTTTCTGAAGCCTACACTAACGTTGCCAAAAATGCTCACCTCTGCCTCGTGAGCATAAGACGAAAGTGTCGTGTGCGCTCGTGCTTACACAACATGGTCAATATGACGAGGATGAGATACCTGGCGTCAGGTTCTTGCATCGACGATGACCGCCTGCGCGAGAAGCCTACACACGAAACTCCAACGACACAGTTTTCCGGCTCACGCTTTCTGCAGCTTTTTCTGTACACTGCAAGAGTTACGGCTCTTGTGACTCCTCTGAGGCACGCATTGCAGGCCCGCTTGCAACCAGAAGACTGGCACAGCTATCAGAAAGAAGCCAGAATGTGAGGCATCACCTCAAGAATCGAGTGCCCATCCCTGTTTCTAGTTCTACACCAGGTCTACTGACGCACACCCTGAGGTTAATAATAGGCTCTAAGAGGGCACCAATATCTGGACCCACTCCGTGCTAGAGCTGGTCCAGTGGTCTGTACGCGGTGCACATCTGGACTCGCTCCAGTTTCACTGGATGCTGAAGACCTTCTTCATGCCGATGACCAACTCCCAATCCTCTTTGATCATCTCATCCTTGAAGTGCTCTTTCAAGGTGTCAATGCTTTCCCGCGAAATCTTCGAATAGAGCTGGCTGGTGTGGTCGAAATGGCGCCCATACATGATGTGGTTCTGGGCAGTCGTCTGTTCTATCTTCACACAAACCGTATCACCCCTGCGAGCTTTGGGCACCCCTTTCTTGTTGATCTCAATGCCCGCTACATGTCCAATGGTCATGTTGTCTTTATCTGGGACACAGAGCGGTGTGCCCACTCTCAACTGGCCGCCCACAACTTGACAACCCACGATGATGGGATCCTGCTTGCGGAAGATGTGCTGCTTATCGATCTGCAGCACGACTGGGAACACTGCGACTTTTCGTGTTTCTGTTTTCTGACTTTCGCGGAACTTCTCCATGTATTTCGTGAATTTGTCCTGCAAGTGGTAGATGATGTCGGCTGTGAAGATCGTGACGCCATCTGTGTCCGCCTGCTTCTGGGCATCCGCGTTCACCTTGACATCGAAGGCCAGGATGAGCGCATACTCCGGGTGCTTCTTCTCTTTCATGATCATCGCTTTTTTTACATCCTTCCACGAATAGCTGGAAAGCTGAAATGACAGTCAAACCACAAGACCGCGAGTCCTGACTTCATTTCAATAGGGAACCATATAGAGGGGAAAGCAAAGTGCAAGCTGTGCCTTCTTGTGGACCTCTCCAATTCCGACATCGAAGACCGGAATCTTCATATCCTGCAGATGCTTCGAATAGCATCTAGTTGTGATGCTCTCGTTCCCGTTTGGCAAGTTCAAGAATCTGCTGTGTAGTAAGATGCTATCCACATCCTATGGCTACAAGGATATTCCACCAAATCAATCCAGGTTTATCCGGCAAGGTCGAGGTCGCTCCTTATAAATGGCCTGAAACCAGCTGTTGTCGAGATACATCGCAATTTCACTGATCCGATTTGACCTTCATCTTCTTCCTTAAATTGCCGTCGCCTAAACTCACCAATTTGTGTCGAGATCTTCTCATCAACGTCCGCCTCTGCCCTGCGACCCATCCAGAGGTTCCCCCCCACTTCCCTCTCACAGCTACAATTAGGTCGTGCATGCATCACCAGCGCATCAAGGTTTGCCTCTCCTCAAGGGCAACATGTAGCAGGCGCTCAGCTAGCAAAAGTCGAATCGAATCGCAACTACCCTGTGGCGTCTTCGGTAAAGCACAAGCAGGCTCGAAGCGCCGAGGTTCTTTCTTTATTCATAGGGCTGTCAGATTTGGCAAGCCCCGAGCAGTGCTGAGGTAGTAGTGGTACTTCTGGTACGCCTTACCGAGCTTGCCGACTTGTGGAATGCAATGGCTTGGAAAATTGGAGTGTTGCTGGAGGCAGAGGTTGTTTCTCCAGACCCTTGCACACGTCCTGAAGGAAGGAGAGCAGTGCCTCCAGCGATCCCAGGGTGCTGGCCTGCAAGAGGATGCTTCTGCGACACTGGGGCGGGGCGATTGGTGACTTGATTACTTCCTTCTTTGCAACTGGCAGAGTGAACGGCGCGTGAAAAACACCAACCACATCCTTCAACCAGCCTTCACATAAACTCCTGCCGGCTCCTTGGCAAAGTCGTTGAGAATGCTCTCCTCAGTTGTTCGGAAAAGGCATAGGCAGGAAAGCCGAAGTGCTAGTTGCGACCGAGGAGCAAAGCCTTCGCTCGCTTCGTCCTTCAAGTCTTCGAGATCATCGTCCGGCCCACAAACCTCAGCCAAGACCATGACACACCCTGACCCCGGCACATACAATCCTATGTGGCTGGACAACTGCTGACTACAGCAAGCCTTGAAGTGGCAATTGGAAGCACCAGCCCACGAAGACTTGGAGAGGACTGCAAGGGTGTTCAAGCTTCCCACATCTCACACCAAGTCACGAGGAGCTGCGTGCCCGCAACCGCCTCCTCGAGGCCTGGTGCCGAGATCTTCACCTTTGCTCTGACTTGCCAAAAGCCTTGAACTGAACTGTAAAGCCCAAGCCAGCGCATGGGTGCTGGGTGCATATGCTCCAGGTCCAAGTCACGCCCATGGAGGTGCTGATCGCCGCGTGTTTGACGTACTCGTTCCTAATTGCCAGCTGCGGCTGCATGAATGCGAGGCTATGTGCCGGCGTGCTGGCGAGGGAGGAGAGAGAGAGAGAGAGAGAGAGAGAGCGAGAGCGAGAGAGAGAGAGAGAGAGAGAGAGCGCGTTTGCCTGCAACTACGACTCTACAAGAGCATGAATTAAAAGCATGGCAGACCCGACCGGCCAAGATGCTTGACCCGCATCTCCTTCATTGGCTGAGGTGTCAACAAAGCCCTGATGGTTGTAACAATTGGACCACCCAAGCCAGCCAGCACGATTGTGTCACCTTCTCGGAGGGTGCCGTTGAGAAGCACCACATCGATGGTGGTCCCAAGGCCTTCGATGTTTTTCACTTCGATCACCGTACACTCCAGCTCCTCCCTGCACTCCAGCTTGGCCCCCATCAGGTCTTGAGTGAGCTTAAGGATCATGTACAACAAATCTGGCACCCCCTCACCGGTAAGCGCACTGGTTGGAACAATGGAGACCGAAGTCCGCGGATCATCGTTCTCCCAATACCTAGGAATCACGAAAGGCAAACACGTGCAAACACACCCGCGAGTGCTCGAAAGTATTCGCTGCCTCCTTAGGCCTCGCTCCACTGCAACCCGGAAGCAGGCTGCAGTTCAGCCCCCGCTCGTTCAGCTGCAACATGACGTTGTTGTACCGGGTCTGGAACTCCATTCGCACAGACTGCTCCTGTCGGTTCAACGCGTCTTGGGCACTGGTATACGACTTTGCGTTCCACTGGTAGAGGATGTCGATCTTGTTCATCGCAATGATGAACGGGCAACGACGCTTCTTCAGCAGCTCCAACGATTCCACCTTGCCATGATGTCAAGTCAGTCCCTGTCCCTTGACTGGATATATGCTCCACGTCAGCTGGAAGCGAACGCCGAATCTGCCCTAAGCTAGCCTGACCTTCCACAGCCGGACCTAAACAAACCTCTTTAAAAGTCTTTCCTCAATTCCGACTTCCATGTAGCCAGGTCGCCGTTTGAGGCTCGAGGCCGTGCCTAAGCGAGGGCTCCCCCCAAAAAAACGGGTGCACGTCGGTTTGAGATTAGTCTCTCCACCGCCGAAGGCCCGAAAGTATGCATACTCTGCAAAGGAATCGAAGACAGCCCGGAGGCCTCCAGCCAGTGACAGCAAAGGCGCATGATGTCAATTACAAGGATTGCCAGATCTGCCAAAGAGGATCCGCGCATCCGAAGATTGTTGAAGGATTCCTCGGCTCCGGCATCAGGACACGAACTCTCCTGATGGGCTGGTGCCGAACCGGCACCTTCAGCAAACATTTGGGGCACTCTCTCTTTCTGTCTGCACCCGACGCTCTGCTTGTTGACGATAGGAGTGGGTGGAAGCGGTCTCTGCCCGGCTAACTGATGAGCCGAAATCATCAGGGCTATCAGCCTCGAGGGCCCCAACCCGCCTCCAACCCTCCAGCACCGCTCCCCCTCGACAGCGGAAGCAACTACCTGCAATAGACCCCTCTAGTGGCCCCTCTAGCATGCAACTACACGTTCCCCCCACACAAGCAACTGTCTCTCTCTCTCTCTCTCGGTCCTCTCTCTCTCCGTCTCGGCTCTCTCCTCCTCTCTGCCGCTGACCAACCGCGAGCAGCACAGGAAGTCTACTCCCAAGATCCTAACTACACGGCCGAACACCAAAAACACACATCCTGCAACGTGCACACCGAGCATCGTGACCGGGCGTGTCAATGATTAGCAGGCCAGGGACCTCGGAAAATTGCATGGCGAGCCCATTCCTGCTTTGAGAGTTGTGTTAACATGCAACAGGCCCAATCAGAAGGAACATCTGCTCAGCTATCGCTTTTAATGACTAGCAGCTGATTTTGCTCCCAACAATGCTTAAGATAAAGTCTCGAGACCCAACGAAGCGCCTACGTGGCATGCTGAAGCCATTTCAATCAAAGCTTGTTGCATCTTCTTCAAATCACAAAAAGCCCCATCTGCTTCCTATGCCGTTGAGCTGCTTCCAGCTCGAAGTCCTCGTCAACCTTCTTCGTCTGCTCTTGTAGTGCAATGTCAGGGAAAAACGTTGCTCCGATCTGCTGGGTGATGCCGCCAGCTTCACCTGGGTCGTATGCATTGCAAAACATCATCAGCTCGAACTGCACATGTGACCGATCGCCCTGTCAAAACTCTTCAAGCCTACCCGGCCCTGGATTTGCAGCCCAGCCTTCTTGCACGTTGGTTCTACGGATCTTGTCCAGGAGTTTTGTTTTTCCAGTGTCGACATGCCTTGGCTGTTCATGTGCACCGAAAATGGATAGGCTGCACCATCCCTCGGAGCACTGTTGCTCTATGCAGTAGGCAGGAAGCAGCTTATGTTTGCATCCAGGCACCCCATGATGCAAATCACCGGCGAACGGTATCCCATGAACGAAGAGGAAGAAGAGCTGCTGGAACTGCTGCTTTCGTCCCCACTTTCCTCATCGGACGCCTCTTCCTCCTTGGCAGCTTCCTCCTTTTCTTCCTCTTGTTCGTCAAGCTTCTCCCAGCCATCGCTCTCCTCCTCTTCCTCCTTCTCAAGCGGCTTCTCCTCCTTCTTTTCCGGCTTTTTCTCCTGTTTCTCCTCTTTCTTCTCCTCTCTCTCCTCTGGCGGCTCCTCCTTTATCTTTTCCGGTGATGGCTCCTCCCCGGGCGCAGGCTTCTTCTTCTTCAACTTGGTGGCCATCGGCCGCTTCTGTTTGTCGTCCTTCTCGACCTTCTCAGCAGTCTCGGCCTCCTCCTCCTCGTCCTTGTCCATGGTGAAGCCAAACTGCTCACGCAGTTGTGCCGCTCGTTGCTGCTTGAGCTTCTGCGCTTTGGTCAAGTAAGTGCCCTCTGCCTTCTGCTTCGCGATCTTCGCCGCCTTGGCATCCCGGCGCTTCTGCCGCTCTTCTTCTAAGCGCCTCTCTTCCTCTTCGATTGCTCGCTGCTCCTCCTCGATCCGCTTCCGCTCGGCCTCCTCGAAGGCCCTTTTCTCCTCCGCGATTTTCTGCTCCATCTCCAGGCGTTCTCGGGCTGCACGGACGATGGCGCTCTCCTTTTTCGGCGCGGCTTTGGCCTTCTCCTTTTTGCTGCTGCTTGCTACTGCTGGCTCCTCTTCTTTGGGTGCCTCCTTCGTCTCCGACTGATCTTGGGGCTCGTCAGAGCCCCAGAAGCCTTCTCCTCCTGTCTTCTGCTTTGCCTTGGCTTTTGCCTTCTTCTCCTTCTTCTTTCGATTGGCAAGCGTCTTGGCATCAAGCTCTTCGTCCTTCCCATCCTTGTCATCTTCGTCCTTCTCAGCTTCTGGACTTGGCTTCTCCGGGATGGCTTCCGCTGGTGCAATGCCGGATGCAGCATCTGGCTTCTCACCCTGTTCATCCAAGGCCGCATCGAAATCGTCGTCTGCATCCCCTTTCTGACCCTTCTTCTTATCCTTCTTCTTCTGGCTAGCCGATTTTGCTTCCGCCTTTGCCTTTGGTTCGGGAGCCGATTCTTCAGCAGGTGGTTGAAGTTCGTCTAACGCAGCATCGGAGTCCTCATCGGCTGCCTTATTTTGGGCCTTCTTCTTATCTGCTGCTGTTTTTGCGGCAGCTTTTGCCTTTGGCTCCGGCTTGTCTTCCTGGAACTCGTCCAAGGCAGCATCAAAGTCCTCATCGGCTGCCTTCTTTTGGGCCTTCTTCTTATCTGCTGCTGTTTTTGCGGCAGCTTTTGCCTTTGGCTCCGGCTTGTCTTCCTGGAACTCGTCCAAGGCAGCATCAAAGTCTTCATCGGCTGCCTTCTTTTGGGCCTTCTTCTTATCTGCTGCTGTTTTCGCGGCAGCTTTTGCCTTTGGCTCCGGCTTGTCTTCCTGGAACTCACCCAAAGCAGCATCGAACTCATCATCATCCGCTGCCTTTTGAGCTTTTTTCTTATCTTTTTTCTTTGCATTCGCTGACTTGCTGTCTTCAGCTGGCGGTGCGTCCTCTTTGAAGTCTGCCAAGACATCGTCCAAGTCTTCGTCATCGTCTTTGCCCTTTCCTTAGCAACGGAAACTACTAAAAGCGCATCTGCATGTGCATGAAACAACTGCAACACGAAATTCCCCTGGTGATGCCAGCAACCTTCCATCCATGTGATGTCAGCAAAGCGTCCCTTTTTCTTCTTGTTGCCACCCTTCTTGTCATCTTTGCTGGCTGCCGCTTTAGCAGCTGCTGCCTTTGCTGCTTCCTCCTCCTTCTTCCTTAGCTCTTCTCGCTCCCTTTCCTTAAAAGCCTCCACGGCCTCTTCGTAAGAGGGTGCTGGCTGACCGATTTCTGCGGAATCTGCAAGCATGACAGCCAAGCCAGCATCCAGCACATCTGTGTCCCAGCCCATTTCTTTAGGGCCGCAAAACATACCGGCGCTTTCAACACCGCCCACTGTTGAAACTTTGACATCGACCCCATTTGCTGTCGCGTATCCCGGTGGTGCTGCAATGAACTTCTTGTTCGCAACGACATTCGGGGCACTCGTGACGATGTCGACAGGGTCAACACCTGCCATCACCACCACTTTGCACAGCTTGAGCTTGTCTTTCTTGGGAATGGGAGAGACCTCTATGATTTCACAAACAGTCGGGCTTTTCTTTTTCTTTTCCTTCTTCTCTTTCTTCTCTTTCTTTTCCTTTTTCTCGTCCTTGGCATCTTTGTCCTCCTTGTCAGCAGTCTTCTTTTTCTTCTTCTTCTCGCCAAACATGGCAATCTCATCATCAACGGGGTCATCCTTCTTCTTTTTCCTCTCCGGCGACGAATCCTTTTCTGCCGTCTCTGCCTTTTCCTCTTTCGCGGCCTTTTCCACCTTGTCGACCTTCTCCGCCTTGTCCTTTGATGGCTTGTCAGCCTTCTCTGCCTTGTCAGCCTTCTCTGATTTTTCTGCCTTCTCCGGCTTCTTCGGAGGCGGAGGTGGCTTCTCTTCCTCCTCCTCTTCTTCTTCTTCCTCGTCCGAGTCCTCCTCGTCCGAGTCCATCATCAAAGCGAAAAGGTTCTTCTTCTTGGGAGCTGCCTCAGCCTCACTGCTCCCTGACTCACTCTCCTCTGGCTCATCATCGGAAGATGGTGGCGTGGCCGCCTGCTTCTTCTTATTCGCAGGCATCTCGCCGCGAGGGCCGGTACAAACGCCTCAGAGGCAGTCCCGTTCCTTGGGAGTTGAGTCAGGGTTGCAACGATGTCTCGCCCGTTCGGACGAGCAACGACCAGGCCACGTTAACACCAAATTTCGAGATTACAGGAGTGAGTGACTGTGAGTTGTCTGTTAGAGTCTTTACTGCGTCGTTGGCGACCGTTTGTCGGAGTGTTGTGAAAGCTTAGGGGGGGGCATAAGCTTGGTAGAATGATTGAGGACTGGAGTGTTTAAGTTCACTGCCGCCTGCGTTGGCGCAACTGCTAAGCCGAGATGTGCAGCGAATAACGCACGGTCTCTGCCAATGTACTTGAAGCACCGGAGAAACTGCCGATACCATCATGTCCAGGGCCTCTGCAGACTCGGATCGACCCAAGCAAACGACCACTTTGTGCGAACCTTTTCTCTTGGGTTCCCAATTCCGGACGTCTTAGACGCCTCTGTTAAGTCTTAGCACCACAGAGATTCATGCAAGTCTTGTGCTGCACTTGTCTGCACGGATTCGAGACGCCGAGGAGTTCCCCCACGTAGCAGAGCGAAGCCTTCCAACTCTTTCGAGTCCTGACCAAAGCGCGGACACGGAATGAAAAAGAACCACAGCAAACACAAGGTCGGACCCCCCAAACTGCCGAACTCTACATCACTGCTGGGGCGGGAAATGCCACATGTTGTGAGTTTGTGTTTATGCCTGCACTCGGCATGCCCGTGCAGCAACGAACCTGCTGCCTACAGATGACGACGGCCACTACTAACACAGCAGAATGTTCGCAAGACATCCGAAGGGGCCCTACCTGCAGGTTTCCTCTCTCTGTCCTCTCTACCTGTCGTGCTGCATTCTAGACACGTGGGAAACCAGGCCGAAAACTCAGCTGCACCAGCGTCTCACAGGTCGGTTCATCTCATGAGCAGGATCTGTCCGCAAACGCCATATATTGAGTCGCCTACATTCTCTCCATCCAAGGCCTCCGATGGATGCGCAGAACTTCCCTTTGCCAGCTGGTATAACAAACGAAAAAACAAATCAAATGACATTTGCAAACTGCAACCTTCTCCCTCCCCTTTTTCTGCCACTTGGTGTTTTGCTGAAGAGCATCAATCTCTCTCTCCCTCCCTCTCTCTCTCTCTCTCTCTCTCTCTCTCTCTCTCTGCCGTGCCATCATCAAATGTCTCGCAATGCAAGGGCACATCAATGAGCATCATAATCGTTACAACGGCTTGTCCTCCCAGGTGAGAGACATCGTTTACTTTCTGCTCAGCTCCAAGCCTGACACTTCACTATTCGATTTTTCTGTATTCCCCTCTCACCATCTGCCTTTCTGACTGCGCAGTTGCGATCGGCAAGCAGAAATCCACCCCAGGAGTCCATCGCTCAGCTGAAGCACGGAGCACTTGCCAAAAGCAGACCCTCCACTGCACTGCAGTCAAGCTCAACTCCTGCCTGAGGCTCTAGGAGGACGAACTGTGGCTGCTCGTCTCGCTCCCTGGTGAGACCCTCTTCTGGCGCAATTCCTCGAAAGCCAGCACGCATGTAAAGCACTGAAGCATGCCGACACTTTCTGAATTTCGCCAGTCTTACGGACTCCCTGCCTCAACACCGTTTGCCTCAGGAAAGTCCACCACGTTCGGCAATCCTTCATCCAATTCCACCTGTGTGACGGGGTCTGAAGCACCGCTCAAAATTCACGTGCTCTGGAATATGTGGCTTAGCTCCCATAACTATTGCTTGGTCGTATCATAAATTTGGCGATCGCAACCAATCGCCTTAGCATTGTGGCCAGGCGAAGGACTGCTAGAATCACCCCCACTGGGTTCGCTTCGGGCAGCCGAGTCATCAGGCATCGAGCGAACAACTTCAGTGTCCGCAAGGATTCCAGAAGCCACGGTTTGATCATGCTTGCCATCCGCTGCAGCTGCCGGGAAGGTCTCGTCTTGCGGTTCGCATGCAGGAACCAGCAACTCCCATTTTGAAGCATCGTGAGCCAGCTTGCCGTAAACGAACACCCTCACCTGAAGTGGATAGCCACGACCGACTCTCTAGCACGAAAGCTCCTCAACAAATCCTTCTGTGTCGATGATGTGAAACTCACCGGCGGCCTGTGCCAATTTGTCATTCTGGCAGCTGCTGAAGAAACCCATGTACATGATGGGAATCAAACATTTTCAAGCAAAAGTTCCGAACTTCCAATTTAGACCTTGCCCCCGGCTTCACTCCGGACTATGTCTGCCGAACTGTCACTCCAACCGATTTCAGGAAGAAGCTACCACCCAGGTTGCACTGCACAGCTGAGCAAACATCGTCAGACAGGTGCCTCCAAACCGGAGGGCTCTTTCCTATGCCGGGCCTACCTCCGTCTAGCTGCAGCTTAAGGCATTCAGAACCAACCTGGCCAAGTGACGGCATGGCTGATGCGGCTTTTGCCCAGCCGCGGATCAGGCTCAGCCTCCTCTGCTGCCGAGGCAGCTGCTGGTTCGGATTCGTCAGCCGTACACTCAACCTGGATGGTGCGGCTGTCAGGTTAGGATCATTTCCTGCTGGCCAAAAAACTACTACAAGCACAAGTACCACCACCCGCGCTGCCACCTCAGGAGGCTCCTCTTCCGTTTCGTCCAAGAGACCGTGGATGGTACCTTCGCCAGCTCCCGGCTCGTCTTGGCATCGAGATCGACCAAGAGATCCTCGAAAAACGCGGCAGCCGTTGCGAAGTCCTTCTGCAGAACATCGTCAGAAGTAACCTGAAGGTGCACAAACTCAACGCACCAATTGGGAAGTGCAACAGCTTTCGAACTCGACTGTGGCGGCAACTGCTCGGAATCCTGCTACTGTGAAGATGCCCTCCGCGCCCAGATAGTCGCCAGACTTGTCACCGGGATGTTCCATTGGAGGCTTCCTTGGTACTGATGTTGTCCGACTTGAAGCAATGTCGTCCGCTGAGCTGGGCCTTGTCCTTTCGGTCTGGTCGCCCTGAAAAGCAAGGAAATCCAGTCACTGATCACTATTGATTACTGAGATTGCAGAAGCCCACAGAGTCAGCATTTTGTACGAGTACCTGCCTGTGCCAACGCATCCGCGCATCGTGGCCAAGGCATCAGGGACGGCTCTGGAATGTTTCCAACCAGCGGTTCCCAATCCCAGCCGCTGAGGGTATCATTGCTGCGACCGTCAGGCTTGTAGCCCTGGACAAAGGGTCGCCGCGCTGCTGGCGCCTTGCTCCCAGGCGGATGTGGGACAAATGGCTGCGAGCCTCTGGCGCTGCTTGGTCGACTCCGGGCGCGAGGTGACACAGACGGTGTAGCTGACGGAGATTTGAACTCGATCTTCTGGCGCAGCAGTTCGCGCTCGACGCATCGGATACCTGAGTCAACAAGGGTCTGAGATTCGGTCCCCGATCACGCATTGCCCTGCAAGCCACTGACAATCACGACTTGAATTCGAGGCTCGTTCCAAGCGCATCGCCTGCTTGCATGAAATTTCGCGGGTTTCCCGCAGCTTGGCTCTTCCAACGCCCTTTTCTTGCAGAAGCTTACGACGCTTCTGCTCTGCTTCCAGCTGCCTGACACCAGGAGTCATCATGATTGTAGGGGTTTTCACCCTCCGCACAAATCAAATCTAGACAGCTTTCGCGCATCTCTCACTTGCACTACAACTTATCGTCCATGCTGCCTCTTTGACTCCTGCTCGATGCGCTGGCTTCTCAGTGTCTCTTGTTCTTGGAATATCTTGCGTCGGTTCGTCTGAAGGACAGCCTGTCTCACTGCAGAAGCATTCACCATCAGGTCTGAGATTTCTTGCTTGGCCCCTTTGCTCCTCGCAACACGTTCTTCATGATCTTTGGTGCGCTGTTGCCAATTTGACTGCTGTCGATCCTCGTGCTCTTGCTTCCTCTGTGCATAACTAGCCCGCACGGCCTCAATTCGCCCATTCCGTGATCGAGCTCTCTCTTGGACTTCTTTGTGATGCTGCTCCTTGATATAGAGCGCGAAGGAGAGTTTGGTTTCCCAACGTCGAAGATCCCCAATGTCTTCCGGCGCCTCGTTTTTCCGAACACGGGCAGACTGAGCTCTCGCGCGCGATTTCTGCCTGCAGGAATCGGCGGTACCGGCTTCAGGGGAGAAGCTGGCTTCAGCCGCTTCAGCACAAGGATGTCGGTCGATTTGCCGCTCGTGCCGTGGCGTTGCTCGATCCCAAAGATCCATCTGGTTCGGCGAGTTGCTCGCTCCCAGTTCCGCTTCCCAAATTATTTGCCCCAACAGTTGCAGTGCATAGCGCTTTCGCGGCGACTTCCCTGGCGTATTTGCTGGGTCGACGCCAGCAGCGGCCGTTAGCACCTCTGCCTTTTCAAGGCCTTGGCGCCACAGTGCCCTTGCACAGCTTGGCTGGGAAAGATACGATTCCAGATTGTCGGGCTGGTCCCGCAACAGTGCCGCCGCTTTTGCGACACATGTCGGCGGCAGTTCCAGGATGGAGGTGGTGGCAATGATCGAACTGTGCGGCCGACACGAAGGAGACATGCTTTCGCCTCGGCCGCTCAAAGGTTGGGTCAGGTTGAGGTACAAAAAAGGAGGAGTCAAAAAAAGGAGGACGGACCTCAAGCACGATGCCGAGCTTACCGACGTGCGCAGAAGATCAATACAAAAAAAGCCTGGCAAACACGCAAGTGAGGCCTCCAAACAATCGTGTTGACCACACATCATTCATGCGCTCGAGTGGGCGCCACCCGCATCACCACCACCGAGTCGGACGCCTGCACGGGTAATTTAATACTCTACAGTCACAATGGAAACGAGACTCTTGTTGCGACCGCAAACATTCTCACCATGCGCAGGAGCCTCGGTGCAGATGCGGGCACATGCTGCATCGCATGTGCTGACTCAGCTGAGCCGGAAATGCGTTTGTCGCAGGCGTACGGTCGCAAATAAGAATGGACAAAAATGGCACACTCAAGGGAACAAGGCAACCAGAACTGCAATCTCATCGTTACTACCAGTGCACCGAGACAGAACTGCACTTTCGAGCAGCCTTCTTAGTCGTCGTGGGATGTCGTGGGATGGTGGCCACCGAAAAAAATCCCACTGCTCAGACCCCGCCCTTTGGCCGACAAAACTGTAAACAGAGAGACAAGGAGAGCACGTTTGGCAAACTGCTCGGACAAGAGCACCGCACAACATGCGTCCTGCTTTCATCTGGTTGGGTTGCACTTGTTGCACGCTCGTCTCAGGCGACGAAGCCTCGGCAACTCGCTGCTCGCTGCTGTGCTGATGTAGCAATCTTGACCAAGCCGGTGCTCATTCTCTCTCTCGCTCTCATCTCAGCATGCCTGATGAATCCACCTGATGAATCCAACATGGAGGTGGGTGTTTGGAGTTAGCAAGTCCAACAAGCTGCTTGAAGATGGAAGCCCGGTTTAGGGTGTAGGGGTTGGGGTTTCGGCGCTCACACTCGGACAATCCAGGCGAGGCACAAGCGGTCCCTCAAGTTTCTGCTTCCAGAAACACACCTGTGATTCGATCCTCCTTTCTCCTGCTACTACGCTAGCATACAACGAAGTCGTGCATTGTGCAGCGCTCCGTTGCAATTGAAATCATTGTATTGGCCCTCTCTTTCTGCCATTCATAGGCTAGCAGAAGGAGAGGGCGAACTCTGTAAAACGGCGTTAAAACTCCAGGTCTCGGAGGTGGCATTGTTCCTGCCATGGCACTTCAATAGGATTCAACGAGCACGATGAGGTTGGATGCGGATAATTCATACGGGGTTCATACTGAGATGGCAGAAGACCTTTCGGCTCTGAATCTGCACTTACCAAATTGTTTGCAGGGATGCGCCCTCCTTGATTCGATGCCCTCGGTTTTGGTGGGTTTTCGGCTCCCGAAATATCCTTCGAGCTTCCTTCGTCTGTGGGGACTCCCTGACATGAATAGTAGCCATGCACTATGACAAGAAACCTCAAGTCAGTCATGTTGATTGACAACACCACGTGCCTCAAAAAAACAGGCGCCGATGAGTAGGGCACACTTCGCCTGCTGGCCGTGGTCGGCTTGCAGTTTTCATTCGCAGCCCGCTAGTAACTAGGCTGGTTCCACCATGGTTGAGAATGTAGGGTTCTGAGATGTGCCTTCTTTGGGTCAACCTGGACAGCGCTGAGGACGGCCGTTTGACTTGTGTCGTGTAGCGAATTGCGCACCAGCCGAGCCGCAATTTGGGCAGCTGAGTTGCCAGAGAAAATGCGAAAGAAGCAAACCCTCTCTGTATGTATGTGTATGTCTGTATATGTATGTATTGAGCTATTGCTGGTATCCAATACAATGTGTGTATTATACATATATATATATATATACATATACATACATACATACATACATATATATATATGTATATGCAGAGGTATACTAATATGTATGTATGTGTATATACAATTATACACACATATGAGCTCATATGGAGGTCATCACCATCATCACCACCTTTATCCCCATGTTTACCCAAAGCTCCGCAAGAACCCGCTTCGCTTGCAATCCCAACACTAAAGTGCCCGATCATGTCCTATAGGTGGCCTCACGAAATAACGGCTGAAGCATCAGATCACGCCTGGTCGTGCGGATCCCTTGTGACTTTTGCTTCTTCTTTGGCTTCGGCATCAGGCCTAGGGCATCGGGGAGCTTGCAGCCAAGGGCCGGCAGATATGCGCAGCCTGCCGGGACAAGAGCTGCACTGTGGTTACACTGCCGCCGCTAGCTGCTGCTGTCTGGTCTGTAGTATATAAGCTTGACCTAGCAAGACCGGCGGTAAGAATGCTTGGTAAGAAGTCAAGCCCACGCCCAAAACCAAAATGAACGCCCTAATCACTTTGATTTGCCTTCTTCAGCTGCGTGCGCACCGGATCGATCAAGGAACTCACTGCAATGATAGTACACTGGTAGTTTGCTTGACACTTGCAGTCTTGCGTCTGGAGGTCGAAGAAAGCCCAGTGAAGCGTAGGCTTCTTCCTCTTTGCCCTGCGCCGGCAAACGAAACAACATCGAAATGCGCGTTAATGACGCCGCAGGCAGCTTGGGCCTTTGGGCTGAGGGTTAGTCTAGAGCTTTGGGTTCACAATTCGGGCTTCAGGACTGAATGCTTCGGTTTCGGAGCCTTCAAAGCATGTTCGGTGAAGCTGTAGGCGAAGGGCCCAGGCCTGCGGGTGAAAACTACGGATTCCAGGTTCGCCAGCTCTGGCGTTGGATTCCGAAAGAACCCCACAGCTGACTCAGCACTTGGTTCAGGACCCCAAAATTACAAAAGGGCACGAGGGCACACTCCGAGCGGGGTTGGGGTTTGGGGTTTTGCAACCCCAGCAACATCTGTACGAACACATATAGTTAATGATATGCAGCCGCCTCGCAAGGAGATTTTGACCGAGCTAAACCCGAACCCGAAACCTCGCTCCCGGAAAGCCCACTTCCGGATCCCCACACCCCCACGCCCTGTGCGTTATGGAAAAAATTCGCTATTACAACAGGTGACGAAACTCCATGATGTTTGGTTTGGTCTGGTCAGTCAGTCAGTCAGTCAGTCAGTCTGTCAGTCAGTCAGCCAAGCGATCATGCAGGCAGTCAGTCAGTCGTGAGTCAATCAATCAATCAATCAGTCAGTCGGTCAGTCCAACCACTAGCCCAGAGCTGAACACCGGGTGACAGTGGCCTCCGCGAGCTTAAAAAGCAAACGACGAAAGCACGGCATGTTGTGCTTGTGCCACAACCCTACTTTGCAGCTCCATGTTTCGTGAACTGACCTGCCGCTCTCTACGACTCTAGGACCCTGCCTCGTGCCACAACAGATGGAAGCACTTCTTTGATGCCTGGGCAATGCAAGATTAGTGCCAGGCACTTCTCGCTTTGCAAAGACGCACTGGGCTCTGGGGCCCGCGCTGACCAGACTACGCAATAGCCTTTCCTCCCTGGGAGGACACCAGCATTCAAGGCCTGGATTCGGCACACAGCGAGAAGCGTGAAAGCACTTGCCTGCACGAGGGCTCCCAAATTTCGCACATTGCAATATGTTTTGGCCCGAGATGCGGCGATGGCTTCAGTCACGGAGTCGCAGCATGCCTTTGCCAAAAGAAACTCGGGCATTCCCACAGAGGACTGAGAAGAAAGTGCGGCCTTGCTGATCAAGTCACAACGCCCGAGGAAAAAATCTTGCAAATAGCCGGTAGATGGAGCTAGGCAGCTAGTTACATCCAACTGGCATTTCTGGCCCTTCTTGGGTACACTGTACACTTCCGCCGTCCTCGGTACAGGGCGGCAGGCTTATTGTTTGAGATGTCGACCACCTCGGCCCGCAGCCCATGAATCTGAGTGAGCTGATTGTGCCTTCTCCTCTGTCTCTGCGGCTGTCTGGGCAAAAGACTTGTTCCCGGACTTGCTCCCAATGTCAAGCCTCACGACGATTCAAGATCTGCTTCAGCTTCCGGCATTTGATCCTGAAACGGAAAAGCTGTATGCATGAGCTGAAAAAAATATCTGAACCAAAACCAACTCAAAGACTTGAGCTTTTTTGTCTTCTCGCCAAAGCAGGAAATAGTCTTGGCGCGGCCAAAATCGGAGTGATCAAACTGCAAGCAGATTCCGAGTCAGCCACTTTGTTGGGACGTGGAGAACACCACACAGTAGCCATCTGGCACAGCCTAACATTATGTCCAGTTGCTCCAGGATAACCCATGCTGAAGCTTTAAGTCCATCGCATGTGTGTCACGATTGAGCATCTCCACTGTCGCGGTAACGGAGCTGTACTTGTTGTACCTCGTGGATCACTCACTTGGTGGCCTCTGATAAGCATGTCCACTGGTGGGCTGGGTCTGGTATAGGGTTTGAAGTGTCGCTCACATCGCCCGGCCGACGCCCAGCAGACTTCCATCAGACTGGAGCAGCTTCAAGACTAGGGGAGCCATTGGATTTTTCTTATGGTAAGAAAATCACAGTGCAGTCTTAGATATGTAGCATCAATTGAAATTCGCTCTTAGATGGCTTTTTCTCTTGCCTGGACATGTTCTGACAGCCGTCATTTATGATGCCATTGCATTTTTTGTTGCGTCCTATATAACACTTGGAAGTGTGATTGCCATGGGTCAGGCTGCAGCAAAATGTATTGGACCATTCTTTTTGTTATATGGATAGCTTGCGTTCGCAATGCATCTCCAAATCAACACGTATAGTTTCATTACTCGTTCAGGCAAGACGACAGATACAAGAGTCGTAAATAGATAGGTTCCATCCATTGCAACAGGTTTCTAGGGTAGCAAGCCATGTCGACCAAACTAATTCGATTGCTGAAGCTCGCGACGTTATGCTCACCTCTGATCTAGAGACCAGAACCGGACTCATGTCTTGGGCTCGGGCTCTGCCCTCAGCAACGGCACCTTGCCCGAGAAGACGTGCTCCGAACCCTTCGGGCCGATCACGCACCTGAAACAGACACGCACCAGAACGTGGCAAAGCAGATCTCGGAACCTGCTGGCAGGCTGCGAGCACTCCACCGACCAGCGTCCAGCTGCACCCTGGCGGCACCAACTACCCGGCTTGGCTTCTTTTCAGGGATCGACTGCCGCACTGAACAGAGCTTTGATTTGTATTGGGAGCGACGGCTGGTGCATCTGACCCCTCGACACGATTCAAGCGAGGATCCTAAAACACACACGGAATGTCAAGTGAGGTTTCTTTATGCGATGAACCACCTGATGCCCAGGTCTCAAGTGACCACACATCAGAGACTTTTGACATGTCAGCACATGGGCAAGAACGTCGAAGAAGCACAACGTGAAGTAACCCTGCCTGAACCTACCACCTGCCTAAACCCCAACACGGCCTGACTACCTGCGAAGAGCTGGCTGTTTGCGAAGGTGTGCAACGGCTGCAGGAGAACGACTGGTGGGGTTCTCGGCTTAGCCCCAGGCCATCCAGGCAGAAAGCATATATACCAGTACGACGATGAACCATGTACAGCGAAGACCAGGATGTCACAAGCTTTGCAGGTACAGGGGACTGGCCAAGTCCCCCTTCCCATCCACAACCGTAGCTTCGTTGCACACGGTAGGTTGTGGATGCCGTGTGCCCCTGCTGTAGTGATAAAAGACCGAGAGAAAGGCAAGGCAAAGCATGTCATGGGAGCGTGACCTGAAGACCCTTGGACACAGGGTTGTCACACACACGCCCCGCCGTAGCGCGGCGAGTCAGGAAACGGCTGCGGTCAACCGTGCCATGTGCTCCGCCACGGTGTCGGGGGTGGAGACAGCGTTCGAGCCTGAAGCCTCAACCTGTCTCCCTAGACTGCGGATAGGGGAATGGATACCCCGAAGAAAGTCAACAAGGTTCGCCACGAAGAGGTCGTGCAGCTTCGCCGCGAAGAAGTCGTACAGCAGTTCCGGGGAAGGGGACGGATACCCCGAAAGCCAACAAGGTTCGCCACGAAGAAGTCGTTGTGGCAGTGTGGGGAAAGGGGATGGATACCCGAAAGCCAACAAACTTCGCCACGTACAGGTCGTGACCGCGCCATGTGCTTCGCCACGTTGTCGGAGGTGAAGACAGCGTTTGAGCCTAGAGCCTCCACCTGCCTCCCTAAGCCACAACCAGCCTGAACCGCCACTCACCGAAGACAAAGGCAAGGAAGAAGAAGTGACTGAGGGTAGGGGAATGGATCCCCCGAAAGCCAACAAAGTTTGTCACGAAGAGGTCGTACAGCTTCGACGCGAAGAGGTCGTACAGCAGCACGCGGGTAAGGAGATGAATACCCCGAAAGCCAACAAAGTGCACCAGGAAGAGGTCGAACAGCTTCGCCGCGAAAAGGTCGTACAGCAGCACACGGGTAGGGGGATGGACCCCGAAAGCCAACAAGATTCGCCACGAAGAGGTTGCTACGTCCACGTGGGAAAGGGGATGAATACCCGAAAGCCAACAAACTTCGCCACGTACAGGTCGTGACTGCGCCATGCTCTTTGCCACGGTGTCGGAGGTGAAGACAGCGTTTTTGCCTAGAGCATCAACCTGCCTCCCTAAGCCACAACCAGCCTGAACCCCATGCACCGAAGACGAAGGCAAGGAGGAAGAAGTGACTGAGGGTAGGGGAATGGATACCCCCAAAGCCAACCAGGTTCGTCACGAAGAAGTCGTACATCTTCGCCGCGAAGAGGTCGTACAGCAGCACGCGGGTAAGGGGTAAATACCCCGAAAGCCAACAAAGTGCACCAGGAAGAGGTCGAACAGCTTTGCGGCGAAAAGGTCGCACAGCAGCACACGGGTAGGGGGATGGATACCCCGAAAGCCAACAAGGTTCGCCACGAAGAAGTCGTTGCGGCAGTGTGGGGAAAGGGGATGGGTACCCGAGAGCCAGCAAACTTCGCCACGTACAGGTCGTGACTGCGCCATGTGCTTCGCCACGTTGTCGGAGGTGAAGACAGCGTTTGAGCCTAGAGCCTCAACCTGCCTCCCTAAACCACAACCAGCCTGAACCCCCACGCACCGAAGACAAAGGCAAGGAGGAAGAAGTGACTGTGGGTAGGGGAATGGATACCCCCAAAACCAACCAGGTCCGTCACGAAGAAGTCGTACAGCTTCGCCGCGAAGAGGTCGTACAGCAGTACACGGGTAAGGGGATGATTACCCGGAAGCCAACAAAGTTCGCCACGAAGTGGACGCAGCTTCGCCGCGCAAAGTTCGCACAGCAGCACATGGGTAGGGGGACGAATACCTCGAAAGCCAACAAGATTCGCCACGAAGAGGTTGCTACGTCCACGTGGAAAAAGGGGTGGATGCCCGAAAGCCAACAAACTTCGCCACGTACAGGTCGTGACCGTGCCATGAGCTTCGCCACGGTGTCGGAGGTGAAGACAGTGTCTGAGCCTGAAGCCTCAACACGCCTCCCTAAACCACAACCAGCCTGAACCACCACGCACCGAGACAAAGGCAAAGAGGGAGAGGTGACTGCGGGTGGGGGACTGGATCTCCAAGAGCCGAAAAGGGTTCGACACGAAGAGGTGGTTCGCCGCGAAGAGGTCAGACAGTTTCGCCGCGAAGAGGGGCCAGCAGTACACGGGCAAGGGGATGAATGCCCCGAAAAACAACAAAGTTTGCCATGAAGAGGTCGCACAGCTTCACCGCGAAGAGGTCGTACAGCAGCACACGGGTAGGGGGATGGATACCCCGAAAGCCAACAAGGTTCGCCACGAAGAGGTCGTTACGAAAGCGTGGGGAAAGGGGATGGATACCCGAAAGCCAACAACTTCGCAACGTACAGGTCGTGACCGTGTCATGTACTTCGCCACGGTGTCCAAGGTGAAGATAGCGTTTGAACCTGAAGCCTCAACCTGTCTCCCTAAACCACAACCAGCCTGAACCCCAAGCACCGATGACAAAGGCAAGAAGGAGGAGGTGACTGCGGGTAGGGGAATGGATACCCCGAAAGCCAACAAAGTTCGCCACGAAGAGGTCGTACAGCTTCGACGCGAAGGATGCCCTCCAAGCTTTGGTTGAAGTTTTCGCCAGAAGTCACACTCTCAAGGCTGGGTAACTGGACGCCCGCCAAGCTCTGGTTGAACTGGCGCCAAACGTCAAAGTCTGCAGGCTGCTGGGTGACTGGACGCCCTACAAGCTCTGGGTGAAGCTGTAGCCGAACGTCAGACTCTGTAGGCTCGGGAACAACCAAAATTACAGGGATGAACTATAGGCCGATACATGGGCAGCAGGATCAACCCTGCGTCCTCGGATTCCCCATCCGATCGTTCCTGTCGATCGGGAACACCCAAAATTACAGGCAGGAGGTCGGTGCATGGGCAGCAGGATCAACCCTGGCCTCGTCCTCGGCTTCCCCGTGGTCTCCTTCCTGTCGGTGAACACAGAAATTTCAAGGGATGAGGTTGCCTTAAGGCTACATCGGCAAGCCCAGGGAACTGTGCCGGAAAAAACAGAACGGCCTCGGGGATATCATCATCCTGAGCGTCGGCAGCAGCAGCAGCCTGGCAAACTTGTTCATTCATGCGTGGATCGGACAATCCCCGCATGACCTCCGAGCGGGCCTGTGCTTGAAGCAGCTCAGCAGCAGGAATTCCTTCATGCAACGGCCGGCATGATGCTGACAGTTTGCTTCCACATCACTTTGTGCAACCCGGTTCCTTTCTTGAGTTCACCATGAAGCTTTCTGAATGGTATCTTATACTGCAAGGAGTGGTCGAAGGGGTAGCGATCATGGGCTTCGAGGCAAGCAATCACATCCGGCAGAAAATTTGGTGCTTGGATTCGCGGAATTCTGCGTCCTGCACCGTCGACCTGCGTCTCCATCTCGTCTGGGTTCGCCAGCCCGTTACTACTCTTCCGCTTTTTCACCTTCAGCAGGGAGGGGCCACAGGCGTCCTGCATATGTCGTCGGGCCAGCAAAGTGCAAAGGCCATATTTATAGTGACTGTTAACCGAAGCAGGCATGTCCTTGAGCTTTTGAAGCCAGGGTTTGCGGGATTTGCTGCTTTTTTTGGTGAGCCGCACAAGGCTTTGAATGCAACCACGAACCAGGATTGCCACTGTGTGCAGGTCCCCAGTGGCAGCATATGCAGGGTAGCGGAGCTTCAAGGCTGCTTCGATGTCTTCCACCGGCCATTGACCCAAGCCCTGCTGCTCGTAAAACTTGACAGTCCTGCATGAGGGAGAGCTCACCATGTGAATTATCGAAATGTGATGGTGCATGGACTAAAATAAAGTCTATATAGTCTGTCATCTGCAACATGCACGAAACTGCGAAACAGACACATAACTTCAAACAAGGCACACTTCAAGGAGGGCGGCATTCGACTTGAGTGCTTCCTCGCTGACATCCTCGTCCTCGTCGGGGTTCTGCGGCTCGTCGGGGATGCAAACGAACTGGGCCTCAACTAATGCTCATACGGCGTAAATGCCAGGACCCGCGGTGGATCGAGATGCATCTTATTGCATGGTCCGACATACTTGTGGCACAGGAACAATTAAGGTACTTATATACATTGTTATAATTGCAAGCAAGAAGCTGGCGTGTCTACAGATGGGAACGTGTTCTGCCATAGCTGCACCAGTCCACTGATTGGCTTCGCCATTATATGTCACTCTGTGTGCAGCAAGTATACTGACTCTCAAGCAATGCACAGTACATGTGACCCAGCGAATATGGAACCTGCATGCATGCGTGCACGTGGTTCCATGCTTCAGGCACGGCTTCGCCTCGATCCATGAAGAATGGGTTGCATGCCATCGATAATTAAATGCACTGACTTATGAACGAAATGCACGGGCACACAACTTTTCAAGCCCACAGCCGAAGCACTAGTAAGAGTTGCCAAGCCGCGGGTCCTCATTCAGACAAAGCAAAGCCAAAATCGTCGAAAAGCAAAGCCCGCAGCGGTCTGCACAGTAAGAGTTGCCAAGCCGCGGGTGATTTGCATAAGTCCTCACCTATAGTTCATTCAGATAAAGCAAATCCAAAAGTCGAAGCACAAGAGTTGCATGCCAAGCCGCCAAATCATAGCCACGAGCAGATCAAAAGTTGGATGCCAGCACCAGTCCTGCACGGCGATGTTTTGGGATTCATGGCCTTCTTGCCACGCTTCTGTGCTGCAGCAGGTCGCTTCATCATTGCAACGGGCCAGCTAGCGAGATGAAGCTAACCACGAGTTATGTCATTGCATGCAATGCACCATCTGGCCATGCCATGATCGAGTGCACATCATGCATGGTTCCATGCTTCAGGCAAGGCTTCGGCTCGATCATTTAAGAGTGGATAACATCAAATTGAATGCAGTCATCGGAAGCCACTGACTTGTGAACGAGATGCACATCTGATTCTAAAAAAAAGTGCACAAAGTTTCGGCCCCACTGTCCTTCATGAAGATCCTTCAAGGGCGGCAGTGTGCGTCAGCAACCCCCACCAGGCATCGGCCACCAACATATGCAGCAGTTGCAAGTCGCGGCCTAAAGAAAATAGCAATGATCAACATCGAGTCGCACATGCATGATCCCTTCATGTAATGCATCCAAGGCACGGAATGATGGTAGCAGATGGGGGTCATCCAAGAGCAGAGAGAGAAACTCTCTGGATTTGCCCAGCTGATCGGTCTTGTCCTCATGATCGATCAGAGGCACAACCTTTTGAAGCCATATCATAAATGGCTCGGGTTCTTTCTCATGGCACTTCACGTAGCAGTCACGTGCCACATCCGGAAAAGGAAGACAGGATATGCTGCCATTCTCGTGAAATTCCGCAGCAGCTGCCGTCCGAAAAAGACCGACGGCCCAGCCCAGGAGATCCGAATACTCTGCGCAATGGAATCCCTGCTGAAGAAACTTCAGGGCATCGGCAAGCATGAAGCAAAGTTTCGAGGCATCTGCGGCTATCTTCTCCATATTGCCCTCGAAAGCACTGAAAAGGGCGACCATGAGCAGCCCCCAGCATTCGTTGGTGCACTGGCGCACCATGTTCACCGCGGATGATTCGGCCCAAAATCTCGAGCTAACTTTGCTGTGGTTGACTTAAAGTGTAAGCAGCATGCGACGAAGCTTGCAAGATCAACAACTGCACTCCAAATGCATGCTGGGGCATCGCAATCACGTATGTTTGGATACCAATGCATGGCATCGATCGATGGCATCCATCAACCTGCGGCCATCGCCAAGCAATCAATGCATGCATGAGAATGACCACATTGCAGCTACCGCAGTCAAGCGGCAAAGCCCAAGCAAATCAATCCATTGGCATAACCACCACCATCAGGGAAGCCTCCGGGAAGCCATCATGCATGCATGCATGCATGCACATGCCCTCGTGCAGCTATAGCACAGCCAAGCGGCAAAGCCGAAGCAAATCAATCCATGGCATAACCACAACCATCGCTCAGGGAAGCCTGCGGGAAGCCATCATGCATGCATGCATGCACATGCCCTCGTGCAGCTAGCACAGCCAAGCGGCAAAGCCTAAGCAAATCAATCAATGGCATAACCACAAGCATCGCCAAGGGAAGCCTCCGGGAAGCCATCATGCGTGCATGCATGCACATGCCCTCGTGCAGCTAGCACAGCCAAGCGGCAAAGACGAAGCCACGATATCAACATATCCAAATAACCTCTGGCCATCACCACAAAAGTCACCAGCGGCGTGCTATGTCAGTGCATGACCATGACCACATAGAACTCACACAGCCAAGCAGCAGAGCCAAAGCGAATCAATCCAGGGTAGCGAAACCCATGAGCATCGCCATGGAAGCCTCCAGCAAGCAAGCAGTGCAGATGCTAGCATAGACTGCGCGTGTATACAGCCAAGCGGCAAAGCCCACGCCAAGGATATGAATCCAACCAACATATCCAGAATACTGCGGCCATCACCATAAAAGCCTGCAGCGTGCTATGTCAGTGCATGCCCATGCACACAGAAAAAAAACGCAGCCAAGCAGCAAAGCCAAAGCGAATCAATATTCAGGGATTCTAAACCCATATATAAGCATCGCCGGATGCCTCCAGCAAGCAATCAGTGCATATGCTAGCATGCCCAATACTAAACTGCATGCGCACAGCCAAGCGGCAAAGCCGAAGCCAGGGATATGAATCCATGGAGCATATCCAGAAACCTGCGGCCATCACCATAAAAGCCTCCAGCGGCGTGCTATACATGTCAGTGCAAGACCATGACCACATAGAACTCACACAGCCAAGCAGCAAAGCCAAAGGGAATCAATCGAGTATCGAAACCCATTTATAAGCATTGCAATGGAATCCTCCAGCAAGCAAGCAATGCAAATGCTATAGCATGCCCAATGCTAGACTGCACGTGCATAGCCAAGCGGCAAAGCCCAAGCCAGGGATATCAATCCATGCCATCCATCAGAAGAAAAGCCTCCAGCGTGCTATATGAATGCATGAGCATGCACACATACAACTGACCCATGGAGACAAGCGGCAAAGCCAAAGAGGATCCAGGTTATCGAAGCCCTGATAAAAATCGCCATGGAAGCCTCCAACAAGCAACCAGTGCATGCGTGAGCATGACCACATGCAGCTAGCACAACCAAGCGGCAAAGCCCAGCTTATAAGCGAATCGCAGCAGAAACCCATAACCATCGCGCCATGGAAACCTCGATCCAGCCACCAATCAGCTTACATGAGCATGCTCACATGCTGCAGCACTATAGCACAACCAAGCGGCGAAGCCCAAGCGTGCACAGGCATCAATCCGGATCCGAAATCCGTGGCCATCGCGATGGAACCTTCCAGATTGCAAGTAATCAGAGCATGAGCATGCCAATGGGCAGCTATACACAGCCAAGCGGCAAAGCCATGCAAAACCACGGTCGAAAGAGGAATCAAGCATCACACGAGGTTCGGGAGCAGTGGTATTGCATGCAAGAACTGGTTTCAACATGGCCTGTGGGTGGCCGCTATGCCTGCTAGCACCTATGATTTGCCGATTCGCCCCATGAGAAATGTTGCAAGCAGCTGCCAAATGCTGCGGCCACTGGTCCACTGGTAAACCACCGTCACAAAATCACAGCACAGCGGTCACACAATTCTCAGAGGGATAGCAAGCTTTGCACTGCAGCTTATGATGCGGCAACAACCTCTGAGGCCATCGCCATGCTTTGTTTTGATTGAACATGCAATCTGACATGGCTGTTTGCTGCGCAGGGATTGAATGCTCCCAAGATGCAGCACGGCATCTTACAAGAGAAAAGATCGAGGATAATTACAAATACATATATATATATATATAGAAAGATATATATATATATATATGTCCTAAAAACGGGAGATCGTTTCGAAAGCAATGATCGATGGAAAGACGGAGCCCTGGCCAGAATAAGTTTATGCACATGTATACATGGTGTGTGCGTGCGCGATACATATACATATATATATATATATACATAAAAATTTGTGCATGTTGGTGCCTGTGTATGTCATGCACGCGTGCTATATGTATAGATATGTGTATATTTTAAAGTTAACTTGTGGGTTTTTAGGGTTGGGTCTCTGCTTCTGGTCTTCTTGTTGAATCGCAAACAAGTGAAACAAGGTGCATGCAGTCGTCTATCGTAGTTAACAGCTTTGGATCCTGTACATTTGGGTTGGAAACCTATACATACCCGTTGATTTCTGTACATGATGTGGCCACAACCACCCACTCGATCCGACCTTTTGGGCTCATAACCAAGCGTTTTTATGTGCAAACCATTGCAAACCATTGTTTCCATAGTTAACAGCTTTGGATCCTGTACATGTGGGTTGGAAACCTATACATACCCGTTGATTTCTGTACATGATGTGGCCACAACCACCCACTCGACCCGACCTTTTCACCTCATAACCAAGCGTTTTTATGTGCAAACCATTGCAAACCATTGTTTCCATAGGTAACAGCTTTGGATCCTGTACATTTGGGTTGGAAACCTATACATACCCGTTGATTTCTGTACATGATGTGGCCACAACCACCCACTCGATCCGACCTTTTGGGCTCATAACCAAGCGTTCTTATGTGCAAACCATTGCAAACCATTGTTTCCATGCCTGAGTCCCCAGGGACTTTTTGTTAAAGTGCCTGGGAACAAATTCCTGGGGACAATGCCACAGCTCTCTGCATTGCGCCCGGCGGGAATTAGCGCCCGGTACAAATTCCGGCCGGGGACAGCTCTCCAGGAAAACAGGGAAGCTGGCTTGTTGCATAGCCTTGCAAGGTACACGCGTCCTGTTTTTGCCTTTTGCTGGGTTGGCGTAGCGAGCCAGGCTAAGAAGCAGGAACGGTCCGCAGATGCCAGTCGCCTCCGACCTGGGCGAACTCGTCAGCAAGAAGAGTCGCCTTTGTAGTGAGCATTGCCAGCTCACCGGCCGAAACAGATACTCCGTGCGCCCGAAGCGCCGGAGCGATACGAGCCACGCGGTTCATGTAATCCGACACGGACGGCGGACCGGAACGTCCCGCCCCGTCGGTCAGGGCCGGAACACCGACGGGGAGCGCGCCGGTAACGGCCGCGGCCATCCCAGTGGCCATGGCCGAGAGCGCACCTCCCGCGACTGCTCCAGCGGTCCGCAGTGGGCCGCCTGGAGACGCGGAGCCATCTCCCGCGTCAGGGATCAGCTCCGGGCCCTCTTCGGCTTCCTCGCCGAGGGCCTCCTGAAGAGGATCAACCTCCTCATCTTCCTCTTCTCCTTCCTCCTCTTCATCTTCTTCTCCATTCTCAGCATCATGGAGGAAGGCCATGACGGAGCGCCACAGGGCCGCTTCCACTTCAGGCGAAGTATAACGACCGTCGCGCTTACGAAGCGGTCGGCTCCCGGTGGACTTCCGCCACTTGAGCCACGCGACGTAGCCCATACGCCGCGGGTAAGGGACATCACCTGCCTCAATAGCCTGAAGCAGGGTGACCCCTTCGGGCTGCCCTGCTACCTCCGAAAACATAGCAGGGGCAAGAAGGGAGCGCGGAACAGCCGCGCCCACCTAAGAGCCGCAAGCGTGAGCTCAAGCCCACGCGTCCGGGGCGGACCGCCGATGGGCGAGCTACTCAAGCTCGTGCCACCAACGGGCCGCGGAGGAACTGAGAGCGTTTCCCAGAACAGCCCCCAATTGTGAAGCACCGCAAACCGGTCTTGCAAACACGGAGCGGCAGCTGCCTTTTGCTTCGCGAGTCCACTCGCACGCTCACAGTCCCTAAGCCTGCAAAAGCGCAGGCCGTCGCGAGTAGCAACTCCGCAAGGCGCGAAGCTACCTTAACCCACTACAGCCGTGCACACTTGGCACTGCTTAGAAAGCAAAGCACTTGAGCCAAAATTGGCAAATTATGTACAACATGCAAAGTTACACAAACTGACAGCAGGCTGCAGAGACAAGTGCACTGAAACACGTATGTGCACTCACAAGCAAGTACTTGCACTTGCATGCGTCTCACCAAGTCCTTGGCATCCGACGAGGACGAACCTTTGGTTCGGCGACTCAAGGTCGCACCATGTTTTATGGCTCCGAAAGCGACTTCGCTACACTTCACTACATCAGTCGAGTGCATCCAGCTCAAAACTACGCATACTCATATCTATACTCACAGCAGGGTCCGTCTCAGCTTCGGCCAAAACGCTCGTACTGTCCAAGCTGGGCATCACCTCCGTCGGCTCAGCAGTTGAGTTGGTCTGCAGAGCACCAATATCGGCGTTCGTCCCACTGCCAAACAAGGCCGGAGGAGCCGGGTGGTAAACATTCGCAGCTGAAGTAGAAGCAGCAGCAGCATCCGAGCCAGTACTGTTGTTGTCAGCCACAAAGGTCTCGGATAAGTGCCCAGCAGAGGAGCCGGAAGTGCCAGTGATTGGGCGACGATCCTCGCGGTTGCAGCGCCGTGTATGTTGAGCCATTCCCACTCCTCCATGGCCGCATGCGGAGCAGCAGGTGATATGTCCCACTCCCGAGAGCCTCACGCAACCTAGCGTTCGGCACATGGTTGGCCCTGCTCGCAAGGCCTGTTGCATGGCGCGCTGCCTGTTGCGCTGGTAGTTATGACAGCGACGTGTATGGCGTTGTCCATGTGCACAGCCAGAGCAGCAGTAGGCCTTGCTCACCCGCTCATAGTGCCGCTGGCAACCCAACCTGCTGCAGCAGCGCGTGCGCCGTTCCGTCGGCTGGGATTCCATGCTGACCTGAGGAGATTAGGGTGCGGGCAGTTAGGGAAGGAGAAGGGAATAGGGTGACGGCAGTCAACGTATGGCAGTGCTTCTACGAAGGCACATGCAAATGCAGTGCACGGACCATAGACCATCTTATGCCCCATGCAGCAGTCCTGGCCACGGCTGGTCACAGCTGTTGGTGTCATGCAACGGTTTCTGCCACGCATGTCACCATCTGTACACGTAGCAAGGCGCTGCAGTTACACTGGCCTACTAACAGAGAGCACCACTAGCCTAGGGGACGAGAAGGGGACTACCTAGGTACAACCGGCGATGGCAGGCAAGTCAGCTATGAGACCCTCGCTGAGTCAAGAAGCTTGCCGTCATCTTCGGTCTGGGATTTGGTGCAGGCTCTCTGGATACAGCACAAGAACCCCTCACATTAGGACATCAAGGGCCCGACGTCATGCTGGACTTCCCCTGCATGCTAAGTCTGCTCAGTCGTCGTACAAGACAGGTGGCAGGATCTGTGGCGGGAATCTGGTTGTCATCATTTCCGCCGGAGGGGAGCAGAAACCTAGCTCCTCAAGTTGTGTGCGAAAGGACTGATCGAGGGAGTAGTAGTTGCGGATGCAATAGGCCACCATGGTGACCCGGTCTTCCCTTCGCCATGGCGTGGTGCCGTGCATCGCAGTGTGAGCCGGAAAGACAGTGGCTGCATCATGTAGTTTCCAGCTTTTCCCTCGTAGCATTTGCCCCGAGACCTCCTGGTATTCCGAGCCCTCCTCCGACTGTATCCAGATGTCTCCACCTTCAAAAGCCGATAGCGAGAACAAGGCATTGGGGACCGGTCCATTGCCATGGTCCCTGTGCAACGGCAGTTGACAGTTCCAGTGGATTGCCACACTCGTCCAATGATGCTCGGGGAGAGTGTGGATGATGTAACGATTCACCAGTCTGCACAGATTGGGATATCGAAGGGTATTGCGACAGATCCCCACAAAGCAAGTGCGCGAGAAGGCACCCAGTGAGAAGCTCATGGCCCCAGGCTGATTTTTGATCTTGCCATGTCGGGCCGGCTCAAACTGAATAAGGTTAATCGCCATCCGTAGTGCACTCCAGAGGGAGCAAGCGCCGCCATTAAGCAGGTCATAGGCATACTGCTCCGCTGGTGCCACAGGACCAGGAGGCAATGGAAGTGACATCGGAAGTGCAGGGCCTGGCAGTGCCGGCATGCTCTCACTCAGATCCTCGGAGTATCGGTACAGCTGTTGCATCAGATCAGCTCGTAGGGTCCGGGCAGCATGTGCAAGGATGTCATTGTAGCTCAGCATACTGACGTCTAAGGGTCGAAATTCGACCCCTTGCTGCTGCAGCAGCGACTCATACGCAGATCGAATCAAGTACTCCGAGAGGGAGTCCTGATACACGTCCCACGGCACATGGTACTGACTGGCCATGCCGATAAAACAGCCCGCTACCCCTGAAGCCAAGAGACAGAGCTACGCAGATTCGAGCCGCTAGCGAGTACCAGCAAGGCTGCACAGTGTGGCCAGAGTGAGACCTGAGCGCAGCGCCACCGAGCTTGCTGTGGACACTGCAGAGGACTGCTTCGAGCCAGTCGTGCTGACACGGGAACCTATGGTGGCAGGCAGTAAATGGCAGTGCATGCTTGGCAGTCGGTATACATCGAACGTCCATGGCGGTCATAGCAAATGGTGGACTGCTGTGAGTATGGCAAAAACAGATAAACATATAAACATACTAACCGATTCGCAGAGAAAATTCTTTCTGTAGAGGCGCTCGACTTCAGCGTGCCGGGCCAACAGGCCCACATCAGATCGGACACAGGTCTGAATTGCGTTGCGCGGCGACCTAGCCGCGCGGAGGATGGCGACCTAACCATCCTCACGCGGTCCGGGCTAGCAACGAGCGAGTACAACTAGATAGGAGTTCGCTTGCATTAGCGTATGGTAGGGTCGGCTGCTGGGGGACAGGCTTACCTATGTACGCTTGGTAGTGCCCCTCTGTGACTCTGGGCCCTAGGTGCAGAATGACAGCTCCTATCACGAAGGACTCGGCTCGAACAGCAGTACCCACGTCACTGCTGAAGACTGGAACTTGAATCACCTGTCCAGGGCACACGTTGAGCACTGTGTCATCTTTGCCTACTGCAGCACCATCAGTATAGCGGCAGATTTGCAACATTAACAGCCCAGAGTGACGTGTGAGAGCGTGTATCGCGTATTGTTTGTGCCATGCATCAAGCATAGCTTGCAGGCCTCCCAGGCTCAGGTGATGCAATGGGAGCGGCGCCTCAAGGGTGCCTGCATCACTGCAAATGTCGGGCAGTTCCAATCGTGCTTCCCAGCGACCGTTGAAGGCAGTAATTCCTAGCTGAGGCACTGTAAATTCGGCAAACTCGCAGACATCATGCTGTCGGTGTGGCTGCGGCCAAGCACTCAGGTGCATGGCGTCGCCAGTGCAGTTGATCAGTGATGCAAACAGTGCATTTCTGCATTAGTGCTCGCAACCCTGCCTGGCAAAAACCTTGGCAAAGTGTCTTGGAGGCGGTCAATTCGCCCATCCAGCACAGCACCTGCATGAAGCTGTTGATGTAGCAGTGATTGCGGGGATTACGCAGTCTAGCTATCGGTAGCTGAGGGTCTGCATGTGGCCTAAAGTGGACAGCAGTAGCAGCGGCCTCGGCCGCACTCAGCCCTGGTTCTGGGTCTGGGAGCTGCGGGCTGCTCGTGGCTTGCGAGGGCGCCAATCGCAATATTTGGTGCGAAGGTACGCCTCCTCCACTGCTCGGGCACACGGCTGCCTGCTGGCTCGTTCCGGGCGGACTCGGAATCCCATCACCTTGGTCACCGCACAGCCGCACAGCCTCGTCATCGCCGCGTGGCACAGGTGTGAGGACGGGTCCCTGAACCCGAAAGAAAGCATGAAGGGTTCCACCTCGTTTTGCGACTCCTCCTCCAGGCCTCGAACCGCTCGAAATCTGGTCAGATTGTTCGCCGTGGCCACATGCTGTTCGAGAACATCCAGCTGGGTGAGGAGATCCATGTGGCTGATCGGCGGGATCTGAGTGGCGATCTCCTGGGCCCTCAGGGTCGGATTCCATTGGTAGTACTGCCAGCGGGGATTTAGGGCAGTGCTTCCCTCCACCAGCCATTCCATCTGGAAGCACTTCTGGAGCCGCTCCTGATCGCTGAACAGAGTCTGCAGCTTGGCCTTGAAGTCCTTCAGGAGACACAGGAACAGGATGTGCCGTAGCGGACTCTTCACCAGTCCTTGCTCGCACTTCTGCTGCCACTCCAAGGCCGTCTCTCGAAGGGTCTTGAGGTAGCCGTGGTCGCCAACATCGAAGAAGGCCATGAATCCCGTCTCTGGGCGGGATCTGCCCAGCTCCTCCTCGTGCTTGAGGGCGAGCTTTGTCATGGCCTGGATCAGCTCCACCGTGGCTCCGTCGAGGCCCTCTGAGGACTCCGACCTCTGTGTCGGCTCCCATCCTCGTTTTTGTGAGCCACCCCACCAGCGAGCTCCTTTGCCCTCGCCCCACTCCGGCTTCCTCCACTTTGGCTGACGTCCCTCTGCGGTCCAGCCGTCCTCCGCTGCCTCCTTCGCACGATCCTTGTTCCCGAAGAACTCGGCAACCTCCTTCTGGGCTACGCTCGGGGCTGAGTCCTCCATCGGCAGGTCCATGCAAGGGCTCACGAACCTGAGTGGATGCGTGCAGAATAAGGCCGCTAAGACTGGCCTGGTACAATGCAGGGCAATGTTTAAGGTGCGAGCGAGGGTTCTTGTACTCCTCGCCACAATAGCGGCACGGGTGGAGCGCTACTAAGCCAAGGCTGGTCTGTCTCGAGACCGCAGCATCATGATGCTTCATGTAATCTTTATGCATGAGGCGAAAGTGCTGCTTCACTCCGGGGCCTACCATGCATAGCCACTGATTGCAGATCACGCAGTGAGTTTTGAGCTTCTCGGCATATGTCTGGTTGCGGAAGACATCCTTCCAGCCCTGTTGACACTGCACACTATACTCGGGATCCTCTATCAGCGGAGGGCAGTACTCCACCACGGAGGTGCGACCTAGCACCTCACTGTGAGAGAGAGGGACCTGATCCTCTCCCTCACCGGTGGAGCCTGCTCGGCCCGATGTCGCCGCTTTGGGATATAGAACAGTGCACGCTGACTTGAGATGCTTCTTGAGGCCATCAACCCTCTGGAACACTTCCCCACAGTGGCGGCATTTCGGCATGCCGTCCGCCGCATGTAAGCTGTACACATGGTTGTGGGGCAGAGCCGGGCGCTTCTGTGCAGCAGATTCGGGATGCTGCCGGGAGATATGTGTAAGCAAAATGCGTCTGTTGGGAAAGTACTGTCCGCAGATCCGACAGGCCTCCCCTTCGCTCGCCACACACGTGACTGGCTGCAAACCCTTCGCACTGCCACTAGCAGACTGTTCAAGCTCCGCAAAGAAGTCTAGTTGTTCCTGAAACAGTTGCACACAGCATGGCTCCAGGACTTTGGCAGTTCGCTTGCGGAGTAGCTTATGCAGGCTGGCAGTGGGAGATTCCGCGCCGATGCGCTTGCGGAAGACGCCGTTATTCTCGCGCGACAGATGGACCGGGGATTTGGCAACAGCACGCAAAGATCGTGCGTCCCAGGACTCAAGCTTCTGCAACACCGCACTAGTAACCCCAACCGCATGCAGGCCGTATAGAACCGTGCTTTTAACACATGAAGTGTAGAGACGCACCCGATACTTGAGACCAAGCACACGGGAATGCAGAAGCTTTGCAAGGCGTTGCCTGGCTTGCATGCCAGCTCGCAGTCTATGACGCAGAGTCTGCATCTCGAAGCCGGCATACGATGCAACAATGCCAAGGTAAACCATACTCTGGGACCTAGGGATCCAAATGGGGTCCGACGGGGTACCAAAATTGATATAAACCGTATTCTGGACCTTCTGGCTGTTGCATCGCAGCCATCGGTGAGCTGCACTGCCTCTCAATGCAAGGACCGCAGTGGACTTTGAGGCATTGACAGTCTAACCGCATTCCCTGAAAAGTTGAAAGGTAGCCTGGACACATTTCTTCATGAAACCTAGGTCCTCAACACATTCCAGTTCCCAAGCTAAGTGAGAGTCATCGGCATATAAGGTTACAAGCCTGTCTGCCCATGCCTGTGACGTGCGGTCCTTCAACTGTGCATGGAACCATACCGTGAAGGCAGCATACAACACTGGCGATAATGCACATCCTTGACGAACGCCCCGGGACATTGGGAAGGCACCATCTTTACCGCCATGTTTGAGGCTGTAGCTGCATTGCTCATGAATGGCCAGGATGATTTGCTGATGTGAAGGATCTATGCCTACAAACTCCAAGGCCTTTTGAAGAATGGGTCTGGTGAGGGTGTCGAAGGCTCTACTGAGGTCCAAACTAAGCATAGCGCCTCCTATGCACGTGGCCGCTCTGCGTCCAGCGCGTTTCTGCTCCACACTGACAACTGCAGACTTCAGCGAAAGTCGGACCCGTCTGCAGTGCATAGCGACACGCGCTACCGCTTCCTCCATGGACTTCTGTGCTTGGTATGCAAACTGCGGGGTTTGACGGAGTTTCTCCGACGCCTGCTCGACAACCTGATCCCGGATAAGGGTGGCAAGTATCTTGGAACTAGGGTCCTGAAGGCCTATGGGTCGAAGGTCCTGGGGTTGCCTGCCAGCCTTATTGGGTTTCGGGAGAAGTGCTAACTTACAGTCAGTCATGGGGGTGGGTAGTCGCTGACCGGCCTGTTGGCCCGTTGCTAGTGCGTGCTGAAATCTTGGGATCAAGGCCTCCGGGCAGAGACGCCAAATCTCCGCTGGTACACTCGTGGCAGGTACAGCCTTGCCCAACTTAAGCCTGTCTATGGCAGACAGAACAGCCTGGTCACTGTACAAGACTGGATCGCAACTGCTAGGACAGTGGAACTCCTCTTCCCGACTGAAAGCCTTGCTGTAGTAGTCGTAGATAGCCTTAAACTGTTCCGCGCCACTAAGCAAGTGTCCTTCAGGAGATTTGATGTACACCGTCGTGCGACCCTGTCGTGGTGCCAGGGTGTTGACTATTCGGTACACCTCGGCCTGATCATGATGCCTGGCCGCCCGGTCTGCTTTGTCGATCTGGTCCTCCAACCACTTACGCCTAGCAGCCTTGCCAAGACTACGAACCCTCTTGTGTGCCTCCCGAAATTCTACTACTCTGGCCGAGGCAGTACTGGACGCCTTAAACTGTTGCGGAGGCAGGGGCTCCCGCAGTTTGTGGTGCGCCCTCCACATATCTTCAATGGCAGCTGTGGTAGTCGGGTCACGTTGGCATTTGGGGGTTCGGGCTTGTTTAGGGAAGTACCGTTTACAAAGCTGAAGGATCTGATCATTGGCAGCTTCAAGGCCAGCGTTGGGGTCAGTACGGGAAAGGAGGTTGTTGATATCCTGTTTAAGCTGCAGTGCAACAGGTGTACCCCCAACCACGTTGGCCCTCAAATCCCGAAGTGAGAAACCCTGTACAGAGGGACGTTTCTTGGCGAAGCACCAGCCTGCAAGCATAGGAACGCTAGCCAGAACAGGTCTATGTTTCGGCCCTTTACGCCAGGGTGCAAGGTCCAAGCCGATCGGTCTGGCCTGTTTAACCACTCGATCGGCAGCAGCCTTCCGTACCATGACAAAGTCCAGTTGTGTTCGCACTGGGCCGTTATGATACGTGTGACTGTGCAGTTTCCTGGAGCTGCTCCATGTATTGGCAAGAACCAGCTCATTCTGCTTGACCAGTTCCAGTAGTTCCGGGTCCGGGTGGCGAGCTGTAGCCTGAAGCAGTCCCCGACCTATCAGGCCTGGAATCGGTGCGCATCTCGAGTTTAGATCCGCGCCCACAATCAGCAGATGTCGTCGCGGAAGCCGCTGTAGCAAGGTGCCAAAAGCTGTCCAGACAGCCTGTCGCTTAGCCGCCACGTCATCCGACTGCTTGGATTGCCAAACCCATTGGTACATCGCTACCAGATCCAGCGTGACCTTGTCTCGTCGGCAGCGAACGTGCAAGAGTCGTCCCGGTATGCAGACCGCGCGAGTAATCTCTGCCCCAGATGCCAATCTGGGCGAAATGAAGATGCCCACTCCACTGTATCGCCTCTGCGGGTCCGCAGAGACTATCGCTTGCCATCCCTCGATCGCCCAGCTATTCTCCGTCTTTCCGCATCCCCAATGCAGTTCTTGGACAAATACAACATCCGCCTGTTGTTGCCGCAGAAGCCAATGGACAAAGGTGTCGTAGAGATCCGAGGCCATGCCACCGATGTTGTATGTCATCACGCGGAGCCGAGCACTTGCAGGTGCTGTAACCGTCCCGGTGCGGGTAGCAGGAGCCTGTGGTGTGGAGCAGACATGTTCCACCAGCGCACGCCTTGCAACGCCCATGTCAGTGGCAGTTAGCCATCTTCCCCGATATTGAACCCATCCATCCCGACCTGCACGTTGCTGTGCTCTCTTAAAGGATCGCTTCTGAGTCCGACTATGTTTCGCGTTGGTCGCCTCCAATCCAGGGGGTTTCGCCACACTACCGAAGGCAGATGTGGCTCCTCGGTCGGCTGTGGAACACGACCGAACCCTCGGGTTTACTGAGCTTTCTGAAGTCGTCATCATACAGTCGAGAGTGCCCAGCCGTCGGAATTGGGACCGACGCTGGCCAGAGATCTCGCAGCCGATGTTTCCAGGGTAACAGCAGAATCCGCAAATTAGCGCTCCAATCCAGCTGAGCCCTCTCATGGCACGTAGAAGGCCCTATCTGCAGGCTGAGTCTCCGGCCGAAACCCTTCTCACAAGCAAGTAATAGTAGTAGTAGTAGTAGTAGTCGTCGTCGTCGTCGTCGTAGTAGTAGTAGTAGCAGTGGTAGTAGTAGTAGTAGTAGTAGTAGTAGTAGTTGTTGTTGTAGTTGTAGTTGTAGTAGTAGTTGTAGTTGTAGTAGGTAGTTGTAGATGTAGTTGTAGATGTAATAGTAGTAGTAGTAGTAGTAGTAGTAGTAGTAGTAGTAGTAGGAGTAGGCGTCGCAGTAGTCGTAGTACTAGTCGTCGTAGTAGTATGTCGCTATATGCTTATACTTAAATATATATATATATATATATATAGATATATATAAACACATGTTCTCCTGAAGAAGCTTGTATCAGTAGTAGCCTTGCCAAGTGCCCAGCGTTAGTGGAGCCCACGCATCGGCAGGACAAGGAAGGGCAGGCAGCTCCGGCCAGAGGCTCGGAAAGCTCTGGGTGGCTAGCCCCTAAACCCTAAACCCTAAACCGTGGGGCTGGAGGTTTGGGATTTGAGGCTGAAGGTTTAGGGGGGTTCAGGGTACCACAGCGCAGCAGGCTGTGGTGCTTACGGCAAGGATCTCTGCAAATCATTCAGCTCAAGCTGGAAACTCGAAGAGCGCGTCCAGCCCGAGGCAAGCGAAGTGAAGCGAACCAGACATCGGCAACCGTCAACTCCTCTTAGGGTGGAGGCCTTAAGTATCAGCATAGGGCTTTAGGGGGGCCCCATTATACTATACTTATAGTAGGTAGCCCCCACAACTAGGCTTCTCCCTATAACCTCTTAGCCATGAACCCGTCAAAGCCTAAACCCTCAGACTCAAACCCTACAAACAGAGACAGAGAGAGCAAGAGAGAGCAAGAGAGAGAGAGAGAGAGACTCAGAGAGAGTCAGGTCCTATGGAGGATGCCTCACTACTGTCACGATTAGCTGTTCATAGTGGTTGTCGCTGCAGCAAGCGTGCGAAGGGACTGCTTGTTGACACGCGCCGCTTATGATGCAGCATGTAATAGAGATCCTAATGCACAGAGCACCCCATGTTTGACTGAGCCAGGCAGAACCCTTATAAAACTGCACGTGGAACGCTGGATGACGGGATGCTGTGCTAAACGGACACAAACTTTCAAACAGAGCCCTCTAGTCTAGGGTTTCGGGTTTGTGGGTCAAGTGGTGGGCTCTGTTCTAGGACCGTCCACTCGGACTGGAGTTATGAGCACTTTCATGCCGGGGCTGCAGGCTGTTATAATAAGGTTTCGGGTTCAACCGACCCCTTAAACCCTCAACCCCAAGCCCTCAACCCTCCCAAGAGTTGGCGGGCACAGGACCAAAAACCTCAGCTTGCATGGCCTTCAACACATAATATCCTCGGGCCCAGCCCTCCTGAAAAGCCCAGTTGCTAGCAGACCCCGCTCTTGTTCCCCACGTTGCCAAGAGCGGTCGGAGGTTCCATCCACTCTCGGACAACCTCAAGGCTGAAGAGGCCATCATGGCGGATGTTAAGGGCTTCGTGCAGAAGCTCTCAGCAAGTGAAGCTCTCGAACTTAAGAGCAGGTTCTTACTGTAAGAACCTGCTGAAGACGGAGCCTGCGGGCTCGCCGCGCGCCGGAGGAGCTTAGGAATGCCGAGGACCCAGGAGTGTGCCACTACCCAGCATCTTCCCATGAGTTCCCAACTATTAGGCTCCTATATAAGAGCACGGCGGATTCTGCGAGCGTTGCCGAAACAGCCGATACTTCCTTAAGAGCGACATGTGGCTCTGCTGAAGCGGGTCTCTGCGTGGAAACATCTAGCGACAAAGCGGCGCATGCTGCATTTTCGCGAGAGCTCATCGAGCTCTGAGCTCGCGAGCACCGCTGTCAGAGCCGCAGGTGCTCGGGCGACAAGACAAGAGAATGCAGCGGCCTCTGTGTTCCCTCGATTGTTCTAAACTCAAAAGCGTCAAGCAAGCAGGCATGGCCGCAAACTTTCAGCTAGCACAGGCTTCGGGTACCGGTTTCGCCCCGAGCCATGAACCCTGCTGGAACTGGTCTTCTAGAGTAGTTTTACAAAGCACCGACCCTTCCACCCGCCTGAGTCGGTGTGATACAGTGCTACCATGGATCCCACAACCAGCTAGTCTGCCACTACCCAGCATCTTCCCATGAGTTTCCAACTAGCAGGCTCCTAAGGGCCTGCGCCCAACGAGGACGCAAAGCCACCACCTGTCCATGGCGGCATTCTGCAAGCCTTGCCGAAGCAGCCGGTGGCCACACTAGCCGATACTTCCTTAAGAGCGACATGCGGCTCTGCTGAAGCGGGTCTCTGCGTGGAAACATCTAGCGACAAAGCGGCGCATGCTGCATTTTCGCGAGAGCTCATCGAGCTCTGAGCTCGCGAGCACCCGCTGTCAGAGCCGCAGGTGCTCGGGCGACAAGACAAGAGAATGCAGAAACACCTCTCAAACATCATCTGTGTTGCTGTGAACCATATGTATACACAAACTCGTGCCCCCCAGAGGCTTACATTGAAGCGCAAGGGCAGGAGAATGCAGCGGTCTCTCGGCTCCGTCGGTTGCGGTAACCCACAACCGGTGACAAGCACGTGTCCCGTCTGGCAATGCTGAGATCGCTCGTGCAAGTCCGCACAGGGAATGACTGAGGCAAGATCGGGCGATGAATCGGCGAGACTGAACGAGCTTATTTGAGGTAAGGCCGTTCCACACCAACGCCTCGGCCGAGCAAGCTAAGCCCTTTGCAGATGCAGCGTGTCTGTCTATCTTCGCGCCGCTGAGCTTCTTTATGCTGTGGAATCGTCTCATGCACCGAGGAGCTTGAGAGAAGGGTTGGGTGCTAGATAGTAACGAAATGATCGCACATCCAACTGAAGAGACTTCTACTCGAAGCTGTTCGATAACAAGCAACTCCGGATCATCCGAGCTGTCTTCGTCTGGGGACACTCATACACTTCAGGCCCTCTGTCTTAGATTTCTGCTTTGCGTCTCCACCCGCTACGCCCTCTCAAGAGCGCACACGACTCATTGGACTCCCACAGCAGCGCGCTTCTTCAACTAGGTGATCAACGCTCACGCGCGACCTGGCAAGCCCGGCAAGCCTTGAAGTGCCTCATGTGCAAGGCAGTGCGGGGTGCTACCCAAAGCTGACGGCCCTCTGCTTCTGAAGTTTTGTCAGCAAGAGCCAGCGCCGCTGAAGTCCACAACGATGCAGGATCGCTTCCCGCGCGGATGCAGATCTGTGTCAGAAGCGATGTTCACAGAGCACTGCTGTGGTCTTTCCCCGCACCAGGTGCATCATCATCAACTGCAGCCTTCGTGCGCAGGCAGCTCGCAGCAAATCGGCATCAGGCTGCTGCGTCGGGGGAGCCTCGACAACTCCTCACTGCAGAAGCACACTTGCATCCACCCGCTGGAACAGGTCAGGCTGCGATCGGCGCGAAGGCCTGGAGAATCAGCGGATCTTGGCGTGTAATAGCTCTCACCTCCGCTGTCGAAGTACCGAGCACCACCGGCATGCTGCTAAGTGCTTCGCAAAGCAAGCCCAAATGCAAGGCGTTGGCACTGCTGGTTGAGATGGTTTGCCAGCCCACGCAATCGGCCCAAGCTCAGTGTTGAGAGCAGCTGCCTGCCAAGGTGCAGCGCAGCTCTCTGCGTCTTGGGATTCCAAGGCATGCTCCCTCCAAGCAATGTTCCACACAATCTGACACAATCTCGGCCGAGTAGGCTAGCCGTTTGCGGAGTGTCTCCGCACACAGCTCTTGAAATCCGGCGTCTTCGAAACATCGAGTTTCTTTGTGCTCTTCTGATGCGGTGTACGTGGCGTCAATGCTGCGCAAGCCACCGAAACATTGGAACAAAGAAGCGTCAAACGAAGGCAGCATTGCGACTTGGACTCAAACGGTCACCGCCACGACGCATGGAACGAAGATCTCGCCTGCGGTGGCCTGTAAATGCACTGCTGCTTGCACTTGCGGCACATCTAAGCCGTGATGCCTGACAATGTGCGAAAGATGTCGGCATGACACACTTCCGATGTCAGCATACGGCAGCTTTCCACCGAAAGGGCTGGCACGAAGCCTCCAGCAGATTGCTTTGGGAAAACCAGCCTGTGTCGTCCGGAGAACAGGCGCATCCGCTACCTCGAGAAGCTCGTCGAGAGCGGCCGCACCCAGAACGTCGCCAATCCTCGCGAGAAGATCTCCTTCCGCAGGAAGTGGCGAAGTTCAACAAGGAGCTGGCGGCGCTGAAGCTCCAGCGCGACCAGGGCATCGCCAACCGCCGCCACACCAGCTCGGAAGCCGACCGGGTGATCCAGTGTGTGGGACAGACCCTGGAGGCCGCGGCCGCGACGAACGCGGAGGAGTTCCGCCGCACCAGCGCCGCGGTGGTGGAGCACATGGACGGCCGCTTCGACGGCCTCGACAGCCGCTTGAACGGCCTCGACGCCCGGCTGGACTCGTCAAGCCAGGAAGGCATTGGATTGCCTCATGTG